ACCACAAATGCCATTCCCTTTCTTTTCCAAGAAGAAGAATGCAAAGCCCACGCATGCTGCAACTCATGATCAAACTTCAAAGATATAACCAACCTAATTCTGTGACGACTGTCATACAAGAGGCACCGCTTTCATAGCCCTTGTAGATGACGCCGCTGGTTGTGGTAGCAACTACAACAAATTGTAGGTACAAATTACAATACTCAATGGATTGTCTTGTACGCCTACCTAGGATGACGATTGAATTTTTTATTTATACAAATGATATTTGGAAAATGAGTGATTCGAACACAAGAACTCATACATGCTCTTAACCACTTAAACTGTAAGCTCCTTGCATAAGATCATCATTGATTGTAGTCTTGTAGAAGGAAATTTTAGCTCATTATCAAACATGTCATGAATTAAAAAGTTAATTAAATCAGATTTTATTAGCACTCCAAAAGAAAACTTATTATGAACTCTCTTCTTTATATTTCAATCCAACCCTATAGATATTTGAAATTCCAATACCACCATAGTTGTAGTCTTGTATATAAGAAGGGAAGGGACATGTCGTTACTATTCCTTTTTTAAACCTTAAAGTCGAACGGTCGATGTCGTATAAACCAAACGACGTGTAGTAGTGGGAGCTGATGGGAAATGCCGTTCACGAATATCAAATGGCGGGTTGCCAATAGCACTCAGTTAACGTCATCTTCCTTTCACTGACTCAGCTGACAGCCTCACGCACACTCAGCTTACCATTCTCTCTCTCTCTCTCTCTCATCATGTAGAAGCAGAGAGAGAGAGCTTGAAGAAAGAAACATGGTGTCGTCGTCTCAGAAGAAGAGCCTCCACTCTCTGCTCGCCGCAAAGCTCAGCAACCTCACAATCCCGCCTTCCTCGTCTTCTTCCTCCTCCTCTCCACCTCCAGACTTCGACTTTAACGACCTCTTCGGCCCCACCACCGCCATCCCCAACGACCAATCAACCTCGGCCACGTCGCTCCCTCCGGCTCCACTAGTCATCCACAACCGTTCTCACTCCTTCGTGGGCCCCTCCCCTCGCTTCGCTCCGTCTTCCTCCCTCCCTTTCACCGCCGAATTCCTCGATTCCCAGAGCGACGAAGACGAATCAGAAAACCCAGACGGAACTGATAATCGGAATGATGGGGAATCAGAAAAGACCGAGCTCGCAGTCAAAGAGAGAGCTCGTAAGTTTGGGCCTGCGGATTTTGAGATGCTCAGAGTTGTGGGTAAGGGCGCGTTTGGGAAGGTCTTTCAAGTGAGAAAGAAGTGCAACGATGGCAGTAACGGCAACGAAAGTGATGGGCTTTATGCTATGAAGGTTATGAGGAAAGACACAATTATAAAGAAGAACCATGTGGATTATATGAAAGCTGAGAGAGACATCCTCACCAAGGTTGTGCACCCTTTCATTGTTCAGCTTCGCTACTCTTTCCAGGTACCTGTTTTGTGATTTTTAATTAATTTAGTGAATTTGATGGAATTAAGTTTGCATAGTAGAAAAACTGGTCCTTCCCATTAATTTTCAGCACTGAACTCTTGCTGGGTTATTGAAATTTGTTCTCTTTTTGTACCAAAAATCTTGTCTTTTTTATGTATCATATGTGCTCTCTTTGATTGCTTACCATCTTATGTGATTTCATTGGCTGTGAACCATTTTATGTGAATTTCATTGTATACTAGTGTGCTCTTAAGCTTGTATGTTGTCTTTGGCTTTGCAGACCAACTCTAAGCTTTATTTGATCATGGATTTTATAAATGGAGGGCATCTCTTCTTTCACTTGTACCGGCAGGGAATCTTTAGGTAATTTTTCCTTTTATTATTAGAAATTTATACTCAGTGTATGTGTCCGTTTGTTTTGATTTCGTCTTTGGGATGTTTCTTGAGTAGCGAGGATCAAGCAAGACTTTATACTGCTGAGATAGTATCTGCTGTTGCACATCTTCACAAGTGCAGGATCGTGCATCGGGACCTTAAACCTGAAAATGTTCTTGTGGATTCTGACGGGCATGTAATGGCCATGCTCATTTACTCACTATTTGTTGTAGGAACATGCTTGGTAGTCAGATTATCCTTTTCTCGCTGGGACATATACTTTTGCTGAAATGGATACCTGTGATGCAGGTCATGCTAACTGATTTTGGACTAGCAAAGGAAATTGATGAAGCCAGCAGATCAAATTCAATGTGTGGGACCACAGAATACATGGCTCCTGAAATATTGCTGTCTAAAGGCCATAACAAAGATGCAGATTGGTGGAGCATTGGTATACTTTTGTATGAGATGCTAAGTGGGCAGGTAAAACAATAGATGTATCCAATACAATTTTGTGATTTAAACTCGTAATTGTCTAATGGTCCTCTCAGATTGCACATTCAAAATTATGAGTTTTTCAAAGGTATGTTTATTGACGAAATAGAAGCTTGTTGAACTCTGCCCATTGTTAGGTCCTCTACTTTTCTTCTAATTAGACTTTTAGGCTCCATCAACATCGATTCATAGGCAGGGCACGTCATTAACTTGAAACATTCATGCAAGAAAGCAAAACTATTACAAGTTATAGTGGGCTAGCATACTTCTGTAAATTCATTAGTTGATACCATTATACTGTTTTAAATGATCAAGATGGCTATAATTTTAAGTCTTTAAATTACCAGTATTGACTGTTTGTTCAAAAATTGTTTTGCCCCTTTCCTGCAGCCACCATTTACGCATGCGAATAGAAAGAAACTCCAGGAGAGAATCATCAAAGAGAAAGTTAAACTTCCACCTTATCTTACCAGCGAAGCTCACTCCTTGCTAAGAGGAGTACGTATATTATTCCATATGATCTTTTCTCCCTTTTATTTTTCATTTTGTCAAATGAACAGCTAGCTAACCGTTGGAAGATTCTTCTTCAATTGTGTAGTTGCTACAAAAGGATCCATTACAAAGGTTGGGTACTGGGCCCAATGGAGGTGATAATATCAAAAGTCATAAATGGTTTCGATCAATCAACTGGAAGAAGTTGGAGGCCAGAGAACTGCTCCCAAAGTTCAAGCCGGATGTGAGTGGAGAAGACTGCACGGCCAATTTCGATCGGTGCTGGACTACAATGCCTCTGGACGACTCACCAGCTCCTACACCAACAGCGGGTGTGCATTTCCAGGGATATACTTATGTGGCACCTAACCCGTGGCTTTCGTCTGCATAAACTGAAGGCTGCTGCTAGACTAGAGCGTTAAAGGAAAAAAGAAAGAGAACTAAATGAAGTGAAGACGATTTGAATGAAGCCGCCCTTCCAAATTGCCGTCCAAGTAATGATGTAAGTTTTGAGTTTAGAATACGTTTAACATCATCTCAAGTGTACATTTTATTCTATTCTCACTTAATAAATAATTTCATGTCTTATTATATTTGGAAAATTTCTTGGAGTACTTCCACTTGTGGTTCATCTGGTTTCTCCTCCACGTTGACTTATATCAGATGTTCAATTCTTCTGTCAACTTTTTTCAATTTTACAAGGCTCCCAAGTTACAAAAGTTCTTAATTAGTGTTGGAGATTTTTAAGAAATGATTCTCTCACAATATACTTTCCAACATTAATATCTAGACATATTTGTGCTAAAATCTTCACTTGAAACTGTTGTGTTGTTGGGAAAGAATGTGAATCTGAATAAGTCGTTTGATAAGATGACGACCAACAAGAATGATGTGGGTCGGAATTGCGACAAAAACGCGTAGCTTTGGAAAAGGCCAATCTTCGGGTCGCTATTTTTCAGTGAACTGAGGGAGTGAGAAATAGTCCAAAAATCAGAGGGGGAAAATCGTAATTTGGTCTTACTTATGTACCAAGGTGGCCAGTGGTCACAACCCCAGTGTTAAATTGCACTCTGTTGAGGTTTTAATATAAATTGACAATTGTAGAATTAGGCTTGTACATGTGTAGTATAAAATTATTGACAGATGCACTCTTGGCATCACACTTTACCCAATTGATACAAGACTGATGTCAATTGTCTTGGCTTCAACACAGAATTTCACCCCAACTTTTTCTTGGGCAAAAAGGAGCATACATTATTAAGGGTCGTTCGGAACTACTTTAGAAAGCATTTACGATCGTTTTCTCACAAGAGCATTGAAACTTCTATTGTAAATTCAAGTGCTTTTAGAGAAAGCAATTGCTTCCCAAAAACACTATTACTGCCTCAGATTCACTTCTCATTGTCAGAAATCATTTTAACCGCAGTCCCAATCAAGCTCTTGCTTTCAAAACTCACACGTCATAAGCACATTCACTTCTCAACACTGAGGTTGAGCCATCCTAATAATAATTAAAGTTTCTGTCATCTCATCCTATAGTCAAAAAGCGGGAATGAAAGCAACCATTTCTCTGCCCAATTAAAACCCAAACCATCAGAGTGGCAAAAGTCGGCCAAACACACCGCGTAAAGTCGATTCCTTTAAACCCCTTTTAGCCACCCAGATAAGGCATTATCAACGTCCCGAACACGTGTTAATATTAAAACGTTTGGTACAACAATCACGATCCATTATCGAGGGCCAGTTTCAATCCACAATCACACAATTAATTTTGTCCGTCCAGAATAAAGAAAGGGCAAGAAAATGTTTCCCCACCAAAACCCAACTTGATATTTGTTTCCTCACAAAGACATCTAAACCACTTATGAGTTCAGGACCAGGCCCACTAGGGGACCGCAATCAGCAATCAAAACACTGTAGACTGTACCAGTTATTTTCCAGTTATATCAGCTGCTAACAAAAAGAGCCAAATGAAAAAACGAGGAGAATCTGTGAGATAATACCACAGAACAACAAGAACAGGACATTACATTATCTTGGGGGGGTTCTGTACAACAAACTAAAAGGAACAAATTCAGTCACCTAATTACCTTGCCCTCTCTAATCCATTGTCAAATTTGGGATTTGGGATCACTTTATCTTCACCCATTTGCTCTAATTATAAACCATTTCCACAAATCAGCACACTCTCAAGCAACACTAATAATGCTATCCCCATTGCTGAAGCTTGGCATTGCCTGGAAAGCCGAATGCCTTGATGACGATTCCCTCGGGTCCATTGTCAAGGAGAGGTTGAGAGTTAGAGTCGACGTGTCCATTGTCGACTTCAAGTTTAGATCAGACATTGCTGCAGCATGAGGGGCCGAATGAAGGGCAATTGGACGGACAAGCTTAGCCGAAGCATTATTCTCAAGATTTGTGTGTCCCAAGGTTAGATTTCCCATTGGATTCTCAATGGGAACTGGCAAGACAGCCGGACCCACAGTCAATGGAAAATTAGGCACCATCGAAAATCCACTAGGATTACAAGCCTCAGATGGTGGTGGAGGTGGCAATGGATGTGATTGAGATGTGTTATTTTGATGATGTACTTGCTCTTCATCCATTGGAGTTGCAGTGACCTAACACACAGAAAAAGGAGTTATCACGATAAGATAAAGCTTACTTTTGCTTTTGGTGGTGGTGAAAAATTGCACGAACCAACTAATTAGACAAACAAAACAATACCATCCACTTCAAAGAAATTACGAATCAACAATTTGACTTTTTTTTTCAGTCTATAAGGAGCCAAAGCCATTCAAACATATAGCATTCTTCATCAAATTTCGTTTTCTGTTCCAAAATTTCCTGAGCAAATAAAAGTAATCCCAAACTTGAACAGATCACCAAGTAAACAATCTTATGCTCTCTCAAGACTGATTGCCAAGAAAATTGGATAGGGATATATAAGTTCAAATGTTGCATATAGTTCAAACGATAAAGACCTTATATCTTCAGCTCCAAAAAACCTACTTGCCAGATTCATATAAACAACTACTTAAAAAACAAACTGCTAGATCCACACACTTTAAATGACTGCAAAGCTACTTGTCAGATCAAATGCATGAATTGGATTGAGTTGCTCTGAAATTAGAGGGAACTGAATTATTACCGTATCTGTTGTGATATCGAAGAGGCTAGATCTGCGGCGGCGGCGATTGTGGTTGCTTCGGCGCAGAAAGTATTTCTGAGCGTGGCTGGCAACCTGAGTGGGTGTGCGAGTCTTCACGAAGTTTCTAGAGATCCCTCTCCAATCGCCCTTCCCCACTTTCTGCAACCCTAGCAGGAATAGCTTGTGCTCTTCCTCCGTCCATGGAACCCCTGATCACCATACATATGAATAATAAATTCACAATTTTTCAAACAAAATTAACTCATTTCATATCAATTTTCTTTTCTTAAATGAATTTGAATTAACATAGAAAAACAGAATTAGCAATTTCATGAATTTAGAACATGCAATGTAACAATTGACAAAAATTTCTGATTTATTTTTTTTTGGTAAAGAATGCAAATTTTGTCAACGATGAGCAAAACACTAAATCAAACTTGTTCCCTTTTTGATCAATTGACTAAAATTTCAGTGTAGAGTGGTTGATCAGAGATTATCGGCGATCAGATGGATAGAGAGAGATAGAGAGAGACTGACCTCGCTTGCGTTCGCGCTCGCGATTTCCGGCAGAATTGTGAACTACGTCGTTCTCGGAGGCGTAACCGGCCACGTCATCCTTGCCGGCGATGGTGTTATTGCCGCTGTTGTTGTTGGAGCCCTCTTGAGGCTGCTCGTACTGTGAGAGATTGTTCAAACTCACGCTCTTCCTCATGGAGTCGACCACCACGCGCACGCCGAAGAGCATGATCTCTCCGGCGCCCGCAGGCTCGACTGTAGAGCACGTGCCAGCCATCTTCACCGACCACTGCGACGACGACGACGACGTTTTTAAGTCTCTGCCTTTTTCTGGACGGCTATGGATCTGAGGCCGTACGATTATGAAAGCAGCGAATGAAAAAGATGAAGAGCAGTGTGCGGGTGAGGTTTTATATATATACGCGGGAGACGACAGGGATGAGGTGGCTCCATGTGGATCGTGGAACAGACGGTGTGTAAAGCCTGTAAAGTTTCGGGCTTTGGGTCTGCGTTCAACACGTGTGATGTAAATAGTCCGTTTACTTTTTTACCATTCGTTTCGTGTTTTATTCTGTCTCTTTAGCATCTCTCTCCAACAAATATCTTACAATTACAAAAACAAAATTTAACCTAGGATTGGATTTTCATTTAAAGCTTTACCAATTTATCACACTACCTCCTCCATGTCATTTGGCTTGAACTCATTGGAAAATGAAGCTTTAATTAATGATGATAAGTTGAAGATAAAATGAATGGTTACACTATTAATATCGTCGATGTCTTTTGTGATAAAATCTCATTTTTATTGGGTTTTATAGATTGTTAAGTTAGGAATAATATCAATATTGCTAGTAGTGGATCGTTGACTCGACAAATTAATGAACCAAATATATGAGAATAATTCATAGACATTTATACGATGATGTTAAAAATGAACCAAAATGGGGTTTGGTGGAGCAAACAAGAAATTTGGATTTGGTCAAAATTATGAACAATTGTTGTGGAAGGCTACCAACAAACAGAGAAACAAACTTGACACATGAGCATTGTTGTTTGGCTAAATGTTGCCCTTCAAGCTTTAAAATGAGTCCATTTTTTTGTTTTTGTTTTTTTTTTTTTTTTTCTTTTTTTTTTTTGTTTACTTTAAATAATCACAAACACTTCAATTTTAGTGTTTAGGGTGACTGTTTTTCCTAACAATTATGAGCCTAGATAGGACCAAATTTGTGCACAAAAAAGATTCCAAATTTCATTTGGAAGAGAGGCATTGTTTATGGGGCCCCACTCAACCACCAATTCTTGCTGTCTCTAGAATGAATAAATAAATAAAAATGAGGAGGGCATCGCACATGGTTGAGGCATTTCACAAAATATAATATGCTCTCTGTCTGCACCCCTTTCTTTATCCAGTCAAACCCAACTTGATTATCGATAATAGTGAGTTAAACAAGTAATTAACTCATCCGAACCCCAAACTTATGCAGAACAGAACAGACCTACCACAACATTTTTATTTTTTTTAAAAGGTAAAATCAAAATGACATCTTCACTTTGAATATCTTAATCTACTTGCGTTTAGTGAGGTATAATACAATTGGTTAAGTTTTTCACCTCTATTTATGTGGGCAGATGTTCAAAACACCCAGATACCTAATGAATATTTGTGTAAACTCTCCTCTTCCAATCGCTTGTATTTAAAAAATTATGTACTTGCAAATTGCAATTAATTAAGGATAAACCCCAGCTCAATGCTATTCTTTATGCTTATAGTAGTTATCAATCTATGATTTTTGGATATTATTATGGTTATAATAATTGAGAGATGCTCTATGGACCGTCAACTTCGCATATTCGCTTTTGTCCACTGAAAATAAATAGGCGGATTTGTTTTCGTTATCTCTTAAGATCGTACACTCCTGTTTTAATATAAACTTGCTTTCATGGTGGGGTAGTTGTGCTTGTGATAGAGGTAGAGTAGCTAAGATAAGGTTTCTGTGGGGTTCCACCATTACCCTTGCACTCTTATCTTCTCGGCCTCTTTTCATGAAAAACTTTTGTTCCACACCTGCACTCCTTATCTTAAAGTCCATACATGTTGAAGATAATTTCTGATGCAATCATTGCACGTTTAATCGCATACAATTAGGATTTCATGGCGGAACTTCGTAGCATGGGTTTGTAACTTAGCAGTGAATCAAAGTAATTGTTTTGTGACAGAGATTAAATTAAACGGGCAAGATGATGTAGTATGTTCATTGCTACTTAGTGTGTGAAGTTGCATTAAGCATGCCCTATCCCCTCGGATTAGTAGGGGAACCAACACACTATGACTGTGAGCGTGTAGCAAAACAAATAGGTTTCATGTATAATGGAATTTCTTACCCAAAATGGTTGGGAGTTTTCTTTTTGTTTCTGTATAGGAGGTGGAGTGTAGGGCTTGAACTTTTACTATTGATGTGGGCAACATGATCTAGCATTGGAAGTAGAAGCATATTCACCTAAACTACTATTATTGAGATAAAAGGAAAGTTGGGTAAAAAGCCAGGGGAGAAAAGTGATAGATGATCCTATTGAAGAAAGCACTTCCAATGCCTTTACTTGTAGATTTGGACATAAATTTGACTTTAGGGCTTGAGATGTGCTTAGTTAAATACGCTTTTGCTTTTATTGTTGACACCAAATATTACCCCCTTTCTCTCCAAAGTGCTTTTATTAATTCTGTGTATGGTACGGAGAGCATGTGGTGTTTCTTAGCTTTTTTACTTTGTGCCAAGAATCATATTGGTATCTTTGTTAACCTCGAGTGTTTTCTTAATCTCCAAGAAAATGATCGAGAGACTGCTTTCTCTAAGAAAAAAGACTCCAACCTAAAGCGAAATAGAAGTTTTCGGAACATATACATAGCTTTAAAACATGTTGGTATTATCACAGTGCGTGATGAGAACGCAATGGAAAACCACAATAGGGTTTGCTTGCTTTCTCTTATTTTGTTTCCCTTCTTTTTCTCTTATTGTTCACTTTTTGTTTCCTTTCTTTTTTAAAATAAGGCGATGTTGTAAATTACTCTAACGTACGTCAAGTGCAACGCACAATTTAATCCTTTAATTTATGATATGATTTGGAAACTAATGGGCGGGATTAAAATTTTAATTTTTAAAGTTTAGTATTGTGGAGGATTGAAGCCCAAACAAGAAAGATTAAACAAGAACAACTCTGGGCCTAAAGAGAGACCCAAGACATATTTCTCAATCAAAAAGTGGCCCACAGAACTAGGAGGTCGTGCAGTCCAGATCTAAACTGTGTCCAAATTTGTTCATTGTATAAATGTACTGCACTGATGTAAACAAGAATTCACAATGAAGGCTAAACTACAACAACAATCTGTTGACTTTTCTCAAAATATTTAGACGCAAAATTGTTAGTGTACATTTACACATGAAAAAAGGATAACTACAGCTAGCTACAAAATCACAATCCTTGTTACCTCGAGGTCTTCCGCAAGTGATCCCAAGGACCAGAACTCACTTCAAATCAAACTAGAAAGAGCGTGGAACTGAGCATTTCGCGGTTTGGTCAATGCCGCCTTCTTTGCAAGCTAATACTTAGGTTGGTGAGGACCCGAAAAATCATTCTCCACCAAATTATAACTCTAGGAAATTGAACTAAGAATTGGTACCGAAGCATTCCCATTCTTGTGCTGAAATGGCGACAAGTAAATCTAAACCAAACTCTAGTAAGTGATGAGTATATCTAGTGTATCTAAACTGCACTTGTCAAAAGCTCTGTTCTTATCCTTAATCTTTCATCAGAAGTGACGTCATTATACCGTCCACTATTGACATCTTTGGAGGATGTTTTTATTCCCGGAGGCGGAAACGGGGAGTTACTTAATGTAATTATTTTCTTCCTTTCCGACCCATCTGTTGATGGTTCGATGCTTGATAGAATCCGCTTGAGCTGAGGGCGCTGGCAGAGAATTCGACCCTTGTTCCATTTTGGGAAGGAAAAGGATGATGGCATATTATCCTCCAGAAATGAATAAGCAGCCTTTGCAATAGGGAAATCTTGTGTCATTGAGCTTTTCTCCATCTTTCCTCGTCTGATCGATAAAAAACACATCACTAATAGTCAGACAACTTGAAGTGACAAAGTTAGAAAAACCAAAACTTATATTTTTTAAAATCACTTAATCTATATGTAGCCTTTTATGTGTTTTTCTCCTTTTCTCTTTTCCCCCTTTCTTATCGGCCCCCAACAAAAACAGTTTGATCTGTGAATTTATTGCAATACCAAAACAGATACACCTATGCAAGTGCGAGGTTTGCCATAGGAACAGCGGGTTACTCCCTCCCACTAATCTATATAGAGTGTATATGCCAACATACACCTAAATAACAAGAACTGAAAATAATTTTTTTATTATTTGAGATTCTAGATTTTGTCAAGGTTAATGAAAATCACTTTGTGTCACTATTAGATCCCTAGCCTACCTAGACCATATAAGCCCTAACCAACATCTGTATCAAGTAGGCCTTCAGAAAAGAAATTGATGGAAGGAAAGAGCAACTTACACTACAACAACAGTTGCAATATTGGGAAGATCCTCTCCATTCAGGAACATCTCATACATATTGTTTAGCCAAACTGACATTGCTGCATATGCACCGCCTTGCCACATCCTATAAAATGGTCAACATGAGGATTAAAATAAACCTGTGTAAGAGGACATGACTTCAAAGAGACGAACTCTCAATATACCTGTGCACATCAACAGACCCCACAAGTTTATTTTTACGAAAAAGTTCAGGAAAAAGCCCTCGCTGTGTCGCTTCATTAAGAACTCGGACAGCTCTTTGTTTCTGGCCCAGCCACCAAAGTGCTTCTAGTAGTGTGTTGTAGAACCTCATTCCCAACCCGCATCCTTCAGATTTTAATTTGTCAAAAACATACTCTACCATCTGCCAGTTAGAGTCATCATCATAATCTCCCTTTATCATCTGCCCAATTACTTGATGAATATTTGATGCCCTATTTGTGAGCATCTCATTTAGCAACTCATTGGCATCATCCCACCTGAAAGAAAGGAGCCCAAAAGGTAAGATAAATCATCACAAGGGCAAAAGATAATAACTTTATCGCTGAAAGGCTTTCACAATGCCATAGACCAATGACAATGATGCAAGTTGCAAGATCAAGTGCAATCAAAGTAGCCTTGATTTGAAGTTTTCCAGTGACGGATTGCTGAAGGCTAAATATTAACAATACAGTTAATGCAGAATTGCAGAGGCCATACTGCATATATACTGCCACTCATCTTAGTTATAAGATTTTGGGATAGAGAGTATAAAGGACATATTGTCTCGAGCACTGCAAAGTATTTCTATAGTGGATCATCGATTTTTGAAGCTACTATATAACATTAGTTAAAATTTGCCAAAGTTTCTACAGATACTGTCTTTAAACTCAGTAACTTACCTACCAGTTGCACCATACATGTCATAGAGAGATGAATTACGAATTCAGGAGAACTGAATGTTGTTTATCTTTTATGCACTCAATTTTTTTAGCAAATAAATATCTTATGTGCTCCTTTTATTCATAGAAAAATATTATGTTGGATAATTGTATGGGTGACCATTAGCTCAGAAATTGCTCCTTTACCATAAACAATGAAAGGAAAATATTATGAAATAATTGAGTGAATGCTGACCTGTCATTCCTTGCATAAACAGCAAGCATCATGCAGTAGCACATGACACTGGGCAATATTCCCGAGGCTTTCATCTCTTGGAAGTGGTCCTCACACTCATTAACAAGACCTGCAACGCAGTAAACACTTAAAACTGCCTCAAGGGTCCATTCATCATGATCACATCTTCTCTTTTCCATCTCAACGTATGCCTTTATAGCTTCCTCAAACTGACCTCCTTGTCTAAAAGCTTCAATCATACCATTGAATGTATGGACATTCCTGGCAGCACCCACCTCGCCCATTATTGACAAAACTGCTTCAGTCTCCCTGTATAGGCCGCCTCTTGCAAATGCATATATCAGCGAGTTGTAGCTTTCAACTGATGGTTTGCTTCCCACTTCATTCATTGTGTTGAAGGCAACAAGAGCTTCGTCATACAATGCCGCTTGCCCATATGCTTCAATAACCCCTGTATAAGCCTTCGAACTAGGCACTATTCCTTTCTCGCTCATGTGAAGTAAAATGTTCTTGGCATCCTCATGGAGTCCTCCCTTTCCACAAGCATATATCAACCCTTCATACGTCTCCATATTCGGCTCAATATTCTCCTCCACCATATCATGAAACAAAGTCACCACCTCTTTAAAATACCCACCCTCCCCAAACACCTGTATGAGAATGTTATATGTAGCCGGGTCTGGCTCTGTATTGCTCATTTTCATCTCAAGAAAAAGCTCCCGAACATCATCATACCGTCCATGCCTCCCATACAAATTCAACAGAATACTATATGTGGCCGCATTTGGCATACACCCTGCTGCTTGCATCTGCCTAAACACACCCATTGACTCTCTAATTGACCCCAATTGTGCATATGCCTCTAATAACACATTATACGATGTAATATCAGGTAAATTCCCTCCAGATTCCATATCTTTAAGCAGCTCTGATACTTTCTCAAGCTTACCCAATTTACCAAAAGTTTCAACAAGATAACGATATGTGGTTATATCCGGAACAATCCCACCCTCATTCATAGTCCTGAACACCATCTCTGCCTCATCACCTAAACCTCTACCAGCACAAGCACTAAGCAAAGTATTATAAGTAACAAGGTCAGGTTGAATCCCTTCATGCCTCATTTCGGCAAACAATCCTAATAACCCTTCCCATTCCAACCCACCTCTAGCACAGGCATTGAGAACGGTATTATAAGTCAATATACTCGACGAAACCTTATCTTTCTTCATTCTATCAAGAAATTGAAGGGAGGTTTCATACTGACCGTTGCGCCCATAGGCATTGATCAAAGCGGTGTAGCTGAATACGCTACGCACCACGCCTTGGCTTGGCATGTCGTCGAACACCTCGGAGCATTTATCGAGCAGGCCTTCGCGGCCTAGCAAGCTGATCATGATGGTGTAAATGTGCTCGTTCGGCTTGCACCATATCTGGCGCTGCATATACTTGAAGAGCCTCAGCGATCGCTGCCAATCGCCGCGCGCCGCGAACTCCTTGAACACCAAAGCGAAGTCGTTTAGCGACAGTTTATTCTTGAAGATGTCGAGACACCGAGCTATGCTGCCTCGGGGAGGGAGACTGCTGAGCTTGTTGATTAGGGTTTCGACGTCGTAGCTGTACTTCCCCTTCTCGACTGTCACCGACGGGTTCCCAAGGATGAGATCCTTCGGCTTCGCCCTAGCCGAGAACGCCAACCGCCGGTCGCCGGAGAGGAAATTTCGGTGGCCGGATAGGAATCTCCGGTGTACAGTTGAGTCCGGGGTTTTAGTGACGACTGAGAGATGGTAGGACTTAGGGTTAAGGTTGGAAAGTGAGGCCGGGAGAGGCGAAGAGCTGGAAATGGAGAGAGCTGGGGAGAGGGTCATATTGGTAATTTGGCTGGCATGAGCCTCTCAGAGCTTTGGATTTTCAAGAGAGAGTTGCAGAGGAGAGTGGGGGTGGGAAAGACTGAGCTTGAAGAAGGACGCGTGGAAGTAGTTGTGGATAATAGGTGGGAAGAAGGCGGGTAGAGTAGTGGGTCGGATCCAATTTGGGCGGGTTAACTGTATTGCGTTTGAGTGATGGCCCAAATAATGGCGGTAACGAATTTTCAAATGGCGATGGTTAGCTAAATAAGTTTTGATTAAAAAATAATTAAGAAATAAGAAATCACCAAGTAAACCTTTTTTTTCTGTGAAAAGTTCACCATTATTTAGTAGAGGTTTTTATTTATTTATTTATTTTATTTTATAATTATCCAAATGGCCCTAAATTTACGCACATCTTTCATTTGGTTTTTCAAATAATTTTTCGTGTTAAATTAGTTCCATTATTAAATTTTGTCAATACGGACTAAAACGGTCAATTTGAATTAAAATATTAATGAAATAATTAAACATTATGATTTTTCACCAATATGAATCTTGAATTTTATGTCTGAGTTCCATTTTGGTTGTTGAGCTAATTTTTTTCAATCCTAATAGTCTTCAAACACTTTCTTTCATATCAAATTAGTCCTATCATTAACGTATATTTTTTTTGGGTCAAATCATTAACGTAGATTAGGTTAGTGAGATTAGTAGACGGGGAAAAGCAAAAATCTCTAAAGAAAAACCTTGCACTTAGGTAGGTATGATCTTTCTAAGTATCAAACGTATTTCATCTTTGAATTGAGTTATGCATTGATTTTCAAGAATGAATATTCACAAATTTAATTCTTGCATATTAGTCTCTCCGCACGCTCTTCAGTGCCTGTGAGAGGTTTTTTTTAAAAAAAATTTAAATTTATTTTAGAATTAAAAAAGACAATGGGTAATTGTGTTTCATAAAAATAAGATATATTATATGAATTTTCTTTTAATTAAATTTTTTTAATATAAAAAAGTGTGAATTTACCATATTATTTTATTTAATTAATAATTTCTATTCATAATATTTGTTTTACTAAAGATATTTTTTGATATTTTGAATATTTTACTTTTCTCTGTCTTTTGTTTTATTATTGCATATAAACTCCCAAAACCAAAAAGACATTATTATATTATGTTTCGTTAACCCACTGTAGGCAGAGTAGGCCTGCAATCAGTACCGCCCAACTGTCGCACCACGCCTTTCAAAGCCCCGTTTTCCCACAAGCCCAATGCATGGCCCATCAGCCACGTGCGCACTCGCCACGTTTCTGCTTATTAGACGTCCACGTCATTGATGGCGGGACCGCAATCATGGTGCGGCGCGAGGAGGAGGAGGAGACCCCACAAACAAAAAGAGCGCCCAACTGAAAATACAACCGCACCGAGTTGTGGCTGGTTGGCTCGTTAGGAGACGTGGCAATATCGTAAATTAACGAGGGTAACGAGGGCAGATCGGGAAATATGGTTAGGACATTCAGTTCCTAACAAACAGCTGCTTGCTGCTGCAAAGTGAGGGGAAAACAGAAAACCTCCGCGTCTTCTCTTCTTCTTCTCTATTTCTTTTTATTTTCACGACCCAGACACGACTTGGTTTGAAAACCAGCAACGGCTTCTCTGCATTAGCGAAAATGGAGGAGTCTGAACTTGTAATTTCGACTTTGCCCTACTCTTCACAATCTAAAGTCCCTCCCTCCCTCTCTCTCTTTCTCTCTCTCTCTCTCACCGCCACCAACTAACTACCTTTTCTTTTTCTCTCTCTTTTTGTTTTTGAAAATTCGAAAGAGGGTCTTGAAAGTTGATTGCGATCTTTGTTTTGGTATTGTTTGAGTTGCTTTTTGTTTGATTCTTTGTGGGTTTTTGGTTTTGTCTCAGAAATTGACGGCTTTGAAGAAGGCCTACGCCGAAATAATCCTCAACACGGCGAAAGAGGCGGCGGCACGTATTGTAGTGTCGGAGAGAAAAGCTCTGCGGTTTCAAAGGGAGCTCTTTTCGACTAAAGAAGAGGCATTCCGGATGCTTCTTAGGCTCAAACAAATGTTGGATTCCAAGGTATATGTTTGGTCTCAAATGAAGTTGCTTTTTTTACATTTGTATTTTGTTTGGATGTTGGTTTTGACTGTTCTTTGATCCTCTGTTGGTGAAGTAATGTTGATATACAGTTGGGATTTGTTAAAGTTGTGTTTTTGTGGATGCAGTGTGGTGTGAATTGTTGTTTCTTTTTAAACTTGTGTTGTTCTCGACATGTGATCAATAGGAACAACATATGTTATTGGGAATTCCTGTTTTCTATCAAGGATGGACTTTTTTGTTATAGTTGGTTTTCATTAGAAAGGGTCGCTGGGAGAAAAAGACATGATTCACTAAAAGTGGTTTATTAGGCTTTTGTTATTAATTTTCTGATGAAATAAATCAAGGGTCGTTGAGTAACTGATTGTGCCATCTGTTCAGGCTTGTGAAGCAAAGATGATGTCCTCGAGTCAACAAAAAAAGATTGACGAACTTGAAGCACAGCTCCAGGAAGCTGAGGATATAGTGAAAGACCTTAGGGAAGAGTTGAGCGAAGTGCAGACTCAACTGGAGAAGGCGACAAAGAATCAACCACAGCCTCTGGCAAGGGAAAGTTTAGACAGTGATACTGCTGCTCCAGGGTTAATGATATCTCAACTGAGTTCGCAGATAGATGCGGTTGCAACTTATGAAAAGAATTCAATTTCGAATGGGACATATGAGGGGAGCAGGTGCTACAGTACAAATGATGCTCTTAAGGATCGGTACTGTGTTCCTAATCCCGATTTTGCCTCTTTAGTAATGAGAAGTAAAGAGCCTGAGTTATACAGAAATGGATGCACTCAGAGAATTCGTGCATTTGAAAGAAACCTATTGGATGAAAATTTGTCTCTTTCTGGACTAGTTGATGATGCAAAAAATGCAACATTCATCAGAGGAGATGATGAAGGTAAAGGGATGTGTAACACGCCTAAACCAAAGGTTGGCAATACGCATGGGGTAGAGAAGAACCAAGAACAACTGAAAGTGATGCAGCTAGATGGTAGCCATATTCAAGCACCTGCCTTTAAGTCCTTTCAAAATAAGAGGAAAAGAGCTGCTAGATATAGGAGGAGCAAAGCTCCCTCATGCAGGTATCTTCCTCATCAGTTCAAGGAAATGCACCAAGATCTATCCTGCACCATTACTTCTGCTTCTTCAGTCAATAACAATGTTCTCACAGATAATGCTTCCAAGAAATCTGAAGATGAAATTCGAAAAGTCACAGAATCCGTTTTGACCCCAAAATTAATCTCAGATACAACTGAAATGAGCACACGGTCAGGATGTTCTTACGTAACTGACAATGATGCAGGGTTTGTTAGACCTTGTAGTGTTCAGAAGGCAATGGACAATGATAAGATGATCATTGAAGAATCAGAAATGACCAGACAGGAATGTTTATCTGCAGAAAAATTGGAGATTCTGGCTTGCAAAACAGATGTTGAGAAAGATAATAGACCATTGTATAAGTCGGATATGAGAGCATCTGATTTAGATGGTGGCACTGCTAGTCAACCTGCAGACAATAAGTTTCTTAAATATACATTCTGCAGAAAGCGCAAGAAGGAGACATTGAACAGCCCTGAAGGGTTGTCCGTTCTTGACAATGGCACTTTGGAAAGAAAGACAGGGGAGGAACAAAATGTTTCTCTCGAGCCACAGAAGTCAAGCTTATTGACTGAATCATCTCGGGAAAGTCGACGATTAGCACAGGTTGCTCGTCAGGTGGGGGATACATAATATTAGTGCGTACTTGATGTCATGTGTCTCTTTGCTCGTATGTGTGCTTGCATCGCCTCTGGCATTCATACTTTTGTATGATAAATACAGCTAGAATTAGTAAAACTTATGCAAGATTCAGTTGTTAGTTCTGGATACTGGGATTTACTGTGAGGGTCAATCTGAGTGCTTGCCTAGTTGGTCTTTGGGTCTTCCGTGAAATGATTAAGTATGCCTGTTTAAACCTTGAAATATTGTGAACCTGAGCTGAACTCAAGCTGTTTCAGTGTTGCAATTCCGTACTGCACTGGCATATCAATATCCTGGGACTAGGATACCAATTACCCTAGTTGTGCAAGATTGTCAGTCACTTTGTTCATCCCTGAAAATGCTCTTGTATATGAAACTAATTTTAGAGATCAATATATCTGTTATGAGATTTAAAATATTCACCAAGATATTAATATTTTTCCATAAATGATCAATTACCATGTAGTTTGGATACTTGAAGATCATTTTTTAGTGCATTACACTTTTCCATCTTGTTTGTTTGTTTTACTGAGCTTTCAGATGCCTTGGAGTGGGATTGGTTTTGTCTTTGATCATTTAGTCGTCCATCCTTTCTTTCACCTGTTAGTTTGCCTACATTACTTTCACATTGTTTCTGTTTATCCCTGATCTCCTCAAAGCTGATGGTTTGAGCAGCCTGAAGTTTTCTTTGTTTACAAATAGAGTAATTGCAAAACACTTTGCAGCTGTGAATATAAAATCATTTGCATTTAGAGATCTTTGAATACTTTACTTCTTTTGGAGTTGGATGAGAACTGTAGAATGCTACTTACTAATACCCTATGCATTTTCTCTTGCACAGCTTATATCTATGTCAGAGAAGAAGTGGTGGAAATAGAGATCTGGATGGACTTTGCTTAGGAATGGCAAGGACATTGAAGTTGAATTATAAAGAAAATCAGATACACTGCCTCTGCTATAAAGATTCCAAGCACGGCTTTGGGTCCGGAAAAATTGATAGTTCCATTGTTGAGGAAGAAGTGTAGATCCCTCTGAGTTAGTAACATATGGGGATTATGATGTTATTTAATACATGAATTGAAGTTGAGCATTGTTATATTTCTAGTCTCTTTGCATTCTTATGAGTTTTGTATAACATGAGTTTTGTATAACTATAAGAGTATGTGGCATTGTTGCCCATATTGTATTGCAGCATACTAGTAAATGATTAAAAGCAAATTTCCATCGGAAATGTTCCTTTGTATCTTTACAAGTGCTTTCTCAGTTATCTCCATATTTGCTCACCACAAGTATGGTCATTGATCAATGATCCTAAATTTCTCTAATTAATAATACCTTTGATAAAATAAAATGTCCAAATCCAAAATAAAAATAAAAAAACTGTAAAACCTCACTTTTTTTTGTTTTTAATAATAGGGGTGTTTTTGAATTTTTTTTTGGGTTCGGTTTTTTAAAAATGGGCCTACCAAATAGGTTTTTAAGGCAAATATGTTGTTGAGTTTATAAATTTAGATCCAAGTAGGATACCAAACGAGCCCTTAGTAATTGATTGTGATTCAAAGCAAAATCAGTTTTGGTGATTCAATATACGGACTAACCAACAAGAAGCTACTCTGTTTTTACTAAAACTAAGAGTGTAGTTTTTATATGTGAATTGTTTGACCAATCTTAATATCCTGGAAAAAATGTCATTGGTTAGTGTATTTATTAATTAGAATAATCATAAGTGAATATAAAATAAATAGTATCCTGGAAAAAATTTCATTGGTCAGTGTATTTATTGTCCATAATAGTATAGCCGCCCGGCTTTAATCGGGTATTTTTTTAATAAAATAAATAGTATATAGGAGTGGGTATACTCTTTATATATATATACACACACACACATACTGGGATCCTTTTTTATTAAAAAAAAATTAAAAAAATCCCTAATTTTCTGTTATCAAGAAGAATAGTTTAAATCATTATCCATTACCCAAGTCTCGGGATAGAGCTCCAGAAAAACCAGAAAGCATCCTACAACATACATTAATTAACGCAAAACAACTTCATTTGTATAGCCGAGCCTTAAAATATTCGAATAAATTCACAGCGTATAGCCGGACGGCTATACCGTCAAAATACTACATTTAAATAGTATAGCCGCGCGGCTATACCGAATACATTCACAGCGTATAGCCGCACGGCTATACCGTCAAAATAATACATTTAAATAGTATAGCCGATCGGCTATATATTAAAATATTCGAATACATTCAAAAGGTATGGCCGCACGGCTATACCGTCAAAATAATATATTTAAATAGTATAGCCGCGGTGATATTGAACTTGCATTTTGCTCTATTATTGCTTTGTCTCCTGGTTGTTTCCATGACTCACCAGATCTTGATGGTTAATTTTCACTCATTTATACGACCCTTTTGTATATGCAACCTTTCTTTTTTCTCTTTTTATTATAAACGTTAAACAAGAAGATTATAGGTGGTGATGGGCAAAGGGAACCCATACATGACCAATTTTGTTATCGTTCACATCAAAACTTCATTTGTATGTTATGTCAAGATGAATTTCCTTTTTCTATTTTTATTTTTAGAAATTTGGCTACAGTACTTCTTAACAATCATGAGTTAGTTTTGAAGTTTTACATGTACAGATTCAAGCCTTCAAAGTGAGGGCCTTGAGAAGGAGTCCCTTTTCAGTGATTTTGTCTCCCACATGTTCTCTCTCAAAATTTTCATCTCTAATCCTAGACATTTTTCCATTCTACATATCTCCCCAGACTCTGGGTGGGTTGTATCATCTGATGAAAACCCATGCAGATACAAGGAACCATCAGCATCACCAGTATCCACCCAACTATATCCCACTTCCTTTCTCACTCCTTTGTCTCTCATCCCTTTCCTAACTTTTGCTACCATTTCCCAGTCCCCTTTCTCAGCGTACAAAAAGATCATTTTCGTAATCTATATACTGATCAGGCATATAGGCATGGGGTGTAAACCTTCTAGGTCATCATCTGGTCATTATTAAGGTAAGGCAAAATTTGTGCGGTATCTTTTTCATTTGGTTCCTATATTCACAAAGGTTTCTAGCATGAATATATTGCAGCAGCTGTTCTTCAGGAAAAATTTACGTAAGCGTTGATTCTCTTGCAGTTGCAGGGAACATAATATTATGATGGGAAAACAAAGAGATTTGTTGATTTTCCAATATCAATCACAGATATATTGCAAATGATGAAGTCTTGCAGTCCTATATCATTTTCATTGCTGCTGTGACAATGATCCTCTTGTACTTAAATGCGGTTTTTATTATTTTGTGTCCTTAGTATTTGATTTATTGAGCCTGTACAAAATCTTACATGAGCATAATTTTCTACAGATGTTTAATCTAGCTTACTATGGCTTGGACAATACTGAACCTGAGTTTCATACAAAGTGGATAAGGACCGCTTGGATGATCCACATGTCAAAGCCAATCTGCTATTTCAGGTCAGAGAACGTTGTCTTGTTTTGCTTTTTAGTTCTCTCATCGTTTTATTCTCTTACTACCATGCATGAATTCTGCATTCAGCCACATTTCTCGCAGTTAGAATTACCAATCAGTAATTATGTCACAGGCTTGAAGTCAGTATTCGATCAAAGTACACGAATCATCCAGGCCATGACAGATATATGTGCTAAAAGTGGGTGGATTTTAAGCTCAATTACTTGCACGCATCCTCTGCAAATGGTTGCGCAGGTATTCTTCTTAGTAGATACAATTCTGACTTCTTAGTAGTAGTACTTGCCTCGAAGTTCATAAAAACAAAAAATTTAATACAAATCAAACATCAAAAGATTTCCTAGTAACACAACTCCATCACACTGAATATGCATTTCCTAGTCAAAACCTCATGCGGGTCCTTTTTTTTTAACTAAATAGTATAGCCGCGCGGCTATATTGTCCATAATAGTATAGTCGCCCGGCTTTAATCGGGTATTTTTTTAATAAAACAAATAGCATATAGGAGCGGGTATACTCTTTATATATACATATACACACACACAAACATACACATACTGGGATCCTTTTTTATTAAAAAAAATTAAAAAAAATCCCTAATTTTCTGTTATCGAGAAGAATAGTTTAAATCATTATCCATTACCCAAGTCTCGGGATAGAGCTCCAGAAAAACCAGCAAGCATCCTACAACATACATTAATTAACGCAAAACAACTTCATTTGTAATAATCAAACACAAATATTAATCTCCACTTGTTACACTTACTAGATGCATATTTGATTAGGTGTTGGAAAAAAAAGGCTCCAAGAAGCCCGCTTCTGAAGACAAAAATGTAAGCCACAACAGTGATCATCAAATCAATCACGGAAATTAAGAATCTCAATCATCAAAGTCATCTCATAAGATAATAAAAGTAGCTAAAACTAACATCAAACCTGTAGCTAGTAGAAAAGCCAGGGCTATTTGCAAGTTTATGTAGATGAAGTAAAACACAAACTGGATGGAGTAGTCATTTTGAATGAAATAACTTAACCCTGCATGGATGTAATTAAGTTGGTCAATTAAAGCATTAACTCAAATTAAATAATGCTAGCATTTACCAGAATACTATATGTACCTAGAATTGAGCCAAATCCAATAAAACACAGCATGTAGAGCGCAGATATTGTAAGAAAAATATGCATACGAAATCATCCAATAAGGCCCGTCACCGAGGCCATGCATTTTCATCATGATTCTCAGTCTTTGTTCCTTCTCATATGCTTGGTGGAGTTGGAGAGAGAAAAAGAGATTTCAACACAAACTACGGATTTCAATTTACCAATAAGTCGTTGCTATACTTGAGCAATTTACAAACAAGTACCAGGATCCTATTCTTTGCAATTGAGGCCTTCCTGCATATTTCAATCATCAAAGTGATTGCTAGACTTGTTTTCTTGGCTTATTTTGCGCTCAAATGTTATACAAAATCCACGCCATGGCGTATGCTTTTCACTCATTTTCCTCAATTTTGTGCAGCCTTTCTCATTATCTGGTGTGTGCATGGATTTTTTTAGCACTACGATCTCTTTTATCTTATGAAAGTAGGGGAAATGCATAAACTTTATCAAACAGATACAATTCTGCTGAGGTTATTCATCTTCTGAAGTTACAATTAACAGCAATGCTAATATGCTATCATCCTATTCTGAAAGTCAGAGGTGCAACATGTATTATGTTAATCCTATAAACTATTAATACAACATCATAGAAATTATAAATATATGTCCACATCTTTTATCAATAAGTAAGAAATGCCAAGAAATTAGGTTAGATTTAGGGGAAATAGTTTCAATATATTCTAGATCTTGTTCAGATACAACAGGGGAAAGATAATTCCAAGCTAATGGTTACAAAGGCTTCATGGAGCAGCAAATGGACCAAGATTCAGGGGCCCCTCATAGACATTGATTCCGGCTCCAGCTGCCATTCGCAAAATAACACCCTTATTTTCCTCGTTGCTCCGGTCGATATACACAGAGCCCGCCCAGTTTTGCACGCGCTTCAGATCAAGAAGTATCTGCATATCCTCTGGTGTGACCACCGGCAGTCTTTCATAATGGGAAACCTTGCCCCTGAGGTACTGCTCGGATTCTGTGACAAAATCGAGCTCATCCTAGGCCATCTTAAACGCTACACTTGCACTTGCTGCACGAACAAGGAGCTTAGGAGGGACTGTTCCAGTTTGCACTCCTGAAAACACAGCATTCACCACCGCCTCGATCATGGCCAATTTGGCTACTTGCACTTGCTGTTGCACAAGTTCTTTTCTCCCCAGCGTGCTTTTGCATGCCATAATCACAGAGACACCAGTCGCATATGTATGCAAATCGTAAGGCATCCTGAAAGAAAATAGATTTAGAAACAAATTTAAAAAAATGGATAGTCAAAAGAGAAGATTTAGAAACTGAGTGTTAAAAGTCAAATAATTTTATTTCAAGATTATGCAAAATAGTTAGAGATTTGCTATGAACAGAGCTTTTTGTGCAGATGTATTTTCAGACAAGCAGAATAAAAAGAAAACAAAGAGCCTTCAAAAAATTTAGAGAGACAGATAGTACTAGAGAAGAGAGAGAATACATGAGATTGAGAGCGATTGTGAGCTAGTGATGAAGTTCTGAGTGAGAGAGTATCTGAGTCTGGTTTCAGAGAGTAGTGGAGGTAGGGAGAGAGATAGACTAACTGTGCATGGATGTTTCAGAGAACCATAATCAAAATATATTCAAAATGAGAATAGAGCTTCAAGGTTATGCAAAATTGTTAGAGATTTGCCATGAACAGAGCTTTCTGTGCAGATTATTTTCAAACAGCATAATAAAAAGAAAACAGAGACTTCAAAAAAAATTTAGAGAGACAGATAGTAATGGAGAAGAGAGAGATACCTGATATTGAGAGCGATTGTGAGCTAGTAATGAAGTTCTGAGTGAGAGAGCTGGTTTCAGAGAGTAGTGGAGGTAGGGGAGCTATTTATGGATTTCATGGGTGAGAGAGAAAGAGAGACATGTATCTTTTGTTTTTGTTTTCTTCTGACAAAACAAAAAAACCAACAAAAAGGCATCACTTTTTCAGAAACTTGGCTTCTAACAAAACACAAAAAACCAAGTTTTTGTTTTTGTTTTGGCAAAACCGTAATTTTACTATTCCTAAGCTACAGTCTATGAACAGATCAAAAACTAAATTACTAACTTCCCACAACTCCAAAAATATTTTACAACTCAACTATGCAAAACATTATAATCAGCCATATTTTGTATACACATTGACATGTACAACTCAACTATGCAAAATATGGATGATTATAATGTTTTGCATAGTTGAGTTGTAAAATATTTTTGGAGTTGTGGGAAGTTAGTAATTTAGTTTTTGATCTGTTCATAGACTGTAGCTTAGGAATAGTAAAATTACGGTTTTGCCAAAACAAAAACAAAAACTTGGTTTCTTTTGTTTTGTCAAAAGCCAAGTTTCTGAAAAAGTGACGCATTTTTGTTGGTTTTTTTTGTTTTGTCAAAAGAAAACAAAAACAAAAGATATATGTCTCTCTCTCTCTCTCACCCATGAAATCCATAAATAGCTCCCCTACCTCCACTACTCTCTGAAACCAACTCTCTCACTCAGAACTTCATTACTAGCTCACAATCGCTCTCAATATCAGGTATTCTCTCTCTTCTCCATTACTATCTGTCTCTCTAAATTTTTTTTGAAGTCTCCCTGTTTTCTTTTTATTCTGCTGTCTGAAAATAATCTGCACAGAAAGCTCTGTTCATAACAAATCTCTAACAATTTTGCATAATCTTGAAGCTCTGTTCTCATTTTGAATATATTTTGATTATGGTTCTCTAAAACATCCATGCACAGTTAGTCTCTCTCTCTCTCCCTACCTCCACTACTCTCTGAAACCAGACTCAGATACTCTCTCACTCAGAACTTCATCACTAGCTCACAATCGCTCTCAATCTCAGGTATTCTCTCTCTTCTCTAGTACTATCTGTCTCTCTAAATTTTTTGAAGGCTCTCTGTTTTTGTTTTTATTCTGCTTGTCTGAAAATACATCTGCACAGAAAGCTATGTTCATAGCAAATCTCTAACTATTTTGCATAATCTTGAAATAAAATTATTTGACTTTTAACAGTCAATTTCTAAATCTTCTCTTTTGACTATCAATTTTTTTAAATTTGTTTCTAAATCTATTTTCTTTTAGGATGCCTTACGATTTGCATACATATGCGACTGGTGCCTCTGTGATTATGGCATGCAAAAGCACGCTGGGGAGAAAAGAACTTGTGCAACAGCAAGTGCAGGTAGCCAAATTGGCCATGATCGAGGCGGTGGTGAATGCTGTGTTTTCAGGAGTGCAAACTGGAACAGTCCCTCCTAAGCTCCTTGTTCGTGCAGCAAGTGCAAGTGTAGCGTTTAAGATGGCCTAGGATGAGCTCGATTTTGTCACAGAATCCGAGCAGTACCTCAGGGGCAAGGTTTCCCAGTATGAAATACTGCCGGTGGTCACACCAGAGGATATGCAGATACTTCTTGATCTGAAGCGCGTGCAAAACTGGGTGGGCTCTATGTATATCGACCGGAGCAGCGAGGAAAATAAGGGTGTTATTTTGCGAATGGTAACTGGAGCCGGAATCAATGTCTATGAGGGGCCCCTGAATCTTAGTCCATTTGCTGCTCCATGAAGCCTTTATAACCATTAGCTTGGAATTATCGTTCCCCTGTTGTATCTGAACAAGATCTAGAATATATTGAAACTATTTCCCCTAAATCTAACCTAATTTCTTGGCATTTCATGCTTATTGATAAAAGATGTGGACATATTTATAATTTCTATGACGTTGTATTAATAGTTTATAGGATTAACTTAATACGACGACCTGACCCAATTTCAACTTTGGAATCCGGGTCGAAACCTGTTTAAAACTGACACCTGGTAACTGTGGGTCGTAAATGACCATAATGTCCTGAAAACAGTAACATAAACCCTGAGCCCCTAACTCGTGGCTGCGCCTGATAACTGTAGGCTGCCTACGTACCCTTACTGAGGGATTAAGCCATACGTAGTTCTTTCCTCTGTTCCTGACCTGTAACTGGTTTGTTTTACGTGTAAACCTCACTCTAGGGCTGACATTTCTGGAGTATCCGAGACTCCGTTATACGATCTGTCAAATGCTATACAATCCTGAAATTACCTAGGTCAACATATCCGAAAATGGTTACAATCCAATGGTTTGAAACTATTGAACCCGGAAATCACACAATATGTGAGATCCGTTCGGAGTTCAAACGTTAACCAAATTGAGATCCGCGAATTCCTATGCACTCGTGACGACCCAAGGATCATTCTAGAACTGAAAGTGGTCTCTACCAATCTGCCCACGCGCCGCCACACGCGCCGGCAGTGCGTGGGTGGCTTGATCAATTCCTGGCGGTCTGAAAAACTCCAAACCACAGGCTCAAACTCCTAACTTAGGTAAAATACCCCATTTGGAACAACTTTTGTTCTTGGACATACCCCAAAAACTGGCCGGAAGTGGCCGAAACAGTGACCCAAAAATCTGCTGAAACCTAACTTAAACAATCGAAAGATCTACGCTTGAAATCTCTGAAATCCTACCCAACCAGCAGTTAGAGCATGAAAAATAGCTAGAAAACCATACCTCCCTCGTCCTATTTGGTGGCCGGAGGCTTCCAAACGAGCTCCCGAAAGTTTACAAAAAAACTGTCCACCACCGCCTGTTTCGTGGCTGATTCCGGCGACCACACCGGCGGATCACGGCTGGGATGGGTTGAGACTGAAAGAGGGGAGTGAGGTGGTTCGTTTGGCACTGGTTTTCCTCAATTTGGTGGTCGGAGCTGAGAGAAATCCTCTCCTAAATCGGCTGCTCGAACTCCCGAGAGAGGAAAAATCTGGGTTTTTCTGGATTTTAAAAACTGAAGTTTGAAATATTTACGGTTATGCCACTGAACTTCTTTTAATCGTAACTCCTTCGTTATAACTCCTATTTGAGTCCACTACGTGTCTACAGACTCATCTCGCTGCGCTCTACGCAACGGTATAACTGAAATCCCAAAATTCCTTCCCTGTCAAAAATCAACTTTTAAACTAATAAAATATTCTATGGGTATAATTGTTTTTTACTAGAATAAATTAATTATTAAATATTAATTAAGGACCGGGTTGTTACAATCTACCCCCCTTATAAAAATTTCGTTCTTGAAATTTACTTACCCATCACTCGAAAAGGTGAGGGTACTAAGCCTGCATCTATTACTCGAATTATCAAGTCTGCTCTTTTAAAACTGCACTCACCACTTGCATCTCAATAACTATATCTATAAGACAATCAATAAAATCTGAAAGCAACCTATTTATATATGGATACCTAAGGTGGCTTAAGAAAACATAAAACTCTGAAAAGATCTGATAAATAACTGAATTTTTGATAAATTTAAAACTCTATTGCCATTAATATGATATTTAGCTAAAATTCTCCTTTTTCCTACGAGTGCCTGACACCTGGCTAATGCTGGGCACAAAAGACTAATTTGCCCTTTTTACCTGAAATTAACTGAAGTTCAAGTGCAACTTCTACCGAAAATTCAGCAGAGTCTTCCCTGTAAACTAAACATTTTCAAAAAACATTATACCTGTAAAACAAGCATGTATATTTATATAACTCATATGCCAGCAAGCATTAAATCATATCCAAGCAATCAAACATCATAATATTCAAGTCTTAGGTCGTAACAAACCAAATAAATCAATCTGCTAATCAATCTCAACTTTTAGCTCAGCAATAATACTCTGGTAATCTAGCTCAGCAGCATGAAATTTAAAATGTTTAAAAGCATATAGTAAGGTACTAAACTCATGCATTGTAGCACTCAAGTCTCAGGTTGCAACAAATCAAATAATTCAATCTGCTCAGGAGATTCATGTCAACTTTGAGATCAATAAAAATACTCTGGCCACCTCAAACATTTTAACTCGCGCATTCTTACTTATGCATGATTATCAAATAGTAGTTCTGCTGAAAAACATTGAATGTATAATTCATCCTGTTCTATAATCCTTGCTGGACTCAGGAGACATCTGGTCAACCTGATCCGCAATTCTGGCTCCCACAGTCTGGATAACTGTAAGACTCGTGAGGCAAAATATGTTAGTATTATTGGAACTGTTTAATACCATATCCAATAGTAAAATATGAAAGCCAACAACTTACATGAAATAAAATAAAACAACTTAAATAAAATAAACTAAGATAAATTAAAGCAAACGAAACTAAAATAAATAAAGTCCATAAGTAAATACATATATATATATATATGCATACATATACTCCATCTATTACTTGTAAAACAACGGTGATGTTTAAATAAATAATGGTAACTGTATAAAATCCTTAATTTCGTTTAAAAGCATCTCAAAACTTAAATCCTCTCCACCTAGGTGTACCCCCATAACTAATTCGTCAATTTCTGATATTCCGTCAATTCCTGATATCCGTCAATTCCTTTAATACTGTCAATTCCTTTAACAAGTGGAGATTAATATTTGTGTTTGATTATTACAAATGAAGTTGTTTTGCATTAATTAATGTATGTTGTAGGATGCTTGCTGGTTTTTCTGGAGCTCTATCCCGAGACTTGGGTAATGGATAATGATTTAAACTATTCTTCTCGATAACAGAAAATTAGGGATTTTTTTTTATATAATAAAAAAGGATCCCAGTATGTGTGTGTGTGTGTGTGTGTGTGTGTGTGTGTATATATATATAAAGAATATACCCGCTCCTATATACTATTTATTTTATTAAAAAAATACCCTATTAAAGTCGGGCGGCTATACTATTATGGACAATATAGCCGCGCGGCGATACTATTGAGTAAAAAAAAAGGGACCCGCATGGTGCACAGGTGCCCACGTGTGAAAATCAGTACAGCCGCGCGGCTAGACTATTTTTTAAAATAAAAAAACCCCCGAGTTCCTATTCTATTCCGTGTTCCTAGTCTTTGAGGGAAAAGACGAGCATATCCTATTATCCTTCCTTTTCTTTTGAGGGAAGCATATCCTATTTCTAATCAGAAAAGGGGAAAAAATTAAGTTAAAAAGAGTGGTTTACACAATTAGCTTACCAGTGCAACAACAAACCTAGGACTAGGAGCATTGGATATCTTAGAGTCTGAGGAAAGGTACTTGAATTTGTCTAGCCTGATAAGTGTTCACGCCTGCGTCGTTGTCTTTGCAAGCAGGCATCCTAGAGCCAGATTTGAGGGAGGAAGAGAGAATAGGCAAAACTATTCAATTTGTCCAGAACATGGTAAACATTTGTTTATTCGCATGATATCTAGTTGGTATAAGAATTGCAGCTTTTATTTCTTCTTACATATCTAACTAGAACAAACTTCTAGCCTTTGTTCTTGCCTCTTGGTTTGGGTTGATTTTCTTATTTGTGTCATCGTTGCTCAGGTCATGCTAGCTCTTTTGTTAAATTAATTTTCCAATTTGGTGGAGCCATGAAACTTGAGACAGAAGATTTCCGTGCATTTACTCTTTTTTATGTTTTCTTCTTTTGTTAAGAGCATGTACAACTCGGCGGACCGCATCAGTGAGTTGCCACTTGAAATTTTGGCTAGTATATTGTCTCTCTTGCCGCTAAAGGAAGCAGTGGCTACTAGTCTTCTATCAAGGCACTGGCGGCATGTGTGGGCGTCTACTTTGACACTTGATTTTGATCCCGAGAAAACTTTGTTTGGCTTCACATACCTTAGTCGAACGTTACAAGACAAGAAAAGTCGTAGGTACGTCAACTGGATCAATCGTGTGGTCGAGCAACATCATGGCCCTAACATCGAATCATTTAGGGCTTGCTTTGATCTAGATTGCCGCTTTACAAGTTCCATCGATAAATGGATTGAATTTGCATTGAAAAAGAGAGTTCAAGCGTTTGTCTTGGATTTTGTTAAGATATATGGTTTCAACAAAGATGCATATGCATTTCCGCGCAAACTGTTAGGTCTCGAAAAAGAGTTTGCTTCAAATCACTATGTTGGATTTAAATATCTCAGAGTTCTTTATTTTGAAAATGTTGATGTGACTGGAGAAATTATTGAGTACTTCTTGTCGCACTGTCCAGTTCTTGAACGATTATCAGTGTCTTTTGCTAAAAGTTTAGTTAACTTAAGAGTTGTCGGTCCATTAGTTGAATTGAAATACTTAGTGCTAAATTACTGCTTTAGCCTCAAAAGCGTTGAAATTTGTGACACAAAACTTGTTTCGTTTATTCACATTGGGTTTGCAATAGACTTGCGTCTCAGTAATGTACCCTCTCTGGTTGAGATAGCCATTTCTGGTATGAACACCCATCGTTTATGTGCCTCCACTGACTTCGTGAGACTTGCCTTTACCCAACTTTCATGTTGTCTTTATCAGCTAGAGACTTTCATGATCGATATTACATTAATGGTTAGTATTTAAAAAATTATGATATGTTTTTTTTTTCTTTTCTTTTTGTTTGATTATGTAGTTACTCACTCTTTTCTGGTTCTCGGGAGTACAATCAAATGAGAGTTTTAAAGAATAAGGATCACGTCTTTCCTATATTATCAAATCTCAAGCATTTTGAGTTAACGGCTGACCCAGATTATGAGTGGGGTCTTAGCCAATTATCATCTTTTATGAGGGCATTTCCTTACTTGCAGAGACTTACGTTGAAGGTATATTTTTGCATAATTTGTTGAGTACGCAGTAAAACATGATACTAGAAGAGAATCGTTATCTAGCTCGCACTTTCCAATGGTGCTTGTTTCTTGTTTCATAGGTTATAGGAGATGAGTATATACTTGTTTCTTGTTTCATATAGGTTATAGGAGATGAGTATATACTGCTTTATAGTTCCATTGGTCTCATGACTTACGACGTTAATGGTGATTCTATTTGTCAGCTATAAACTGACTAAATTGTGGGTCTTGCTGCATATATATATATATATATATATATGTGCATCGTTCGCAAATAAATTGTTTTCTTGATGTAGTTGCGAGTCTGGGGGAGCGAGGAGAAGAGAAAACTACAGAAAGCTGCCAAATGCCCCCACCATCACCTCAAGGTAGTAGAAGTATTAAAGTATCGTGGTCGTAGAAATATTGTCGAACATGTCATGTTCTTGATAGAGAATGCTTTTGCACTCGAGAAACTTGTTATTGATCCTTCGAACTGGGACTGTCATCATAGTGGTTCAGAGTGGGGAAAGAGAGCGAGGTTGAAGGAAGCAAAGGCAAGACATCATGCTATGCACCTTAAAAATAAGGTGCCTGCAACAGTAGAATTTGTTTGCCTGTAAAAACTGAGACAATGCTTGCTTGCTTAAACTATATATGTAGAGAGTAGAAATTGAGTAAACGCTATCCATGCTCGTATTGTTGTGAACAAATAAGCTAATCTATGGAATGCAAGTGTTACTTCAATTTTTTCTTATATTGCACATTATCGTTTTTTATCATACACAGATAAATTGCATTCCCAATCTATTTACCTGTAAAGAAATTGCTACTTTTTACTATCTCTATTTTTTATTTTTGGTCAAACGCTACTTTTTATTATTATTTTGGTGTACTTTTGGAATTTAGATATACATATACATATGTAGTACGTATGTATGACAAATATATAAAACCATGAATGTTCCGAAGCAATTCATGTAAATGTCAAAAGAAAAGGTTAAATGGCATTCGTATAATCACTTGCCAAAAAATTGAGCTTTACCATTAGCCATGAATGTTATCTTTAGTTTTTTTTTTTTTTTTTTTTTTTTTTTGTTATTGGTTGGGGGCAAGCCCCAGAAGCAAAGAAAATCGAACGAAGAACAATTCGAGGCAAATCTCAACTTAATCTATCATCATCCAAAATATGCTCAAGAGAAAAAGGCACAACATCCAAAATATGTTTGGATGTTGGTTTTCACTGTTCTTTGATTTTCTGCTGGTGAAGTAATGTGGATATACAGTTGGGGTTTGTTAAAGTTGTGTTTTTCTCAACATGTGGTTAATAGGAACAACATATGTTTTTGGGAATTCCTGTTTTCTATCAAGGATGGAATTTGTTGTTATAGTTGGTTTTCATTTGAAAAGTGATTGCTTGGAGAAACAGTATATAGCCGCGCGGCTACAGTCGGTTATACTAATATATTCACATAGTATAGTGGTTTTTTTTTTTTTTTTTTTTTTTTTTTTTTTTGCACTTTTCCTCTTCCAAAAAAAAAAAACCAATTTTTTAATGTTACTAATAAAGGGACTAAAATTTCGACCAAAAAAAAAGATAAAAGGGCTAAAAGCTTATAACTTTAAGTAGGAAGGAGGAAGGAGCTTAGAGACCTCAGATAGGCGAGAGACGATAACAGCAAAAACTCGCAGAGAGAGAGAGAGGCGATGGGGATAGTGAGCAAGGCAGGGGATTGGGCATTCAAGGCCTTCACTGCGGGCCTGGGAATCACCACCATATACCTCACCGCCACTTTCTCTGCAAATGTCTACAAAGGCCTCGCTTGGCACAACGCTCAATCGGTAACACTCATCTCTCCCTCTCTCTCCAGCTAGGGTTTCCTTTTATTGTTTTAATTATGGTGAATTGTTATACCCTGTGGTTTTGTATGAAGGCATGAAAGATGGTTCATTTCTGTTTCACTCGATTGTGCATGACAAAGATTTTTAATTGTTTTGTAGCGTATTCTTGGGCTTGGTATCAAATAAGTTTCTTGGAATTATCTTTACCCTGTTGTGTTTGAACAAAATCTAGAATATGTTGAAACTATTTCCCCTAAATCTAACCTAATTTCTTGGCATTTCTTGCTTATGGATAAAAGATGTGGACATATATTTATAATTTCTATGATGTTGTATTAAATTATATAGTTCATAGGATTAACATAATACATGTTGCACCTCTGACTTTGAGACTAGGATGATAGCCTTGCTGTTAATTGTAACTTCAGAAGATGAACAACCTCAGCAGAAATGTATCTGTTTGATAAATATGCATCCCCTACTCTCATAAGATAAAAGGGATCATAGTGCTAAAAAAATCCATGCACACACCAGATAATGAGAAGGGCTGCACAAAATTGAGGAAAATAAGTCAAAATCATACGCCATGGCATGGATTTTGTGTAACATTTGAGTGCAAAATAAGCCAAGAAAACCAGTCTAGCAATCACTTTGATGATTGAAATATGCAGGAAGGCCTCAATTGCAAAGAATAGGATTCTGGTACTTGTGTTTAAATTGCTCAAGTATTCCTTTTCATCAGATTGTGAAAACAGCTTTGATGACATCAATATATAGCTTGATTGATGTTTTGGTGTTTCTAGCAGATAATTGGTGTCAGCTTATAACGTTTTCGTCGTCTTTGTGTTTTAACTGTTTTGTGTTAGATCCCTAACTTAGATTTTCTTCTTTCTTCTGTGCAGAAAATCGAAAAAGAGCAGTCTGCTGAACAAGCCCCGTAGTTTCTTGAGTTTTCACGGCTGTCAGGGATCTTCTTGTCTGTGAAACTTAGATTATTGATTTTGTCTTTTACGTTTTATGTAATTGAATTATAAGTTAGATTTTGGACCTAATTAATGGCTCTCAGTTAGTTGGCATCACTTCCAGATGCTATGGAGATGTTTCTGATTTGGATATGACATTTTGAAATACTTCTCTAGGTCCATTATACTGGTTGGATTGGATATACAAGTTCATTATTTGTTTGATTGGATTTTACCCAAATATGTTTTGTATTTTCATATTTATTGAATAATTATTCCGATGTGGAAAAGTCATTGTCTTCTTTCTTGCAGTTTCTTTGGCAACTTACATACATAGCCAGCGCATTTGGATATGTTGTGTTGTTTCTCTTTCGAAAAATCTCGCTTGGTTGGGATTTTGCCATCTGCATGACTTCTATTTATTATTAATGCAGTTGAAGGGATTCGAACTTAGCTCTTTGTCCATTTTGACATTAAGAAGAAAAGTACTACTCGATAACATTAGAAAGGGCTCATTACCGCTAAATATAACATAACATGGGACCAAGAAATTAAGATCCAACAGGCAGTGCCGGTTCGAATGCGAAACGGGAGGAGACGAGTAGGGTAGAAATCATCATCATCATCATCATCATTATCAAATATTAATTGCTCTTTCAGAGCAAGTAATAATACGTGAGAAGTAAGAACAAAGATACAAAATGAGGCCCCAACTTAAAGGAATGAAAGCCCTACTCCTCTATACACAATATAACCTCCTCTGTACCAATAAAGTGTGGCATTTGGTGATAAATCTCACTTCTTTGAAATCTTAATATAACAACGTAGGATGCACTTGAATTAAGAGGATACATAATTTCATATCTTCTATTAATCTTGTAAAAGACTTCTGTCGGTAATACCCAAAATGACCTTTGCACATTTTTCTGAAGGCTCATACATTGCCTTGATCATTTCATATCTCTTGTGTTGATAGCACGGCTCAGAACAAACTCAAAAGTTCCAGCTGAAATTATGCCACAGAGAATGCTAAACCGCAACTGGGGAAAAGGAATTGAAAATTGGGTTATGGTTTCAAACTTGGTATGAATTCTAAAAAGGTGAGGAAACATTTGTACAATACCTGCTGATTCAACTGGCTGATATACCCCTCGAGCCACTCTGAATCTCTGCCAACGGATTTACAATGAACCCACTCTGATCTCGGAGCCGAGACCTAAGGTTCTCCAACATCAATGTTTCAGCATTGCCATTGTCATCAGATCTGTAGCGCATGGCTGCTGCTGGTGCAATGCCCTTGGAATTAGGAAACCTTGAGGATGAGTACCTGCTTTCTGTTTTCCTCCAGAACTTGGAGCTCCAAAAATCACGACCAGGTAGAAGGCAACATGTTCTGCTCCGTGAGTCAATTTTGGTCATCCTTCCACTTGACAAAGCCAAATCATATGAGATCTCATCCAGTGCTAGCTCTAGCCCATGCACACGTGTCTCCAAAGAGCGCATTCCATTTTGCGAACTACCCATGAATCTCTAATGTAAGAAGTGAAATGGAGAAAATGATTAGAAGCAGCAATACATCAAAATGCACCACAAGCACAGATATGAGTGCTTGCCTAATAAGTAAGTTAATTAAGATATGCAAGAATTGTTACACAGCTTTGGCAAATAAAAATGAACAAAGTAACACAATTAAGGTTTGTCACGGATTTCACAAAATGATGTCAGAATCACGTCTAACATGACTTCTTCTTAACAACAAACCAAATCATAATATAGAATTTTCAAGCAGTGGAAACAAACCTGCACGAGATCAAGTAAACTGGATTGCTGCTTTTCAATCTGAACAAGTTGACTGCGGATCAGGGATAAATCCTCACATTCTCTGTGATTCTTATGGATATCCTCAGTAACATTACTGACTATAACTGTAGAATCTGGGGTATCCTCTTGACAGGGAGCCACACGAGATCCTGACCTTGAACCCCCAAATTTGTGCACTTTGCTATCAGAACTCTTATGGAATAAGGCCCGTTTTGTTTCTGGCTTCGAAAATCTAGTGTTGCCATTGATCCTTCTTTCCTCATCCCTCTCCTTAAAACCATCATCAAAAGCCCCAGCCGATGAAGGAGCACTAAGAGCAGCAACCTCAACGTCCCAATCTGAAGGCTTCTTATGGTCTGTCTTTCGAAACATTCCTGGATTCTTTTTCTTGTCATTGCTCTTCAAAGGGCTTCTCTTCCTAGCAGTGGTAGCATAAGAACTATCAGGTGGAGTTGATCTGCGAGCCGGGATAGGTTTCTTCTTCAATTTAGGAGCTTCAGAACCAGGAGCATCGCAGTTTCTGGACACAGCCGGGTGGTATCCATCACTTGCATTCTCTGAACCCCATCAAAAGACCCAAATAAGAAAAAAAAGCTCACAAAGAGGACAATCGAATCGAGCAAAGGCAACATATTAAAAATTAGAAAAACTATTTATCCAAAGAAATCTCATGAACTAAACTGACCATCATAGCATGGATCAAATGCAACATAAGGGAAGAAAATATTTTAGAAGTTTCATTCTTTAAGCCAGCTTAAAGTAGTACCGAATAATTGAGTATTATGATACGAGAGTTGATCTGAACCACCATTAGAACTAAGATCAATTAGTTATCAATTTGTATAAGCAATCAAATCTAGTAATACCTTTGGAAGAAGCATTCGAAGGAGGCGGCGGCGAAGCCTCATCAGAGAGATCAGGAATCTGCTTCCAGACCTCCACCATCTGATTCATAACCTCCCTAACACCTTTCACCTATTACAGCACATTGACAAAATAAACAAAAACAAAAATACAACAAAAAATTATATTTGGAAAAAGGAAGAACAAAAATTACCTTATCGAATTTCCGATTCTCGAACGTTCTCAAAGACCCAGCTTTGAACTCAGACAGCGTGTCTCTCTCCACAACCGCCAACTTGGCCAGCGCTTCCGCCGCGGCCTTCCTTGCTGCCCAGTCCTCGCTGCTCAAGAACCCCACAAGGCAAGGAACCAAACTCTTCAAAGCTCCCTGACCCGACGCCCCGCCCGACCCGATCACCGATCCGATTAGCGTCAGCACCGCCGGTTTCGCCTTAAACCCGTCGTACTTTATCAGCCTCTCAAGCCTCGGCAACAGCCTCGCCAGCTTCGCCGGCTCCGGGTCGGGCGCGGCGTCAATGCCTGAGGCCAGGCAGAGTGCCGACCCGATCTGCGAGTTCGGGTCCTGCTCCGTGAACAGCGCGTCAGTTAAGGGCTTCAAAAACGAGCTGAACGGAGGCTTGGTGACGTGGCAGGAGAGCGAAGCGACGGCGTTTTGGCAGGCGGATCGGACGGCGGAGTCCGGGTCGCGGAGCCGCTTCGTGATGTTGTTGAGCATTTTGGAGAGATGCGGCGACAGAGAATCACCGTGAGATTCGGAGAGGACGGTGATGAGGTGGACGCATTGCTTGCGAACCGGAGACTTGTCGGAGGCGTCGGTGGATTGGATGCAGGTAAGGAAAACGGGTACGGAGCTCAGTTCGAGGGTCCGGGCGATGGACTCGAGCTCCGAAGCTGCGAGAGAGTGAGTGTCGCGGTCGGAGAGCTTCGTCAGGCACGTGAAGACCCGGTGCTTGAGGTTTTGCGCGGGAGGCATTGTGCTGTGCTGTGGTGGATGGGCCGGGTTTTTTCAGTGATTTCGGGTCGAGATTACGGGTCAGGTGGCGGAGCTTCCGGACTCTCCAGCAACATTGCCGGAGTTGAGGGTGGTGATATTGCGTGCGTTCGTTTGGTCGGTGTTAACAGAGAGCTGCTTTCGAGTCTCTGTGCTTTTTAAACTTAAAGAGAGAGAAGGTAAAGAGAGTCGCAACACGGATGTTTTAGCTAAGTAATGCTAAACGGCGTCGTCTTGGTTGGAGATGGAGTCGGTAACGGTAGGTGAAATGGCGTGTTTACTTAGCCGTGGATCGGGAAACTAGTTGATCTCATTCCTAATTTGATTTGAGAGTATCTGATTATGGATTTTAACGTAAAAATAAGTTGAAACTGAATTATAAATTGGGAAACTAGTTGATTTTGAGAATATTTAATCATATATTTGAACTCAAAACACATTTAAACACAAAATATAAGCAAGTATTGGAGCTTCTATCTATACTCATTTAGATAAGTAAAAGATGGGAGATTTTCCAGTAAGTATTTAAGTTAAGGATTGATTACATGCTTATAATCTCGGTTGTTGAATTGCATCTAAGAGACTACCAATACATTTAATGAATACAATCCAACGACTAATATTAGAAACATGTAACTAATTATTAACATAAAATACTTATTGGAGAATCTCCGAGTAAAGAGAGTGATAATGACTGGCTTAAGGCAAAGCTTCTTAATTGTTTACTTCACTCAGGGATGGTTTAGTCATCAAAACCTTTGCTGGAATTACAAATCATGCCTTAAACTTGAAAAAACTGAAAAGTTGAAGATTGTATTGTAACTGAAAACTAAAAAGTTGGTGATCAGATGGGGACGCTTTCATGTGAGCTCAACACTGTGGTAGGACTTGATTGGTCCAAACTCAGAAACTTTTAAAAAAGGAGGGAGCGTGCTCAGGTGGAAGCAGGACCACGGTGGTCCTCCAGAGAAACGAAAGGAAGTACATTTTAGTAAATTAGGGGACACGGGAGCACGTGAACAATTATAACACGGCAGTCAATGCTGGGTAAACTTGGGGCCTAACATTAAGGTGTCACGTGACAGTTGCGGGGGTTAATTATGCCGAAGTCACTGTGCCTACAATCAAGCTCAAGCGGCTTGTTCTCATATTTTTACTGCTCAAAATGATTAAACTACTTGTGTGTGGTGTTTGTTAATGCGATTGTGATGTGGTCCCTTTTTCTTTGTATATAAGCGATATTCGAGAGCGGTGATTAGAACACAAAATATCATATGTAAAAGTAATTACTCTGAGCAAGTCGGTTTTGCTTGTTTTACGGATTAATATTGTGAAAGTTTTAGTTTACCAATTCATATTAAAGAAGCTAATTAATGAACCAAAATATTGATTAAGGCTTTATTTGTTCACCTAACGAATAAGAGGTTGAACCAACTCTTTTTAGAAGTGGGGGTTGGAGAAATTTATCTTTTTAGTACAAGGTTGAGCTAATTGGAAAACAATTAGTAGACCGGCAAATCAAATCAGAAAACATGCAATTTGTTAATTAAAATGGATGGGTGGGCCAAAAATTGTGTGATCTAGAACTAGAACCCTACTCAAAATTTGTGGGTCTCAGTCAGCTCTCAACCTCCCCTTTACCTACCTACCTGTTTACATTTAACCAAAGCTTAAAAGGTTTTGTTATTAGAAGGAAATGAAGCAAATCACTGGCTGAAGGGGCGATGATTGTCGGCAAAGAAAAAGGAAAATTGATGATGAAAATAGGATAAATGGGCAATTTTGGTGAAATTAACTAACTTGCAATTGGTTGGAGATTTGGCAGCTTGGCCCTGTAAGGTTTGACCACATGGCCATTCAAAGTTAGATGAACAAAAGGACTGAAATATTTATTATTGCCTTATAAATATATGAAATTGTGAAATATTTGTGGTTCAAATGTATACAACACCCACCATTGTAAAAGGGATTTTGGGATGAATTAGTAGATACTTAATTTCAGGATTTTGGCGATGTATATGATGATATTTGATAAGGTCCCGTGTTCAAATCTCCTTATTTCTTAATTACTTATATCTCATGCAGTACATTAGGACTTGGTCTTAGCAGAATTGAGTGAATTCTACTTGCAGGGTGCAGGCCATGTGCAATTTGGTTGTTTGTAGCGCGACACATAACATGAAGTTGAAAGCTCAAAACATGGCGTTTTAGTGTAGAAGGAGCAATTGACTATAAAATTTATGCATTATTATAACCATTCAGAGAATAAGGCACATACTGCCAAGAAAAAAACATTCTTTTAGTTGGGTACTGCATTTTGTTTGCCACGTGATGTTATCTATGTATCTTCCATGTATATATATCTCGATTTGGCCATACTCACATGTGATACAATCTTATAATCATTAGCATTTCCGTGCATTAATAAGGATAGAGATGAAAATCATTCAATCCTTAATGACACCACAAATTAGGAAGTTGTAATTCAATTATTTTACATTGAACGAGACCTACAATATAAGATTCGCGTCATGTGAGAAGGTTGAGAAACGAAAAATAACAATTAAAATAAGAAATTATGAGCTGTAGAGAAAATATCAATGAACTTCGTTGTATGATTTTGATTTTGGATAGATGGGTAGCTTAGAATTGAAGAAAATACTTTAATTCTACTGTGGGTGTGCATGTTCCAGGATCATCATGGCATGTGATGAGGACTCAAATTAATTTCGGTGGCATTATAGCATCATGCCTTATTTAGATAAGGTGGTTTAATTTCAGCATATCATAGTTCCACATGCAAGGAAGAGGACAATCATGCGTTGGCCCTTGCCTTTCAAAGAGAGAGAATATAATAAAGAAAAAACAAAAAAAAAGGTCTTTTGGCATCATATTTGAGGTTGAATTATTTTCTTCATTTCTAGGTATAGTTGTTTGACTCGAAAAACAATTCGCTTGTATAAGCGGAAAATCATTTATGTATGGGTGAGCAACTATCTCTAATATTTTTCATTCGATTCGAATTTAAGGTTTCCATCGGTCCAACATTATCTTTAGCACAAAAGTGCGACGTTTTGGTGTTTGCAACTTTGTAAATTGGGTTAGAGGACGACAAGATTGTTTGATATGCATAGTCCGAACTTCAAATTCGCAACTCCAGCCCTTCCACATCAAATAAAAGATACAACTATAGTCTTAGGTAGAACCCCACAAAATGAGATGGATACGCATGCTATATTGATTTGAACAGTGTTGGTTGGGTAACAACAAAATTTTGTGGTTGGGTTTGAAATTGAGAGGTGAACTAAATAGGACAGGGACAACTCAGCACCTTTTTTTTATAATTAAAATGAATTGGAACTCCAAGCCAGGTCAAGTTTACATGAATTCTAGGGACACCCAATAAGTGATTTTAGACACCCTATTGAAAACCTTCTCTTTCCTGGGATTAAACCGATAGGGTTTCTGATTTCCATGTGTTTCGAAAACTTTGTTTAAATCTTGGCCCAAGTTGAATCTTCCAAATAAGCCCATCCCGTTTTGTTCTTAGCATGGGCCAGAAAGAGTGGAGTTCAATGACACACCCGTGTAAAACTGATATTTTACTGAGGAAATGGAAAACTTTTATTCAAATTAAATAAAATATGATGCAGACATAGTTTTAGCCAAATTGGCTAGAGTGGATATGGTCCCCACTCTGCACCCAAGTTCGAATAATTGGTTTTAGAAAAAATTTAATGCACTAAGAACAAATTAGAAAATAACAATTGACTAGTTTTGAGTTTTTCCCTCCAAATAGACTGTATAATATAACACGCTAAAATTGACCTATCAATGAAAAAGCTTTTTTTTAAATATGGATCGTTTTTACTATGATGGCACTTTCATGGGTAAGAGATATTTGAAGCATTCAATTCTTGTTAAGAGTGGTTGGATATTTTGGTCTGAAGTAGGGTTCTTACTTTGCAGCACAAGGTAAAGTTGATCTCTTTTACTTTATGCCCCTACAAGGTTTCATCTCATGCTTACTGTTCTCAGTTGTTCTTCATCATCTTTGATGCCCTGGAAATTGTAGATCTCAACTTTTTTTAGTTACTAGGCAATTTTTTCAAACTATGGCTCTGATTCTTCTAAAAGGGTCCTTTGTCCCTTCCTTGAACATGAAACTGATATATAATTAGACATAACCCATTAAAAATCAAAGAACTAACATGGTTTGGAGTTCAAAGGATAAGATGGAATCAATATTGGAGTCAGTAATTGTGGACATAAGGGGAGTATTGTTTTTTTTTCCAGAAATGAGTTAGGTCAGTTACCTATGACAATAAGTCCGTGCCTTTGAATTAAAGTTTAAATTCCCCTTCTCGTAGATTAGCCTAAACTCTTTAAGTCTGTTCCTTCAAACCAAAGTTCGAATCCCACTCCTTGTAGATGATATTAATTTAGAATAGTTTAGATTATCGTTAGTGTGTGTGTGTTTTTTTTTTTTTTTTTTTTTTTTTTTTTTCAAAGATTATCGCTTATATATATATATACACACACACACACTAGCCCCTTGGCACATGCTGACGCATGTGCCAATTGGTTTTCTTTTTTATTTTTATTTTATTTTTAGAATTAAAAAAGATAATGGATAGTTGTGTTATATAAAAATAGAATCCATTATCTGATTTTTCTTTTAATTTTAATTTTTTTAAATATGAAAAAGTGTGAATTTACCATATTATACTCATTTAATTAATAATTTCAATTCTTAATGTTTGCATTAACCAATGACATTTTCTGGTATTTATATATAGATATATAAATAAGCATTTATTTATGGGTTGGGGAGACTAATTGGGTTTGGGTTTGTGCCTGGGCGCTAGGCCATGCAGTCCACATATTGGATTGTGTAGTAAAATCGGCCCAGCCTCTAGCAGGCCTCTTTTTTCAAAAAAATATTTCAATCGTATAGCCGCGCGGCTATAATATTTAATATTCCAATATATTGGAATAGTAGGCTATACTATTTAATATACGAGTATATTTACATAGTATAGCCGCTCTATACTATAAAGGTAGTGTCTTTTTTATTTATATATTTTTTGCCCTTTTCCTCTTCAAAAGTAAAGAAAACCAACTTTTTAATGTTACTGATAAAAAAAGAAAAGGGGCTAAAAGCTTATTACTTGAAGTAGGAAGAAGGAAGGGGCTTACAGACCTCAGATAGACGAGAGACGGTAGCCGCAAAAACTCGCAGAGAGAGAGAGAGAGAGAGGCGTTGGGGATAGTGAGCAAGGCAGGGGATTGGGCATTCAAGGCCTTCACTGCGGGCCTGGGAATCACCACCATATACCTCACCGCCACTTTCTCTGCAAATGTCTACAAAGGCCTCGCTTGGCACAACGCCCAATCGGTAACACTCATCTCTCCCTCTCTCTCCAGCTAGGGTTTCCTTTTATTGTTTTAATTATGGGACAGCGCCGGCGATTCCACTAGGAACCCTCTCCTGGCCTTGGCTGGAACTTCTGAGCTGCTCCCACTTTAGTGTGGCCCGCACCAGCCGCTCCCAATTGTCGTAAACCCTAGCCATGTCTACGAGGCCGGCTCGGACGAATGGGAGCTCTAGTGAAAATGGCGGACGCATCTGAATCAATATTGACTCGGTCCGAGTTGAATGGTCTGACTGGGTGAGTATATGTGAAATATATCCGATTGGCTATACTATTTAATATTCGAGTATATTGAAAAGGTTTAGCCGCGCGGCTATACTATTTAATATTCCAATATATTTAAACAGGATAGCCGCACGGCTGTACAATTTAATATTTGAATATATTGCAATAGTATAGCCGCGCGGCTATACGAGTTGACATTCCAGTATATTTAAAGAGTATAGCCGCACGGCGGTACGATTTAATATCGATTATATTTAAATAGTATAGCCGCGCGGCGATACTATTTAATACTCGAATATAAAAAATAGTATAGCCGCTCGGCTATACAATAAACGGCATCGTCCACGTCTTTTCACCTACAGTATTTTACAAATCTATCCTTTCCATACATAAGTATCCCTTCTCAAAAGGAATTAAAAAGTCGGTGAACCTCAAACCGTGGGCGAAAATTATATAAAAATAAGGGGTATTTCCGTAAAGATCTCGCTATATAAATCTAACCCCCTCCATTTTTCAGAGTTTGTGAAGCACAAAGGCCGAGCGGAGCAGAGGAGTTTCCGAATTTCCGTTATCCATTCTCTCTCTCTCTGTATCTCTCGAAGGTTTTTAAATCTCCCTGCAAATTTTAGGGTTTTTGAGCGAATCTTGAAATTTGAATTCGACTGTTGAGAAACGATGGTTTCCGATTCGATCACCAACGCTTCCATTCATGCAGCCCCAAACAACAACAACAACGCCCGGGATGTGGGCAAGAAGAAGAGGGTGAGATTTCAATTTCCTTTTTCGGTTTACGATCTCTTGTTATTCTGTATACGAATTTGTATTTATTGGTTGATCTTTAGTAAAATTTCTCGTTTATTTGGGGTTTTGCAGGCCAGGTCTGCCAAATTGAAGCAGTGCAAGCTCGATGTTCGTCGTGAGCAATGGCTTTCTCAAGGTACGCCCCCGATCTCGTAATTCCTACGTTTCATATGCATGTTTAATTGTGTTCGTATCGTTAAATTTCTCCGATTTGTCAGTTTTTATTTTAAAGAAAATATTGTTTTGGCATTTGATTGATATGGATTCGATGGGATTTAGGCGCTGTGAAGAATAAGGACTATAAAGCGGAACAGAACGGCGTCGTTGAAGAACTCAAAGACCGTAATAACCACCGTCCCTTCGGTAATCTAGGGATGAGGCCCGGAGGCGGTGAGAATGACGGATCGATCCATCACCACCACCACCATGACATCGATTTGGACTCGAATAGTCCGAACAGTTTGACAAGTAGCGTCTTGGGCAGCAACTATTCCGAGACTAACTTCACTGGTTCCAGCAGCAGCAGCAGCAGCAGCAGCGGTGGCTGTTGCTCTGGAAATATCACAGAGGATGATGAAGGCGGTGGCGATGATGGGTGCTTGGACGATTGGGAAGCCGTGGCTGACGCCTTAGCCGCCAACGAGAAGCCGAAAACCCCATGTTTGGAGTCTCCCCCAGAGCATGATCCAATTGCTCAATCGGGTTCTCCTCAGGAAACGACTATTGGGTCTGATGCACCGAGTTTTGGGGTTGAGAATTCGAAACCTCAGTGTACCAGAACTATCCCTAAAGCTTCAGGAAATGGCCTGGCTTGGAGGCCTGACGATGCTTTTCGGCCTCAGAGTCTGCCCAATTTAGCTAAGCAGGTTAGCTTGCCAAATTCGAACCGGAAACATTACGGTTGTGGTGGTGTTCCTTGGGCCTATAGTGGTGTTGTTTCTGCGCCATCCTCATGTCCTATATGCTATGAAGATTTGGATTTCACGGACACGAGCTTTTTGCCATGCTTGTGCGGATTCCGGCTCTGCCTTTTCTGCCACAAGAGGATTCTCGAGGAGGATAGCCGCTGTCCTGGCTGCAGGAAGCCCTATGAGCATGAGCCTGTTGAGGCAGAGGCAAGTGTGCATGGAGGTAGCCTCACGTTTCGGCTGCCTCGTTCTTGTAGCCTGATCACAAGGTCCTAAAAAGAACTTATGTTTTTCGTGAGATATGTACTCTGGTCTCTGTTTTTTGTGTTTCATTGGTTTTTGCGTGTTCTACAGTCTTAGAATTTGATTTCTTTAGTTAGATGTGGGTATAGGGTTTTGAGCGCCCGGAATTGATCTGCTTCTCTTTTGAGTTGGTTCTTATCTGTATGGTGCATGTGCTGAGGTAGAGAACTCAGTGACTCAGTGTTCTTATGTGAATAGATAAGGTGGTATAGAAATTCAATACATGAAACAAGTTTACACTATTATGGTATTTCTTTGAATCTTTTCAATTTTTGCTTATCTTTGCTCCTATTTGATTCTCCTATTTTAGTTTGGGTTTATTGACGTTGCTAATTGATGATGTAGAAGGCATCCTTGTCCCTGATCAGTTGTTTCTAATGATTTAAACTGTGTAGTTTCATAGTTGTATCTCTAAGGCTGGATTTGGATTCAAACGAAAGGTTCGCTTCATTAATCTCAGTTGTTAAACCATGGTTATCTAGCAATTGTGGATCTTGGTTGATACCAGTGTTTAACTTCTGAGATTACTGTAATGGACCTCCCCGTAATGGAGGGGATCTGAGTCTTCTTAGGTTATGGTGTTTAGCATTTTCATGTGGAGCTCTGGGTAAGATTTCTGCACATGGGCTTCAGTCTTTTAAGGTTAACATGGATATTGTCAAACCCTAATGCACAATTATTTTATGCAGGTAATTTGTTCCATGTGACAGAATAGGGTACCACATTTCTGTTCTAGTTGTTTGGGACTTTGCATTTTGAGGTTAAGTTTGTCTAGTACATTTGGCGTATCTTTGTTTATATATAATATGTTTTTGCTTTTGTCATCTGATACAAAGTTTTCTATTATTGCTAAATATTAGATGATGGTGGAAAGCATTACTCCATGATGAGTTTTGTTAAGATCCTTTGTACTTACATTTGCTTGTTGCACAAGTGTTCAAGATTGAAGGTCTTGCCATTCAGTATTTGCTGCTGTAAGTGCTAAGGCAGATTTTCAATTGCCTTTTTAGAGTTCATGCATATATTTACTTGGAGATCATTTGGTTTGTCATCTGTTTAAGGGGAGGGACAATATGTGTTGCTATCACTCTTCTAAAAGGAACCTAGAAGTGTCTTTTGCTTAGGATGGGGTTGGTATCATTGTCTAGGGTTATTCCCCTCTGTATCAGGCTGTGAACCTTATCAACTTCTAGCTGTGCATTAGCCAAAAGCTTATATGGTGTTGTTATATCTAATGTGGGTTATATTGCCCATTTGGCAGCGTCTTTCGCTCAGGTTGCTGCTTTCCTTTTTATGAGACTTGCTTCATTCCTGTGTAGCTTGATAAGTGAGTCACCTTTATGGCACGAAGCTCTAATACTTGTGTCGCTTTGGATTTAGTACTAGGTATCCCTTTGCCCTGAGATAAATGATGCAGTCTTCTCCTTATACTTTTCATGCCTGTTTCTGTTTCTATTGTGATGGTTATGAATTAACTGGTATGTAACCGTTATGCATGGCTTCTGTGCTCTTCCTCTAGCACCCTTGGCAAGGAAATTAAACTCAATTGTATAAGAAGAAAGAATAGATCACCCTCTTTATTGATAGGGTCGGTGTAACATCAATATGCCTTCTGCACATAAAAAAGTGATTCAAGTCTTGTTATTATGTGTTACTTTTACTCTGTTCTATAATCTGTTTTAGAGAGAGGAAGTATCCTGACATTTCAGAAACTTCTGTTATTTTGTGACCCTTGTCTTCACAAGTATAGTTGTAATGTGCTGAACATTTAATCCCTGTGTTTTTATAATTAAATCTTGTTATCTTGATTATGGGTTGGAACTTTCAAGGGCGTGGTGTGTGAAGTTCAATATACAGCATATTTATTTGATCTTCTTGATATATCATAATCAAGCAAATCCATTCACAAAAAGAAACATGCTTAACCGAAACTCTCCATATGGGTGTGTACACAAAGTGAATTTATCAATGGCAACATTTATTTTTTGGCCAAATGCAATAAAAACAACACCAAAGCAAAACACACACTTAGTAGATCACACCCCATGCCAAACCCCAAATCAAGAAATTGGAAATCCAGGGAAGCCCTTGCTCTGTAAGGCGACTCAATCTCCTCTTATTATTGACTCCTAGAACTACTCTTGCATGCTTCCTTGATCATCCATGAGCCCTGAAATGATTTCTGATTTGAGTGGCGGAGGCAGCGGCTGCCACCAACTGTAAAAGGTTGACGACTTCAATAAGACGTCCTTACCAACCAACCCTTCACGAATCCAGTTTCCTACTTCTCTTTGCAGCTTCAAAACTCTCTCTCTTTCCGTGTAGATTGCTGTGATGTCACCAGTAAGTTTGTGCAACTCCTCCACCTCTGCCCAAAACCACGATTCCCCGCAGGAACCTGCCGGCAGTTTTTGTTCATGCTCAAGCCATCGTTGCAGGTATTTGTACCGCTTTGGCCTGCCTTTCTTCATGTATGATCCAGTGTCCTCATCCTTGGAGTGCCTATAGTAGTTAGCAATGTCAATAGGCTCAACAAGACGGCGGAACCTGGTTCCTAGTTGTATCCATTCTTTTATAGCCTCAAATTCATCAGGAAGCTCATATCTTTTCAACATTTCGATAATCTCATCCCATATCCCTATTAACACAATCCTACTCACGTTAGCCTCAAAGTCTCTCCTGTCCTTCTGAATCTTGAAGGCGTCGAAATATCCCACATTGTGCTCACACAAGGCTCGATATTGTTCTAGGTTTTCCAATGCTTTCTTCATTTCTTCCCTTTTTCCATCAACTTTTTTCTGGTTTTCTCCTTTTTGCTTCTCTGATTCTCCGGCAGCACGAAGGCATAATCTAGCTTCTGCACTCTGCAGATTTACAAGCAAGATATCAAAGCAAACCACATTAGAGATATCTTAACAATCAGAACAAAGAGATTTTTAAGTACCAAAAATACAACTTACCAAGCCAAGATCATCCAAGTAACGATCTGAGCCTAAGCAGAGCTCTTCTAGTTTATCAAGAGAAACCACATCTTGCATGTCTAAGCTACATTCACCACCTAGAAATTCCTTCTCATAGCTGAAATGCTCATTCAAGCAATTGTGGGCAATGGCTGCCCATTCTGTTTCGCCGTTTAACTGACAAGAGTAGAACAAGGTTTGCAACACAGCTTCAGGGTTTTTCAAGACAACCAATTTCCCATTCCCAGTGCCAAAAACATATGTCCCGAAAGGCTTGTAAGGGCTCAGCTTAATGAAGTGTTTTACAGTTTGCAGCACTTGATTTGTGCTCCCCATTAGTTGAGAGGCAACATGGGTTGTAAGAGCTGATGCATCCCTCATCACATTTGTATACAAATGCCAGGCCTCTAGGGATGTTCCAAGAATCTGGCTTCTAAAGTAAGGCGATTTCGGATTGAAGAAGGGGAGAATTTTCTGCAATCCTTGGTGAATGGATGAGAGAGGAGCAAGCAAAATCCTAGGGACAATATCATATCTCATGACAAAATGTATGAAGTATTGAGACCAATTCTCCCTCCTAAGAGCATGAGAAATAATATGGTTACCAACAAGGGGAGATCCAAAAGTCACACAGAAGAATGTTGCAGCATTTGTTTTCGGGTACTTTTGCAAGAACCAGATTGTGGCAAGCGCAGCAATTGCTCCACCTGTAGAATGCCCTGTAAATATTATACTCTTCCTTTCATTGATAGCGTCTTGCACCTGAGAAAACCACAAAAGAATCAATGAAAACACTTGAATATTTACAAGTAAATTCCCTGTAAAATATTACATATGTACATAAATTTATGAAAAACTTACCTGATTAACTAGCTGGGAAGTCTGCAAAACATGTTCAAATTTTTGCAGAAAGGCTTGGTTCACGAAAGCAATTGCAAATTCTAGGTCTCCTGGTTTTGCAGTTTCATTATGGTTGCCTATGCTTTTCATACAAGGAAACAGTGCAGGTGTGATCACTGTTTCTCCAAAAGCTTTTTCTCCAGAAAACCAACTGTCCACAGACCATGATCCTGGAAAGCAGAAAAAAGCATGGGATGAGGCAGGGGGCTTCTCCACAAGAAGCAGCTCATCTGGGAAGTTCTGAGCCTTCAAGGAAAGATAGCAACTTTTCTTGATAAGCTCCTCACTAAGATTCAGCATCTCTCCAAGCCTTCCAGAAGCCATTTTTCTGAGTTTCTTGTTTTGATCAATTTTTCTTGTTCAGATTCTTGTTCTGGGTCTTGTTTTTAAGGAATACTGAAGATGGTAACAAAAATAAAACCCCTTGCCTTGACCAAGACTTGTTGGTTTTGAGTGTGGATGATTAAACAAGTCAGTGACCTGAAAGTCAACTAGAACCTCTGGGAACTTTCGTTAAAAGTGATTATCATAATCGAAAATTCTGGAACTGTTCATCTGTTACTGGTGCAAAAGGAAAAGAAAACTGTTTTTCTTAGGGGACGTTTGGTATCCTATTCAAATAGGGAACTCAAAAGCTTTGATTTTTCTTAAAAACAAAGAGTTCTTAAATCTATTTTTAAGATTCAAAAACTTGTTTGATATGCAAGTTGAAAACTGTTTTCAAATCTTAAAAATTTGAGAACTTGTGGGTTGTTAAAAACAACTGAAAAAACAGATATTTTTTGTTTTTAATAATTGGGGTGTTTTTTTAGTTGTTCTTGAGTTTGAGTTTTTAAAAATAGGGCTACCAAACAAGTTTTCTTTGTTTTGGACTCAAATTCTGTTTTTGAGTTTAAAAAGTTAGATTCAAGTTGAATACCAAATATGCTCTTATTGTTTGCAATAGTAGTCTTAGTGACGTTTTTTTTGTTTGTTTGTGTGAGCCCAGTAAATTCGGAGATGTATTTTCTTTCAATTGGGTTGCTGAGAAAATGTTTGTTTTACTTTTAGGAAAACAATCACTTTGATGACAATGTTGTTTTACTTTTGATGACGTAGGAAAAGAACTCAAAGAACATTCATATACTTTTAGGAAAAGTGTTTGTTTTACTTTTAGGAAAACAAACACTTTGATGACAATGTTGTTTTACTTTTGATGACGTAGGAAAAGAACTCAAAGAACATTCATAGTACTTTTAGGAAAAGTGTTTGTTTTACTTCGGTTTAATTTGATAATTAGTGCAGCAGAAGGCAGAAAATGCAAGGGCTCATCCGAAGTGAATTTATTACAAGGGAAAGCAACACAAAAACACACGAACCACAGGGAGACGAAGACCATAGTAGCCCTCGCTCTGGCAGATGATCAAGAATTCAAAACATTTGACACACACAAGAATCAAAGATACTACCACATTTCCATACACACAGAGTAATCCATCTTCTTACTTTTCTCTCTTGCCCTATCGCTTGAGTGACTCCTCCTCGTTTGCCCAATGGCAGGAGGAGTTTCCACAGTCCCCTGGCTGCTTTTTTTCGTGATGCTCCAGCCATCTTTGTGCGTATTTGTAACGCCTTGGCCTGCCGCCTTTGTCCATGTAACGCCTGCCCTTTGCGTGCCGATAGTAGTTAGCAATGTCAAGAGGCTCAACAAGGTTGCGGAAATTGGTTCCTAGTTTTATCCACTTATCTGTACACTCAAATTCATCAGGAAGCTCATATTTTTTCAGCATTTCAATAATCTCATCCCATATACCTGCTAGCACAAGCCTACTCACATTAGCATCAAAGTCTTTCTTCTCACCCTGTATCTTGAAGGCCTGGTAATATCCCCCATCCTTCCCATTATAAAATTCTCGGTAGTCTTCTAGTTTCTTCATCTCTTCTTTATGTGCTTCCACTTTTGAAGCTACGCTTTTCTCGTTTTCTTGTTTTTTCTCTTCGAATTTTCTCGCAGCGCAAAGAGACAATCTAGCTCTTACACCCTGCAAATTTACAAGCAAGATACCAGAGCATATTATAAACAAAGTGAAAACTTATTTGTTTCAGTGGGAACTTCATTTTACAAAATATTTTCCTGGCATTATGATGTTTTTGGTTTTGGTTCCTATCTTAAAAGTTTCGGAACACATAATCGAAAAACAATCAGAACAAAGAGACTTTGAAGTACCTGTGAAAAAGAAGGGGAAAAAAATTAAAACTTACCAAGCCAAGGTCATCCAGGTAACCATCTGAGCCTAAGCGAAGTTCTAGTTTATCAAAATCAACCACATTTTGCATGTCTAAGCTGGATTCATCACCTAAAAATTCCTTCTCATAGCCAAAATGCTCGTTCAAGCATTTGTGGGCAATCACTGCTGCATGTTCAGTTTCGCTGCTTAACAGACAAGAGTAGGACAAGGTTTGCAAGACAGCTTCAGGGTTTTTCAAGACAACCAATTTCCCATTCCCAGTGCAAAAAACGTAAGTTCCAAAAGGCTTGTAAGGGCTTAGCTTAGTGAAGTGTTTTACAGTGTCCAATAAAAGATTTGCGTTCCCCATTAGTTGAGAAGCAACATGGCTTGTAAGAGATGATGCATTCCTGATCACATTTTCATAGAACTGCAAGGCCTCTGGCGATGCTCCAAGAACTTCACTTTTAAATTTGGGGGATGCTGGATTGAAGAAGGGGAGAACTTTCTCAAACTGTTCTTGAATGGAGGTGAGAGGAGCAAGCAAAATCCGAGGGACAATGTCATATCTCATGACAAAATGTATGAAGCATTGAGACCACTTCTCTCTCCTAAGAGCATGAGAAATAATATGATTACCAACAAGGGGAGATCCGAAAGTCACACAGAAGAATGCTCCATTATTCGCATTCGGGTACTTCTGCAAGAACCAGATTGTGGCAAGCGCAGCAATTGCTCCACCTGTAGAGTGTCCTGTAAATATTATACTCTTCTGTTCATTCAGAGCCGCTTCCACCTGAGAGAATTACAATGAATGACGATATTTGAATTACAAATGAATTGATGATATTTCAAGTTCAGCAAATTAGTTTGAGCACATGGCTCCAGTTTAACTATAAAAGTACCGGCCAACACACAGTTTTTCATTGAAATGTAATGTCAAACTAGAATTTCTTTGGTAAATTATACTAGCTGATGATGGCCAGTTTGAGTCAACACATTCTGATGGCCAGTCAACTTCCTGAATGGTAGGTATATTATATGACAAAGTTTGAAAGTAGCAACTTGCAAGTACAAAAAAACTTACCTGATTTACAAGCTGGGAAGTCTTCAATACATCTTCAAATCTGTGCAGAAAGGCTTGGTTTACAAATCCAGTTGCAAGTTCTTGGTCTTCAAGTTTGTCATATTTATCATAATTGCTTATACTTTTCATAGAAGGAAAGAGTTCGAGATTGATCTTTTTTTCTCCAAAAGCTTTATCTCCAGAATACCAACCATCCACAGACCAAGATCCTGGAAAGCTGAAAAAAGCATGTGATGAGGCAGGGGATTTCTCAACAAGAAACTGCTCACCTGGGAATTTCTGAGCCTTCAAGGACAGATAGCAACTTGTCTTCAAATTCTCCTCACTAATCTTCAACATCTCTCCAAGCCTTTGAACATCCATTTTTCAGAATTCTTGTTTTGGTTCTGTTTCAGATGCTGTGCTTTGGATCTTCCTTCAAAGCAAGCTTTAAGATGGTGGGATGGATGAGAAAATTTATAGAATTAAATAAAGACCCTTGCCTAGACCAAGACTTGGTTTTGGGCGTGGATGACGCGGCTTAGAGTTATCTGCAAATCAACTACATCTTCCAGGAACAATCATAAAATCATTAGTTTATCTCCCTCAGCAATGGCTGAAGATTCCACAGACAGGAACATGTTACTGTTGTAGGCAAAAAAGAAAGTGCTTTGTTATAATATTCTTAGGGTAAATTACTCAAATGGTCCTCAAATTTATACCAAATTTACATTTTGATCCATAAACTAAATTATTCATTCAAATGATCCACCAACTCTTTATTAATCAGCACTTTAGTCATACCGTTACATTTTCTTTTAAATTTAGTCATTTGAGCAGCACATCCATATTTGTGGGGATAAATAAGACTTTTGACAACTAAAAAATAAAAATATATGATTAAAAATTAAATAATACAACATTTTATTTATTTTTAAAATTAATTAAAAACTATAAAAGAATAAAAAACAACAAAAAGTAACCCCAAAAAAGAAAAAAAAAACTCTCACTCTCTCCCCCTCTGTATTTTCTTCTCCCTAACGACCTTACCTCTCCTTCCCTCTCCCTTTCCTTCCCCCTACGGCCCAGCCCCCTATTCCCACCTCGGCAGCTCCCCAGCTACCCATGGCTGCCACACTTAACCCAACCCCCACCCCCACCCCTCCCACAACCTCTAACCCCACGAACCCACAACCCCGAAACCAGACCCACAAAACCCATCCCCTCCCTGCGATTTTCTTCTCTTGTAATGACATGGGTCGGGTCTCCTGCTTCTGCTCACTCTGGTCAAATGGCGATGTCGGGTGCCGGAGCTGTGCCAAGTCGGGTCGCACGTTCTGCAAAAGCTGTGGTGGTTCGGGTACAGGTCGACCCCTTTCGGTTCAAATCTCCATACGGCCTCCCACCCCTCCCTCGTAGTCGATGGTTCCGATTTTGCTTCTTATTAGAAAGTTACAGCATTTCTCTCATTCCTCTCTATTTTTTTATTTTTTTTTCCAAAAAAATTACATGGAGGAATGGGAAGATATGATGGGCTATGGGGAAGAGAAGACGAGGCACTGGGGCAATGGGGTTATCGGGCTGGGAGTTAGGAAATAGGTTTTTTTTTCCAGTTAATTACCTAAAAGTAAACACAAACAACAATTTCTATCACTCATGTATCACCACTGTATCACCTATGTATCACTACTTTATCACATATTTGGGGAACATAGGATGGTTATGGACAATTTTACCCTTACATTTGATGGCAACATTAACAGAACGTAACAGTAGGATTAATGGAGCAATTAATATAAAGTTGATGGACCATTTAAACAAATAATTTAATTAAGGGACCAAAATGTAAATCAAGTATAAATTTAAGGATCATTTGAGTAATTTACCCTATATTCTTATTAGTCATGGGAATGTTGTAGTTTTTCTTTCCTTGTTGCTGCAAGGTCTTTTCCTTCCACTTTCGTTGAATGTTTCTTGTTTTTGGCTTTGTTGCATAGGTTGTTTTGCTTTGTGGATTTTGAAATTTACTATGAAATTGAGCTAAATGAACGCGCAGAGACCAAGACTTTTGCTTTTTGTTTTTTAATATTGTTGGTGGGTGACTATTGGCAGATATTATTAGCACAGTCAGGCCAATCAAGAGATATCAGCGTGGACCTTTACCAATTGCCTGTCATGCATTCCAGGGTCCATATATTATATTCTGCCCTAAACCCTTTTATTTCAATTGGGTTGCTGAGAAAATGCAGGAAAAGAACCCGAAGAATATTATATAGTTACAAGGAAAACAACACCAAAGCCAGAGCCGGTTCATTGATTTTGGAGGCTCTGTGCAAATATGGATATCGATGCCCTATATATACAAGTAGGAAAAAAAATATACATATAGAAACAAAAATTTCTGACACGGAAAGAACACATTCGAAAAGAGTTTCTCATAAAAATTTCTTTAGTCACCCTTCCAAATCACAAAGTTGATAAATTGATTTTCCAATTTCAATGCTTGGTGAATTCTCATGTGAATATGGAGAAAATAACTGTGATTTTGGGGAAAGGGCTAAAGCTTGGGTTTTTACAATCCAAAATTTGATGGAAGAGGGTGATACACTGATACTTAAGAGAAATGGCTTTATTTTGATGGAGGAGAGTGAGAAAGATTTACTGAAATAGAAAAGAATATTAGAATTGTTTTGCAACTTGAGAGTTGGGAAGAGGAAAACACAGGTTTCAAACCATAATAAATAAATAAAAAGAAGAGTTGCAACGTAAGAGTTGAGAAGAGGAAAATGAATTAAATTAGAGCCTCTACATTCTAAATCGTAGAATTTGTTGATAATTAATATTCAATTCAATTTTGGTTTTGGTTTTGGTGGCTTGCATGTGGTGTTGTGAGGTGATATTTAATATTTCATTTTTATTTTCATGTTTTAGTTAATTTAATGGATTGACTTGGAAAAATTTGGAGGCTCCTAATTTTTGGGGGCCCTATGCGGTTGCACACCCCGTGGGCCGCCTCTTACCAAAGCAAAACATACAAACACAAACCACGGATAGAAAGATACCACAGTTGCCCTTGCTCTGGCAGGTGGACAGGAATTGGCAACATTTGACGCACACAAGAATCAAGATACTACAACATTTGCAATGCTTGTTTGCTCCTTCATGAATCCTATGATGGGTTCTGACTTGAGCTGCGAAGGTAGTTTGTTCCACAATTTGACAAAGGTAGACTGCTCCAATAACACATACTTACTACCAACCTCCCCATCTTTGATCCATTTTCCTAAGTTTCTCTGCAGCTCCAAAACTCTATCCCTTTCCCCGTAGATTGCTTTGGCGCTATGAGTTTGTTTGAGTAACTCCTCCACCTCTGCCCAAAAGCAGGATTCCCCACAGGTTCCTATTTGCAACTTTTGGTAATGCTCCAGCCATCTTTGTGTGTATTTGTAACGCTTTGGCCTGCCGCCTTTTTTCATGTAACGCCTGGTGAGTTCACCCCTTGAGTGCCTATAATAGTTAGCAATATCAAGAGGCTCAACAAGGTGGCGATACCTGGTTCCTAATTGTATCAACTTTTTTATGGCCTCAAATTCATCAGGAAGCTCATATTTTCTCAGCATTTCAATAATTTCATCCCATATACCTGCTAGCAAAAACCAACTCACATTAGGATCCGAGTCTCTCGTGTCATTCGAAATCTTGAAGGCGTCATAATATCTCCTACTGTGCTCACACAAGGCTCGGTGGTCTTCTAGCTTTGTCATTTCTTCCATTTTCGACCAATCTTTTCCTGGTTTACTCGTTTTTGCTTCTCTGATTCTCATGCAGCACGAAGGCATAATCTAGCTCTTACACTCTGCAAATTAACAAGCAAGATATCTTAACAATTTTGGAACACAAAATAGAAAAACAATCAGAACAAAGAGATCTTCGAGTACCAAGCCAAGGTCATCCAAGTAACCATCTGAGCCTAAGCAGAGCTCTTCTAGTTTATCAACCTCAACCACATTTTGCATGTCCAAGCATTTGTGGGAAATGGCCGCCCATTCCGTTTCACTACTTAACTGACAAGAGTAGAACAAGGTTTGCAACACAGCTTCAGGGTTTTCCAAGACAACCAATTTCCCATTCCCAGTGCAAAAAACATATGTTCTAAAAGGCTTGTAAGGACTTAGCTTAATGAAGTGTTTTACAGTTTCCGGTAATAGATTTGTGCTCCCCATTAGCTGAGAGGCAACATGGGTTGTAAGAGCTGATGCATTCCTCATCACATTTGTATAGAGATGCAAGGCCTCTGGGGCTGTTCTCACTTTTAAAGTTTGGCCATTTCGGATTGAAGAAGGGGAGAATTTTCTCAAACTGTTGTTGAATTGAGGAGAGAGGAGCAAGCAAAATCCGAGGGACAATGTCATATCTCATGACAGAATGTATGAAGTCTTTGGACCAGTTCTCTCTCCTAAGAGCATGAGAAATAATATGGTTACCAACAAGGGGAGATCCGAAAGTCGCACAGAAAAACGTTCCACTATCGCATTGGGGAACTTTTCCAAGAACCGGATTGCGGCAAGCGCAGCAATTGCACCACCTGTAGAGTGCCCTGAGAAAACCACTAAAGAATCAATCACAACACTTGAATTACAAGTAAATGCCCTGTAAAATAATAATAATAATAATAATATTCAATTTTTACATTCAATTTTTTTTATGTGCTATTTTATATTCTTCAACACTTCCTCCCTCCCAAACTTTAGTCACCTATAAAGCTCAGCATGTTTGAGATTTTATCACAAAAGCGCCTCAATTTTATTCATAGTGAACTCCTTCGATATGGGATTTTATATATGCCTCCTTTTTTTTTGGGTGAAATTGTGGCTTACAATCATAATTTTCAGTGAAAAGTAATAGCCGTATGAATGTTTGGGGTTAAAATTGCCAATTGTGGTTTGTAACACAGAAAGAAAAAACACAACTGATTTTCAACCTGGGAACTCTGCAATATATGTTCGAATTTGTGCAGAAAGGCTTGGTTTACAAATGCAATTGCGAACTCTTGGGCTCGAGGCTCTTCAGCTTCATCATAATTGCCTATACTTTTCATAGAAGGAAAGAGTTGGAGATTGATCTCTTTTTCTCCAAAAGCTTTATCTCCAGAATAACAACCATCCACAGACCAAGATCCTGGAAAGCTTAAAAAAGCATGGGATGATGAGGCAGGGGACTTCTCAGCATGAAACAGCTTATCTGGGAAGTTCTGAACCTTCAAGGACAGACAGCAACCTTTTTTGATAAGCTCCTCACTAATATTCAACATCCCTCCAAGACTTTCACAAGCCATTTTTCTGATTTCTTGTTCTGGTTCTGCTTTTTGGCTTGCTTCAAAGGAAGATTTAAGATGGTGGGTCAGCTACTTTCATGCTTCCTTCTGCATGAGATCCAAGTGTCAATATGCATTTGGTAAAAAAAACTGCGATCTGCATGAAACCCACTCGTTAATGTTGCTGTTCAAAAACTAAAAATAAATACCTGCCTGGAGGGAGCTATGAGAATCAAACACAAAACCTCTATACCCCGAAATGAACAACCCTGATAAAACTGGTATTCTACTTTCCTTGTTATAAAATCATGTCTTGTGTTCTTTATATCATCACATTCACATCCCTACCTAGCATATGATATAAATACATTAATGGATGTGTATTATTACTGTTTAAATATATGAATATTTAAAGAGAATATCCGGGCGGCTATACGTTTTAAATATATTTGAATATTAAATAGTATAGCCGAGCGGCTATACGATTTGAATATATTCGAATATTAAATAGTATAGGTCAAGTTTGTCCTTAATTGTACTTAATATTCGAATTGTCCTGATTGGTTTAGGGTTTAGGGTTTAGCCCAACCACGGTTCAGTTTGTCCTTAATTGTAAAACAAATTGTATGTTGTCCCATAATTAGGTCAAGTTCTTCCAAAAAGAAAAAAACCACTTTTTTATTGTTGGTGGGTGACTTGGAAAAAAACCCAGCTTGCAAGTTATCCAGATAAATGGGGAGTTGGAATCTGTGGTATTTTTTTCAACTGGGTTGCTGAGAAAATGTAGGAAAAGGAAAAGAACTCAAAGAATATAAATAGTCTTTAGAAAAATGTTTTGTATTACATCAGCTTCAGAAACCATCTTCTGATTCACTGGAAGATATTGATGACATATCTGAAATGAAATGTGAGTGGAAGTTTTGTAACTTGTTTGATGTTATGGTTGAAGGTGATAAAGGAGGTGATAGAGGAGGTGAGGAAGATCCTACAGTCATTGTAGAACTCTTCTTCGTCTGTAGCTTTCTTGAAATTTCTGTACCAACAAGAGCAACCATGTCTAGAAAATCCTTCACAATAACAAACAGTTGAAGTGGTGGTGCTCCTTTGTCTTTCAAAGCTCCTGCTTGGTAATATTCTGTTGTTCTCTTCACAAGCTCCATGACCCTAGCTTGCTCTTCTCTCACCACCTTAAGCTCCTCCTCACATTCTTCTAAGAACCCTTTCATTTCTCTTGCAAATCCACCTCTCTCAGCATTGCCACTATGTGTCAAAAGTTTCTTAATTTCAGCTACGCGGTTACTTAGAGTAGAGCTCATATGGATGAAGCTCTCATATTCTATGGTAGCTGCTTTCTTTACATTAGATAATTCAATACTCAACCCTTCTAACAATAACAACCCTTGTATTAGGTACTCTTTTCTTCTCTCTTCAGCGGTTACGTTATCCGAATTCGGTGAAATAATTTGGCTAGTGTTTCGACCAATGCTGCAGTTCTGATTGATCACACAGCTTCTACCCTCTGATTGTGCTACTTGTTCAACCACAAAGTGGAGTAGTGTAGTCTTTCCATCAGTGCTTTTGACATCAGATAGCTTCAGAAGAGCACTGAGGTTGAACCCCTGTGCATTGCCTCTGACAGTTCCAGCATTCATTCTATTGCCAGCTTTGAGAATCGCTTCAAGAAGTTTTAGGAAGAGCCCGCGAGCTCTTAGCTCCTTGCACCCCATTTCAAGTGTTTGCAACGACTTCTTGAGGTGAAGGACTTCAGGGTCATAGTTTGCTCTGAAAAGCATTGCATCGAAACGAGTGAATGCTGAAGGAACAGCTTTCAGAATGTGGAAGAGGAAAGCTTCAGCAACTGCAAGTTTACTTGGGTTGCCATTAAATTGGAGGATCTTAGCTTCTTCTTCTTGGGTTGGGGAAATTTTTGTAAGTTTTTCTAGTGTATCAGCACCAAGTCCTTGCCCATCAAGGAGGGCATTTACGATTTCTTTGCGAGAGATTGCAAGAGATCTTAGCACGATTGTGGTGTTCTGGGACTTTCGGGGCTCTAGGATGAAAACTTGAGATGTTGGGGCAGAGTTAGACTTGTTTGAAGCTGTCAAGTGATTATTTCTTTCAGAGGACTGGTTTTTAATGGTGGTATATCCAAACAAATTTTCCATAAGCTCATCATCAAATCTGAGAATTTAAGCACATAAAGAATAGTTAGACTTATTTACCTGAATGATGAAAAACCATGGCATCAAATAAGGAAAAACTACAAAAATGAAAAACCAAATGGTGTAGTAGTATTGAGACTTGTTTACCTGAATGATCCATCATTGATTTGATCCCAGACCATTGAACGATCAACAGCAGCCATGACCTTGTCCCAGTGCAAAGGCTTCAGCTTTGTTTGCCCAACACCAGTTGTTTTTGAGCTCTCCCCGGTGGAAGCCTCTGCCCTGCACTTATTGCTTGGTTTGCCTTTAGGTGCAGGTGGGGGTTTTAGTGATAAACCCAAACCACCTACCTTAGGAGGTGGAACAGGTGGTAAAGGATTCCTTTTTGCCAGAATAGGCGGTGGTGGCATCCGTAGTGAAGGGGGAGGAGGTGGTGGTGGGGGTGGTGATGGTGGAGATTTATCTATTGCTGGTTGGGGTGGTGGAGGAGGCAGTGATTGTGGAGCTTGCTTCTCTAATATCAATGTTGAAGTTGTTCTAAGTAGAAGTCTGGGAGGTTGTAGAGAATATGGTTTTGCCAATTTATCAGGATTGGTCAAATCAGATGGCTTAGACAATTCAGGCCTCTCTCCTTTAGTATCCACCCTTTCTTCTTCTTCTTCTTCATAACTGGGATTAAACATTACTCTTGGAAGATTTGTTTGAAGCTGTCCGGCTTCTAATTTTCTGAAGTATATAACATCAACCCCATTCTCATCAACAATCAACCCTTTCACATTCGCACCACATTGCCTAAATTCTTCTTGATTCATCACAACTTCTTCTCGTCGAAAACTTCCATTGGTCTTGCCTTTTAGGAGGCGGTGAGCAGCAAGAAATCGGTATAGGAAGAACAAGATTCCAGCAATAACAAGAGTGGCTGCAGCTGTTGCTGCAATAGTCTCAGCAAGTACCGTTCCATTAGATTGTGGCATTGCTGGATTTGGCACCCGAGAGATGAGAGAATTATCTGGAAAGGAACTTCTCAGAAAAGCAGTAAGATGACAAGCGCTTGGAAGAAAAGGCTTCCAAAAGAACCGAACACAGGGTTTATTTGTTAATGTGTTGTTGTGTTCTTTGGATGCTGAGTAACTTCGATTCCTGTGTTTTGGTGTTTGGTTGTTGACAGTTTCAATGAAGGTAGTTGTTTACTTGGTTGGTTTCGTTTTATAAAAATTACTACAAAGACCCTGTTGGGAAAATGTAACTACAAGTTGCAGTGAAGAAGATACTGTATTGTAGCCTTGTAGGCTTTTGTGTCATTTTGAGATCATGCATAAAGAAATGGCAGATGGTGGGTGTGAGATTTATGTTTGCCGTCCATTTCCAGTATTGTATATCATTTCCATGCATCAACATTAATTAATGATTTTAAATTCGAAAGTTACAATTGCAGCTGTTGAATTAGAGTTTGTTGACATCATAAATAAGTGATCTTCCTTATTTGATGAAATAACAAATGAGTGAAAAACTTGGTATGCCATCCAAAGTATATTCTATCATTAGCATTGTTTGATTGTTAATTTATAATTAAAAACGATAATACAATGCGCTAATCGTTATTAACAAAGTTAAAGAGTCTGATAATTAACAAACATTCCAAAATCTCATACATGACCCACCATTTGAGAACTTGCCTGCAAGCTGCCAAATGGCTTCAGCAGATCAAAGAGCTGTTCAGCTGAGCACAAACGGAAGAAGAAAAAGAAACAGAACCAGTGCCTGCACCGAAAAACAAGTATATAAGAATTGTTAACAAAACCGCAAATAAAGTCTAGGTCAATCTCTTTTAGTTTAAACTATCGTTTATACTAAAAAAAAGTTACACGAAACAAAACCAACACTTATGATTTACTGTGGTCCGAAGCATTTGATCAGATGTGGGGTTGTGATCCTGTGTGGTCCATGAAACGAGAGGAGCATAGGAGGAGAAACCAAGATGTGATGAATCTTAATGGGCCCCTATAAAACTAGTGAGGCTAATGATTTTGAGGGTCTATATCTCGTTGCTGGTCTTTAAAGCGAAAATCACAGAGACAGACTGGTGAGCTTTGAGATCGTATACTAACAGTTCAGCTAAAATCTTCAAAAAAGTTGGTGGATCCATGATGGCCCATGACAAGACTTTTGGCACCATAGTAGAATTTAGAAGCAAAGCACGTGAAATGATTCCAACTCAAAAGGGTAAAAAATGACAGACAACGAGATATTGAATGGTTGAAAATAAAGATCAGTAGACAGCAAAATATTCCCCTCAAAATATTTGGGATTTCCATTGATTGTGTTGAGATTTTCCATCTCCAACATCCACAAAAAGTAGGAAGGAAAGAACCTTTTAACCCCAAGACTTGCTTATACGTCTCTGTCTACCCTTTAACCCTTTCTCTTTTCTGGTCAGGGTGGAAGTTATATGTTGGCAAATTTACACAAGGTTGTGGAAGAAAACATACGTGGCAAAACAGGAAATTCTCTATACTGCCAAATGGGGACACTGTGTATGAACGTGAAGTTACAAAATCCTAATAATGGCAGACAATATCAATCTGTCTTGTGCAATCTAGGTCTCTTTGACGAAAACCGTGTCGCGGGCGATGATGGCGATGAAGACGGTAGCTGAGATGATGCTAGACTGCAAGCAAACGAAGGAGACAGTTGCGGTAAAGGAGAGGGAGGTGATGATGCATTGTAGTCAACTTGAAATGTTCTCTTGTGAATCTTCTTCTCTTCACTTTCTCTTCTTTCTCCTCCTCCCATCATGAAATGTTTCAAGCGGTTCACATCTGAAAGCTTCACTGGTTTCAATATGTACTCCTCAGCTCCTTCCTCCAAACATCTGTAAAAACCAGTGGTAAAAGAATGATCAGTCAAAGAGCTTCATATAGAGAATAATTTAATATATATAACAGGCAATAAATATGGTACAAATTAAGGAAAACTACGTTATAAGGTAAACAATAATTGTTGAATTCAATATGCTTTATATGGTAAACGTTGGAGTACTATCTTTTAGAATATAATATTATGCCCATGAAATCTGAACATGGCAAATTTTGCCCATTAGGCTCATGAAGGGGCATTTGAAGTTGGCCCATACATGCGCATTTAAAAAAATCCAGCACCCATGATGAAAAACAGATGTGATTAATTCCTGGAAAATATAAAACAATTAAAGAAAAACATTCACCTAGAATTTGATATTCATAGTCAGTAATAATAATAATTATTATTATTGTTATTCAATATAATTGAACAAGCCATGTGAGGACTTATTTTATAAGATTTGAGTGATCCCCAAAAGATTCATGAGTAAAATGACATCACAATCTCTTGTGATGTCTACAAATCATTCAACAATTTGAGGCAAAACACCAATCATCTCCTATTAAAAAAATTTGGTACATTAAGAGAAAGATCAATTCTGCAGATCATAAGAATAATCAAAAGTTAAACAAAAGATCTGGCCAACTAATCAGATGCTGCTATGTTTGATCTAGACCACAAAAATCCTAATTCCAATGGAGGAAAAAATGAAATTTGGATCAAAATTCATGAATGTCCAAAAAGAAAATAATTATATGGATTTTTCAACATTATAATATCCAAGGCTTACAATTAGCAAAACAAATCAAGTGCCGTAAAAAAAGAGAGAAATCCTTGGTCCAAGAACATACCTATCAATTCGGGTCAGGATGTTTTCTGATGACATGATCACCACCGGAACTTCTCTAAAAGCTGAAGATTCCTGTTCAAATTAAAATTACACAATAAATCTCTGAGTAATTGCCATGATAAACTTTGAATTTAATTATGGATTATCTGTTGTTCTGCGCCTTAATTGATTATTTCAAATAAAAATTAAAGGGCTAACCTTGATCTTCTTCAGCAACTCATATCCGGTCATCCCAGGCATTGAGTAGTCTGTTATTATTAGATTCACCTTCATAGCCTGTAACCACACAAAAATACTCAAACGTCAGAAAACCACCATAAAACGAAAAAGACGTTTCATTTTCCGTTTGGTGGCTGAGAAAATGTTCTCTTTTTTTATTAAAAAGAACTTGCATTTGCATATAGGCTTATAGCAAACAACAAATGAATCAAAAGTATCTTTCTTTTTTTTATTTCCCTCCATTTTCTCAGAAACCAAACAGATTTTCAAGGCGCAAGTTTTCTTACATCAAATCCAACAGAACTCTTCTCCCCATCCAATCCTAGATACTGCAGAGCTCTTGTCCCGCTGTCAACAGCCGTCACTGCAGAACAGAACAAATTTGCAACATGCTTCAATCACCAAGTAATCAAAACCGTCATTTCCCAAAACGAGAAAAATGATCAAAAACCAACCAGAGCCATCCACATACCTTTGCAAGATGATATTTTTAGCAACCTCTCAATGACCTTCCGGTCGACGTGGCTATCATCCACGGCAAGAACATGCAGCTCCCCAGAACCCATCTGAGAATCAGCAGAAAGCTCAAAACTTTCGGGCAAATTAGGCCTGAACACCTCACTGGCCATCGCCATTGAGCCTTGCAGAGCTTGAAGAGGAGTATTTAGCGCGTCAGCTGAAATGGGTCCGCGTGGAAACAATAAAAAAACAGAGAGAAGCAGAGTATTTTTGAAGAAGAAGCGTTGGTTGTGTGAGGAAGGCGTTGAAGAGTGTTTATAGAGGAGAGGCGTACGAAGGAGGAAATAGAGAGAGGTGGGTGGGTTTTTTGCTTTAAATAGGCAAAAGGCTAAAGCTGAGATTCTGAGGATCCAATATATCTGTGAGATTTTGTTTTCTCTTTGCAAATCTAGCAGAGAGGATTATACCACCCCCACCCCCACTTGTCCATTGTCCTGTCAATCCTTATTTATTGGTGTTTACTTGTCACAATGGTCACCAAAAAAAAAAAAAAAAAAAAAAAAAAAAAAAAAAATCCTTATTTATTTGTAAATTTTATTGTGATTTTGTTTTCTAAATTTTTATTATTTATATTTGCTCTGTTTCAGTTCCATTTCAGTGTGCTGAATCCCATGGTGCCTCTTTTTTCTCATGCAATTTCCAAACCTATGTGCATCTAGACAGACAACAAGCATTCAGACCAAAAATAAAACACAAAGACAGACAACAAATAGTTTAATTTTTTACTATCATTGAAGGAATTTGACTTTGAATCCATGTTTTGCTTTCAACATTGAAAATTCAAAGCCAACTTGGTCCATGGGAAAATCTTCAAGCCATATCTTCCATCGAACTTTCTGATTAAATCTTGCAAATGTTTTAAAGTAAAAAATAACAAATTTGTTCAAACACTTTTGAATGAGTTGGAAGCCATATATTGGTTGATATAAGTATGTGAGACAGTCATAAAAAAAAAAAAAAAAAAAAAAAAAAAAAAAAAAATAAAAAGGTAGGATATGTGTTCGACTCCCTCCTTCCTCTATTGTAATGAATTATGCTATAACTATGCTAAAGACATACTTTGTTTTAGTTTTACGATTTGGACTCCCGGTACTGGAAGTAAAAATAAACACAATCTTAAAGCGATATTTTTCATTGTCTTCATCATGTAAATATTATAACGATATTTTGGCCAAATATTGTTGAAGCGTGTGATAAATTATCGACATTAATATTTCCCGATATTATTGATAATTATACGATATGTGTATAGATATTTTTCAAAATATTTTAGATTCGAAAAACGATTCGTCAATATTATCGATATTTTAGTCTTTGATTATGACACACATTTATTTTGTAATAATGAATGATATATTTTGGAGAATTGTCAAATATGTTGGATAGAAGGTTGAAATTTACAGCTATCATTTTAGATACTTCGGTTGGAGATGCAAGGGATTGATTGATTTTAGAGCATGGTCATATCATAATCAAATCCACTCAAAATCTTGGATCATCTAAGAATTGCCTTTGCAAGGCATTTACTGGTATAGGTTAGCTACACAGACCGACTAATATGATTGGATCATCTAAGCTAACCATGATCTCCTATATCTGAGCATTTAATTAAGATAGAATATTAAACTTGTGAAAGGACGTATTGCCTTTGCAACTCTTGCTAAATTTGCCGCTAATCAAGACAGTCATCCATTAAAATATTGGATTAAGCCTGTGGGTTTGTCGAGAAGGATCCTATTGAATGCATTCATTTATTTTATTTTATTTTTTTTCAAAGCCTTCTGCTTTTTCAATTCCTGAAAGATTAAGCTTTCACCACTAATGCTGCACTACGTGGTTCTTTGACAATATAAAGGGAGGTCTTTTGGTATATAATATTTTGCTTTTGGCTCAATGTTTGGTGTAAAAATATTGGTGGAGCCTAAGAATGCCTGGTCTGGTCTGACCTCAGAAGAGAAGTGGCATAATAACCAATAGCAGTAAGTAAACAGAATACAGGTAATGGATGAATATTATTATTTTTATACCGACAATATTGGAGGAGGAGGGAGTCGAACTTAGGATCTCGAAAACAAGAATAAAGCTACAAACAAATCGTTTGAATTGTAAATTATTTCACACCCACAAGGGAAAATACCAAAACCCAAATCCCACATAAGATCCTTATTCTCAAATAAAGTGAAAAGACAAAGAAGAAAGGTTTAATGTAGCCCACATCATTATATATGGCTCTGATATGACCTTATAAAGTCAAAGATGGATCAATTCAATTTCATCTTCTTCATGATGGTCCTTCAATTTCAGTCTGCTAATCTGAGACATGCAATCAGGCCTGTGATCCTACCACCTTTCTTTTCCAATTTGACCACAGGTCAACAGAATTAAGTCATATGTTAAATTGCACTGACGGATAAAAAAGACTTGAACTTTGTTTATATTTGTATTTTCTTTGATTTGGGTTTTGTTGGAAATTGAATAAATCGATAACAGTAGCAGGGCATGTCCCCACACCGGCGGCGTCAAAATTGGGAAAGCCAAAAGCTTTGGGGTTTGCTGTGACCTGTCGTGAGCCATGGAAGAAGAGGAGAAGAGAAGGTCACTTCCCCCAAATATATTTTACTTTGTACGGACGAGATATCTTGCCAGAGATCAAAGTGGGGTCCACTAAAAAATGCTAAGATTGATTGATTATACCTGTCCATGATCTCTGAGCACCACCACCTCCATTTGCGTGAACAGTCAGATCTTAATAAACGAAACAAAACAAACACTCTCTTTCTGTTTGTATTAATAAAACTAAAATTTTGTGATTTGCCAGCCACTTCGGTGGCCTTTGGAATTTGAGCTTTGATTGATCTTCTTCTTCCAGCTGATCAACTTTGGATTTCCACAGAGCCTCAGCCAAGCCAGCATCATCATTGCATTGCCTCAAAATATTCTGGTTAGCTGAGCTAGCTGCCCTTGTGTTGGTCCCAGCTGTGAAGTGAAATCAAGGGTGCCAAAAACACTGCACAACAGTGTTCCATTCGCAGTTTTTATTTCTACTTTCAAACACTGTATGATCTGTTGGGCCCATCACTAAAGCCTCGTCGTTTCGTTGCCACACACTTTGTTCGCCTTTGGACTCTGACCTATTTTAAAAAATGATGCGGCATAAAAAGCAAATCGAATTCGGGGGCAAGGGACCGAATACACTATTCTGGTTAAGAGCTTTAATTCGCATATTCAAGCAGCACTGTTTATACAAACGATATTAAAGATAGGGGATTCGAACACAAAACCTCGGATACATGGCTAACTACTCTTAATCATGAAGCAGCACTATTGTTTATAGATTTTTTTTTTTTTTTTTTTTTTTTTTTTTTTTTTTTTTCTAGACTAATTTTTTCGGTTGAAACAAAAAAAGATAACTAACATTTGGGTTGTGATTTGGAATTAGTTATTACACAACAATATGGATAAGGTGCACTAAATAATAGTAAGCCCAAACTACGCGATCTAGAGTTGGGCTCCAGATGTTCCATACGGGCCCAATGGACCGTAAAAAGATCCAAAGGATCAGTTATCAAAACGACGCCGATTCATTGCAACACAGCGAAAGAACCAGGTCCCGATCCGGCGCGCAAAAGAACCAGGGCCCCAAAGCCGTCACTTCAGACCAGCAACCGTTGCGGATCGTCGAGCTCGAAAATGGAGGAGGCAAAAGCCGCGGCGTACTACGAGGAGTTGACTCGGCGCGGTGAAGGAGCCGCCAGATTCAAGCAAGGCTTGGGCTTCTCTTCTGCAAGCACAGATTCCGAAAAACCCCCTGCGCGCGGTTCTGCGCTGCCTTATTCGTCGTCTTCCTTCCTCAGCAAGTTTGTCAAGGCCTCTAGCCCGAAAAAGGAGTCGGAGCTCCAAAAGCAAGCCCAAATAGAGTCCATACAGAACAAGCTCAAGAGGAAGAAGCCCGACCTGGCCGAAGAAGAAGAAGAGAAACAACCGCCTAGGGTTTCGCATAGAGAAAGTAAGCATTCGAGGAAGCGAAGCAGGAGCAGGAGCAGAGAAAGGCATTCGAGGCGGCGAAGTAGGAGCAGAGAGAGACATAGAGATAGAGATAGGGATAGAGATAGGGAAAGGGATAGGGATAAGGATAGGGATAGAGATAGAGATAGAGATAGAGAGAGAAGGAGAAGGAGAAGTAGGTCTGGGAGCGGTTCGGATGGAGGTAGAAGACGAAAAGGGAAGAGCCGGAGTCGAAGTCTGTCACCTCGGGATCGGAGAAAGGAGCGAAGGAGTCGGAGCTCGTCGCCGAGAGAGAGGGGTTTGGAGAAGAGCAAGGGTAAAACGGGGAAGGAGAGAAATGGTGCTGCTGATTATTCAAAGTTGATTCAAGGCTATGATAAAATGGTATGTTTAGATTGGTAATTGTATTTTTTACTTATTTTCACTCAATGGGTGGAGCCAAGCTCAGGCCTTTATCAAATTTTGATTATACGAGACATTGAATTATTAAGTTAAGTGGTAGAATGAGTCACTCATTGTTCATTGTTTTAGCTGTGAATTGTCAAGTATGATAACAAGCCCTTCTTATGTTATGAACAACAGTCGGCAGCCGAGAGAGTCAAAGCGAAGATGAAATTTCAACTTGCTGAAACTGGTGAGTTGTGGTCTTAAGAACCAGTCTCTAGTATTGGGTTCACTTGGACTTGTGCAAAATAACCATCTTGTTATTTTGACTGCAGCTGAGAAGGATACGACGAAGGGCATGGGCTCTGGTTGGGAAAGATTTGAATTCAACAAAGATGCACCACTTGATGATGAGGAAGTTGAAGGTTAAACATTTATGACCACACTTTATTTTAGAAAGTAAAGATTGAATTTTGTTCTTGGCATTATTTCTGCTTGTAGTTCTGTCCTTTGTACCGTAGGTCTATCTGACATTGCAGTCATTTTTTAAGTTAAAAGTTAAAGATTGCGGCCATTATAAGATATTTGTGGCTTTCCACAACTTTTTCAGTAGGTTGGTTAATCATCTTTATGCTTACCATTTAGGGAGAAACCCTGGTTATATTTGCAGGTGGAGAATGTTACTTTCCATTCTATAGATGTCCATAATCTGAGAATCAGATAAACATTGTTCGGGCATCTGTGTGTGCCTTTCATGCCTTTCTTCTTAATATATTGCATGTCGTGCAAAGTTTTGGAGCTCTCAGACAATACTAATGGCCACTGCATCTTATTGCCTGGCCATACTTGTAACTAGAGATTATTGTTTCAAGCTTGCATTCTGATTGCTCCATAGCCTTACAATATGTATGGCATATAAATATCCAAGATCAGAAATATAATTAAGTGGTCAATTAGCAGAGCATTGGATCAATCAATTACCATACTGATCTAGGTAGCTTGCATGTTGTCAACGCTGTCTGATTTGATCTAATTGAGCTGATTGTCCATGTTCGCCTTCTTTGTAGTTGCTGAAGATGATGCAGCATTAGTTAAGCACATTGGGAGAAGCTTTCGGTTTTCTGCGATTGAGGTATGACTCTCTACTCTATTGCTGTCAGTAACTCAATTGACTTCCAGGTTGCGTCTTGAAATCTTGTTTTGAGAGAGGTGATAGTTCAATAGTTTCTGAAGTTACTCGTTTGAATACCACTATGTAGAACAAAAGGGAGGAGAAGATCAAAACTGCTCATGATGAGGCTATGTTCGGTTCATCAGATAATCCACCATCCATTATGATAGATAGTGAGGTTGAGGCAGAGAACGATATAAGGGACAACAAAGAAAGTGAACCTACAAGCTTATTGAGTGATAAGGTAAGTTGAATACTGTTTCTTGCTAAGCAAAAGGAGGGAAATATTGTTTTGTAGGGGTGGGGTTCTTTCAGGACTCAGATAAAAGTTGAAATTTATATGCTGCCATTTTTTAGGTACTTGCGAAAAAACAAGGCTCATGGCGTGACCGTATACGTGACAAAAGGAATTGACATGGATGGCTTCGGCTAGGTCTTTTCTTTTCCAGTTCATATTTTGGATGTAGATGTCACTATGACCTGATTTTAGTCATAAGCAAGTTGATGGTTGGGGTCAGATACGGTGATCAAATGGATGGACACGGATTCATGTAACACTCTGATACTATGATTTCGGTTTTCATGCAAACTTACTCAGGGGAGGAAGTGATAATGGAGGAGATGCATTGAAATTAGCATGAAGAAGCTTCCACTCCGATGAAACTGTGCATGCCCAAGAATATCCAATGCCCTGTCAATTATGCTGAATGATCCTTGTGTTCAAAACTCAAAAGCAGCACAGAGATTCCAAAAGTTCATGCTCCTTGGCAGAAAGTTGTGTTTCTCATTAATATCATTTGGATTTTCTGGTCTTAGATATATGTGGCCTTGTATTCTGGCCAAGGAAAACAGTGGCATTGTATGTACCGTACGAGTATATTATTTTAACACATTCGTTTACTAGATTTTCATTGTGAGGTAACAGGTGTATGTTAGATTGAATATTTGAATTCTCATTGGCTATTAGCAATTTGGCTTAGGTCAGTACATGTTTTCATAATGGGACATTTTGGAAAAAGCAAAAGGAGAGAGAAAAATTTTAAAAGAAGCAAAAATAGACAAAAATGCCCTAATTCATTAATATCATAATTAGGACTTAGTCTCTGAATATTTTATGTATTTATCTGAGAAGAGCGCATGCTAATCAAACTATCCAAGCGACAAACAAATTCTAGTGGCAATGTAATTGACTAATTTAACCCAACTGAAGCCTGATTTGTTCTGCCCTTCTCTTTTTAATCGTTAAGATATCTTTGTGAGGATATAAGAGGATATAAAAACACAAAATGAACAACAAGTCGTTGTAGTATAGTGGTAAGTATTCCCGCCTGTCACGCGGGTGACCCGGGTTCGATCCCCGGCAACGGCGTCCCTAGTTTTTCTGTTTTTTTCCCCGGGAATCATCACTGAACCACGTGTCGCGTTCTGATTTGCTGAACGAAGACTGCGAATGACGCACGCAATGCCCGAGACAGCCAATCAAATTGGAGCACTTACAATTAAAAAATTGGAAAAAAATACAAATATAAAACTAGTGGTTCAGGTCGTCTTTTCTCCTTCGTCCCTGTTTTGCAGTTCCAAGCCCTCGCAACATTTTTCTCGGAAAATCCCGGTACCGTACGCGCAATCAATGGCTCCGAATCGTTGGTTGAGGCCTGAGGTAGGCTCAGATCCGCCGTACCCTTGAATTTCCCTTTCATTTTGCGACAGATCGGCTTTGATTTTGTTTGTTAGGTTAGGCTGTAAATCTGACGTATGTCGTATTTGTACGTGTAGGTTTATCCACTGTTCGCGGCCACAGGGGTTGCCGTAGCGATTTGCGGGCTTAGCTTGTTCCGCCATATCACAATCAACCCGGAAGTCAGGTATATATCTCTCTATCTCTCTCTCTAGACATAAATGTGTACATGTGGACTACAAAGCTTATTGCTTTGAGTTAGGTTTTTGCTAAGCTGTATTTTATTTTTTGATTGTTTCACTGTATGTTGATTGGATTGGTTTTTGTGTGGAAACTTATCAAAGTAGAGGAATATTTTCAGGACTGAAAAGGAAAAACCTTTCATTTATATAACCAAGTACTTGGGAAATATCTGGGTTTATTTTGATGCCAAGTCAGTTACTTTTGTGGGAAGAACAAAAAAATACTGAGTTAGCTTGAATTTAACCAAAGTGGGTGGTCCAAATTTAATCAGTAGAGAGCCCAAGTAAATATTTCAAACCAAAATGAACCGACTTTTGAATGATGGGAACTGATGCCCTCTCTAATTTGTATATGTTTTTAGAAAGTATTTATAAACGTAATTTGATTGTTGTCAAAATCACTTAAAATCTTCAACCTTGGTCACATTCAAATATGGTTCGATTGGCTTATGTACATGTGTGGTGTTATAAGTGTCCAGATTAGAGGTTCATGTTAGTGAGACTTTTTCTTCTTGCTCTGTTGGTTCCCTCCTACAAAATGAAAGAAGTTTATTCTGTTAGATTATAATGGTCTAAGAAGCACAGATGGTAAATACCATGACTTTTATCATACAAATAGGTTTTACTGATTCATTCTCTCTCTCTCTCTCTCTCTCTCTCTCTCTGTGTGTGATTATGGATGTGTAAAAACAAGTGAATGTTGCTTAATCATCTTCTCTTTGTTACTATCATTGATGTTGTGGCTTAAAATAATACTGCCTTTCTCTCTGCTCTTTCTAAATCAGAGTGAGCAAGGAGAACAGGGCTGCTGGAATATTGGAGAATTTCGACGAGGGAGAAAAGTACAAGGAGCATTTCCTGAGGAAATTTGTCCGCAACAAGTCGCCAGAAATTATGCCGTCTGTCAATGGTTTTTTCACAGATCCAAGCCGGAATTAAATGCTCTGAGTACCACTTAAAAGAAAAGGAAAATGTCAGAGATGGAGACTCTTTAATTGCTTTCAGTCTTTGGAGTTTTGGAGGTTGTGCTAAATTTGCCCCTGCTGTATGAGGGTTACGATTGAAATAAACTGAGTGCAGAACAGTATGAACGTAAATTTGGTATCATATGTGATGATGATTAACTGTCATCTACCTATTAATTCGTTGGTTGAGTTTCATTATTTTTTGCATTTGTAGACGTAGTTTTACTTGAGCAAGTCTTAAACAAAGAATGTCAATGAAGACCATATATCTCTAGACATAGTTTCACTTGAGCAAGAGACAATTGCTTGGCAGATTGGTATTGTCCTTGTTCTTAACAATTTACTTCTAATTTCACCCGTTTTATTATCTGAAACACATCAAGCACTAACAGGCAGCTTGATATTGTTGGGTTTTGAGACTCGTGGATGCAGCTTTCAAGTCTGGTTTAGTCAGAGAACCATCAAACACAAACAGGCACTACTTGTGTTTCAAACCCTAAGCGAACATCACTATTGTATTAATAAAGGCATCCCAGGATCAATCAAACACTGAGCTTACAAATCGTGAGGACATAGGAGAGCCAAACAAGAAGCCTGCCTTAGTTTGATTGCGCCTAGGCAAACTAGAAGACTAAAACAACACATAGGAAACGAAATTTTCTACAGAAATCAAATTCATTAACAACTATAAATAGCAGTAAATGCTCCAATGTGATCTGTCCACGTCAAGATTGTCATGGCTTGTTGAGTCAAAACCGGTAGAGAAGGTATAAATCTGGTATATCATGACTAAAATTAAGGAGGAAAGTGCTCAACATCCATTGAAGGACCACCAGATTGTTCCATTCTCATTCCTCGAAGTAAACTTTTTGCTGTTTCCTTTTCCTGTAGCGATGCACAAAGAAATAACAGTTATTTAAGAGTTCCTTACAGTTGATTCGAAGCATTTGCACATATTCATTAAATTTCTTTTTTTCGAGGGGCTTAATCTTTGTTAAATTTCAATGTTATATTTTGGCAAACATGTACAGAGAAAGAGAAGTTGCAACTTACTGGGCCAGTATAATCTAGAAGACGGGTACAGTAGACCTCTGCTTCTTCAAATCTTTTCTGGTCTCTGTAGTATTGAGCAAGAAATAGAAGGGTTTCAACCATATTTGGTCCTTCCCTGTCTTCAGCTTCCATCCTCTCCAAATCCTTCTTGTAGTAATAAGCTGCCTCATCAGAACGTTCAAGTTCAAAATGTAGCTTTGCAAGCTGGTGCAGGGCAATGGCTTCCCTGTCATTACAATTCACTGCCCTTTGGTAACACTTAATTGCTTCCTCAATCATGTGGAGCTGGTCAGTTTCATAACACTTAGCCATGGCAATCCACAACCGAGAATCATTTTGCTGCAAGAATACAGATTTCTTGAAGTAATGAAGAGCATAAAAGGGCATACTCATCATCTCATAAGCTTGTCCTAATCCATACCAAGCTCGATAATCACATGGATTTATATCGACGGCATGCCGATATGCCTCGACAGCAGCTGGGGTGTTTTTCATTTCAACATATTCATGACCCATAAGGGTCCAAGCAGATAAATAATTTCTGTTCAACTTGAGTGCCCTCCTAAAGTACACAACTGACTTCTCATGCTGCCCTTTTAAGCTGTAGTAATTGCCAATAATGCAACAAGATTCTGGTCTGTATTTATCAGTGATAAATACTCTATGAGCAAGATAACTCAGTGCAGAGAAACATTCCTTTGCATATAGCACATTGGAATACATATCCATGTCCTCCACTCGGTAAGGGTCATTCCTCAGAAGGTCTTCAAAAATTGCTTCAACTTGTTCAAATTCCCTCAAACTGTATTGGGCCTTTGCAATTTGAGCCTGAATGTAATTACTAAAAGCAAAATTACCCTGGAGATATTCATATTTTGCTAAGGATTCATTGTGTTTCCTTAGTTCTTGATAAGCACTGGCAAGAAAGAAGTCCTTCATCCAATGGTTATTGAGATTAAGGGTGGTCAAAATGTCAACTGTAGTGCACAAGGACTGCAGCTCCGACCAGGCACTCCAGTTCCAAGGGTAATTGTTAACAGACTCCACAAGAACTGTACGGGCAAGACTCTTGCTGCCTTTGTCTTTGAGCACAAGACCATACAAGTAGAGGCCAAAAGGATCAATAGTACCATTCTTGCGAAGGGTTGATAACTCCCTCTCAAGAGAAACCAGTTCACCATTCACAACGTCGCTCTTACCTAGGGGCCCCTCAAGTTCTATCATTTCTTCCTCTTTCCGCTTTTCTCCGGCCTTCGTTAAGCAATAAAAAGGAAACAAAATATATAATTATAACATCTGGAATGAAATATGTAGGTTCATAAAAATCAATGATTTTCTAACAAATGAGAAACCTCTACTTGTCTTTTCTTGTACCATTAAACTGACAAAGATTTGCTAATCGGATTACCCTATTGCCAATCTATTGTATGTTGGATCCCAGTTGCCTGATCTACATCCTAATCAAACTTGTACCCGTCACTGAATCACCACTATTTAAACTAGTTCATGCCAACTGCAGCACCCACCAAAAATCAACCTTTGAGGTAATAATGACTGGACGGTTCTAAAGATACAAAATTTATGTGCTCATGAAATCAATATTACATGGGCACACATAAATCTCACCTAGATCAATCTATAATCTACAAAAGACGAAGAAGAAAAAACAAAACTTTCATTTGCAAAGAGTGAAAGAGAAACAAGGGCAATAAGATAAATATAAGAGAATGTTAACAGACCAGGTAAAGAGCATAGCAGCGCAAGAACACTGACTTCTTTCCATTTTGATCACGAAGCGCATGAGCAGCTCTTCTGTACTCTCGGCAATCAAAATACGACTTAGCAAGAAGGTAAAAATCACCATCCACGATGTCATCTTCCTCCATCACCGGAGTTGAGACGTACGACACTCCAGCAGCTGGCGTGGAAGTGATCTCATTGGTGCGAAACCTGCGTCGAATGCTGGAGCTCCCGCGCTGGAATCTGGTGTTTGCAGGAGTAAACTTTGCCGGGTCTTGCTCAATACCCACAAGCTGCTCTGCCGCCCTGCAAATTGTTCAAAAACGACGGAAGCATCAGTAGCTGCTAAGAACTGAAATTCGAATTGGAATTTGGGGTTTTAGGGTTTGGTGGGTACCATTTGGAAGCTGCATAGAGACAACGGTCGCTTAGCTGACGAATCGCAGTTCGAAGCTCGATTCTGTAGTTCTCTTTTGAACTCATTGATTTGCTCTCTCAGTCACTCTGCCAATGCTGCAACTGTTTGCTGTTGACATCTAACGTGCGCCGGGAGTGGCGGTGGTATACTGAGCAAGACCCCGCGCTCAGTTTCAGATTTTTCAAAAACACAAATCAAACTTGATTTTTCATTTTTGGTGGGTTTTTTTTTGTTTTTGTTTTTACAAGCGCCGGGTTGGGCTGTTGTGGTAAGAAAGGAGAAAGCCCGGCCCAATTAAATTGACCCCACGAAACTTGTTTGGTTGGTGAGAAAATAACGAGGGAAAAGTGCAACTCTTGTAACTAACCATCAATGGCTCCAACTCCAGAAAATGTTCACTCTGCAACTCAAAACTGCGGCACAGAAAAACCCAAAACCCAGTTTTTCAATCCCATGTCGCAGCCTCATCACCTCACCCCCACAACCGCCTCAAGACTCTTACTTGGCCAACCTCATCCTCCAATCCGATCCACAAACCCTAACCCAGATTCTTCACAACCCTAAAATCGAGTGGACTGCAGATTTGGTGGACAAGACCCTGAAACGGCTCTGGAACCATGGGCCTAAAGCCATCCAATTCTTTAAAGTCCTTGACCACCACCCCAGCTACACGCACTCTCGCTCTTCCTTCGACCACGCCATCGACATTGCTGGTCGTCTGCGTGACTATAAGGCCCTATGGACCCTTGTTTCCCGGATGCGGGCGCGCCGCCTCGGCCCGGGCCCGAGAACTTTTGCTATCATCACTGAGAGGTATGTTGCTGCTGGCAAACCTGAGAGAGCTGTTAAGGTGTTCTTGTCTATGCATGAACATGGCTGTCCTCAGGATTTGAATTCCTTTAATACCATACTTGATGTGCTTTGCAAAGCTAAGCGTGTTGAAAAGGCTTATAATTTGTTTAAGGTGTTTAGGGGCAAGTTTAAGGCTGATTGTATTAGTTATAATATTATTGCAAATGGGTGGTGTTTGATTAAGCGAACCCCAAAGGCTTTGGAGCTTTTTGGGGAGATGGTGGAGAGGGGATTGGACCCGAGTTTAACCACGTATAACATAATGCTTAAAGGGTATTTTAGAGCTGGCCAGATTAAGGAAGCTTGGGAGTTCTTTTTGCAAATGAAGAAGAGGAAGTGTGAGATTGATGTTGTTACTTACACTACTTTGGTTCATGGGTTTGGTGTTGTTGGTGAGATTAAGAAAGCTCGAAAAGTTTTCGATGAGATGGTTGGGGAGGGGGTGCTTCCTTCCGTTGCAACTTACAATGCTTTGATTCAGGTTTTGTGCAAGAAAGATAGCGTGGAAAATGCTGTCTTGGTTTTTGAGGAGATGATGAGCAAGGGTTATGTGCCTAATGTGACCACTTATAGTGTGTTAATTAGAGGATTGTGTCATGCGGGTAACATGGAAAGGGCGATGGAGTATATGGAGAGAATGAAGGATGACGAGTGTGAACCAAATGTTCAGATATATAATGTTGTGATTCGTTACTTTTGTGATGCTGGAGAGATAGAAAAAGGGTTGAGTGTGTTTGAGAAGATGGGTGGTGGAATTTGCTTGCCTAATTTGGATACATACAACGTTTTGATTAGTGCCATGTTTGTGAGGAAGAAACCTGAAGATCTGTTAGTGGCTGGGAAGTTGTTGATTGAGATGGTTAACAGAGGATTTTTGCCCCGTAGGTTCACCTTCAATCGCGTTCTGGATGGGCTTTTGTTAACAGGTAATCAAGCTTTTGCAAAAGAGATTTTGAGATTGCAGAGCAGATGTGGCCGACTTCCCCGCCAGGTCAAACTATAAATCATGTATGAATTCTGCTTAGAAGAGTTTTCTATTCCTGCTCAAGTTTGAACGCTTGATCCTCTCTGAAAAACTTCCTTCTGTGCTGTTTGGGGTTGAAGGTCTAGAATTTCAAGGATCAGCTGGGCATATTTGGTGCAGTTCGATTGAAAGAGAGATTTCTGTGCCACCCAACTTGAGGCTTTCACTGCTTTTACAAGCAGAGCACACACAAACTGGGACTGGCTCAGGGGGTTATATATCTGATGACCATCTCTCATCATTCTAGTGGAGATGAAGCATTGACTGTGGGAGAGACTTAACTTGAGCAACAGGCTAAGAACATGATGATCATTCGCTTAGCAAGAAAAGATGAGAAAGAAAATCCGGCCATGATTGTCAATGGTGTTGGTGAGTTTCAAGGTTCAATTGTTTCTTCCTTCTCATTGTCATCGCATGCTTTGGAAGCATGTTGCCGGTGATTTGTTTGATAATATAGCTTGCATCAGCTTGTATCAGTTCCACAATCTCTGAAGTAAAAGGAAATCATTTAAACTTCTGCACATATCCACTGTTGTCAAATTTGGAGTTGCATACATTAGTCAAGTTGAAGCTTGCATTAACAGAAGAAGCTTGTTTCTTGGCTCCGTTTAATATTGGATCAACTAACATAAGAGTTTGTTCCTTACTATTTGTTATGAAAATATTGTGTGCACCACCCAAAATATTTGATGAACTTTTGTTGGATAAAGGTTCGTTCAATGATCCGATGAATTTTATACATAAGCAGGAATGTAGCGTTTCTGAGAAAGAAAGGGGTAAACGAGGCTTTGGCTTATTTGCCCCTTTACCTCTCTAGTTAGGTTTATTTCGATTTGAATGGAAACTGATACAAGAACAAGATTTAACTGTGTTGAACGAGGATTCCGTCATTATGATTCTCATCTTACTACTATAGTGCATTAATCCTCATGTTTTCTTTTGATAGAACATTAATCCATATTAGAATCTAAATTCTAAACCTTGAAACGCGATAACCTAAGAAGAATTTAGAAGGAACACAATGTGCAATGTATAGAACTTGAAGTGTTGCCAACCCTAGTATGTATTGTCTCCATCGGTGGAAGGTATTCCAAGTTCAAATTCCATAGATGGAAGATATTCCAAGTTCAAATTCCGTTGACGACGGTTCACGAAAAGATAGTTGAGAAATACAACTTGAATAACGTTTTAAACAGAAATAATTATAAGCATTCTCACAATGTTGTTGCCATTCCCATGTAATCTACCTACTCACTATTTTTTCTCACTCCCATCAAATATCACACACAAAGAATGTTAATATACTAACCACATCCCTCATTATTCCCAAATTACCCACATCCCTTCATTTATCTCTAAATAGCATGATTGACGAAAGAAAAAAATAAAAAATAAAACGGGAGGCAAAAACCGGTTAATTTGGCTCCATACCCGAAAGCGTGAGATTCCATTTTCCCGCTCGTTCAAATATTTGAAAAGAACCGGCCCCAAATCCACCTTCTCCCTTTAAATAAATATCTTTTCCGCAGCTACGTACGCTCTCCGCTGCGCGCTTGCTGCTGCCGCCTTCAGATCCCAAAACCCCCAAACGCTCGTTTAAGTTTTGAAATTTGTAACCCCGCCATTTACTCAAAACCCTCCCCCTTTTCTCCCCCTTCTTTCTTAACGGTCTTCTCTTTCTCTCTCTTTCCCTCTCTCTCTCTCTCCTCTCTCTATTTCTCTAGTCTTCTTCAGTCTTTGGTCTTCATCACCTTCCCTTTCCCTCCATATTCTCTCTACCATGGCGGCTCCTGCTGCCCCCCCGTCTGGGCCTTCCACTAGGAAACACGGCTATAGCCGTAAGCAGAAGTCTCTCGGCCTCTTGTGCTCCAAGTACACATACTCTCTCTCTCTCTCTCTCTCTCTCTCTCTCTCTCTCTCTGTGTCCAAATTTCTTGATTCTTGAATTTGTTTTCTCTAACTATTCCCTTTTCAAATCGTACAGCTTCCTCGGCTTGTACAATCGCGACGGCGTTACATCCATTGGCCTCGACGACGCCGCTTCACGATTAGGTCTCCATCTTGCTCCAATGGCCGATTCGTTCACATGTTTCTGTATTCATTTCTTTGGATCTAACGAGTTCTCGACTTGCAGGTGTTGAGAGGCGACGGATCTATGACATCGTCAATGTCTTGGAAAGCGTTGGGGTAAATTTTTTTATATTTATAATCTTTTTCCTTTCTGAGTAGTTTTCATGTTTTATTTCATTTCCCCCAATTTCGGTTTATTTATTTGGTTAATTTGATTTTCAGGTTCTTGCACGGAAGGCAAAGAACCAGTATTCTTGGAAAGGATTTGGGGCAATCCCTAACGCGTTACAAGAGCTCAGGGTATTTCTTTCTTACAATTTATTATTACGCTTCAGATCTGGTATAATTTTTAATTTTTAACATCTGGGTCTTTTTGGGTACTTATGAATTTTTTCTGGTATGATAGGAAGAGGGTCTGAGAGAGAATTGCATTAACTTTGCTGGCAACGACGATGCAAAGGTAATTGTTTTGGGGTTTTCTTAAGGTTTTCGAATTTATTTATTTCTAAAATTTTAATTTTCGGTTCTAATAATTCAAGATTTTGTTACTTTCCTGTTTTCACAGGTTTCAGATGATGAGGATGATGAAGAGAGATGTGGGAGTCAGCCGAACGACAAGTCCAACCCTACTGTCAATCCTCAACCTCCAGCAGACCAAAAACCAGGTAAACTTTGGTTCAGCGCTTTCAAGATTGGTCAGGTGCTTTGGATTTTGGATTTCCATATACAATTTATTGAGTCAATCTCACCGTGTAAACTATAGATTTCTCTTTTCAGTTTTTATAGCTCTGAGCTAATTGTTAGGGGATATTCAATTACTATGAATGATATTTTTGGTGATGTCCTAAGATTTTCTCTGTTTTCTTGGTTGTTAATCTTTGCAGATAATAGAAGGGAAAAGTCTCTGGCGCTTCTTACGCAGAATTTCGTCAAGCTCTTTGTCTGCTCCACTGTGAGTAAAATAGTAGATTGTTACTTGCTCATTCTATAAAACTGTGATTAGTCTACTATGTAATTTTGGGCCATCTTTGATGTGACTGCTTGAATTTGTAGGAAGAAATGATCTCCCTTGATGATGTTGCCAAGTTATTGCTTGGGGATGCACAGAGTGCATCAGCGATGAGAAGTAATACATTTATCCTTGCTTTGTTTGTTATTGGTCATATATCGCATAAAATGGAGATGAAACTCATGACTAATAATTTTTGCTCCACTTGATGAAGCAGCTAAAGTAAGGCGGATTTATGATATTGCAAATGTTTTGTCCTCCATGAATCTCATTGAGAAGGTAAAAACACTTATTTAAATCCTTGATAGAAAAAAGAAATGAAACTTGTAGAATTAGAGAAATTTTAGAATTCAAAATTAGTTAACAGCTACACTTGTTTTTTTGCACAAGTTGAATGTTAATTTTTCCTCATGAAAAATACGCAGACCCACACACCAGATACAAGGAAACCTGCATTTAAGTGGTTGGGATTGAGAGGAAAAGAGGAGAATTTGGTTCCAAACGAGTCTAGAAAAAGAGCCTTTGGTACAGATATCACAAACGTCATTTCTAAGAGGGGCAAGCTGGAATCTTCTATTGGTGGGGAGTTGGATGCGCAAAAACAAAGGCAACATGATTTGGAGGACTCAAAAGATGGTTCAAAGAGCTATCAGTTTGGTCCTTTTGCTCCTGTCACTATTGCCAGACCCGGGAACAGCAACATGAGGAGGGTTCATGACTGGGAGAAGTTGACCTCTACTTATCGTCCTCAGTATCAAAACCAAGGTACCATCTCATGATTCATCATGCAGTATAGATTTGAATTATAAACATAGCTGTTTTTATCAATTATGATTTAGCTGTCAACGATCAATTCTTTATAGGTTCAAATTCATATCAGGAAACCAAAGAAGGGGATAAAGAACTTTATTAGTTTTTATATCTACAGAAGAATGATGGACCCTGCTTTTTGCTTGAGAGCTCCACTTTTTCTCTTAAATGATCTATGAGTATCATCAGCCTTGGTAAACCTTTTTGATGTAGGACCAGGAGAAAATAGTGGGAGAAAGGGAAGAGAAGTGGAAAGAGAAAGAAACAGGACAGGAGACTAGGTGAGGGAAGAATATAACAAGAGGGAGGAACCTAGGTTTCAATTTGCAATACCAATTCAATATTCAATTATCTTCCATTAGGTTTTAACATGCCACCCAAACTCCGCATGGAAATAGAGCCAAGAAGACAACCCAACTAGCCTTAGGAAATCAACCTGTTAGCAATAGAAATTCCAATTAAAATTAACCAGCCCCAATTGGAATCAAAATTACTAAATCAAATGTTTTGCTATATCTTGCAGCTTTGAAGGATCTGTTTTCTCATTATATGGAAGCATGGAAGTCATGGTACTCTGAAGTTGCTGGGAAGAATCCAATCCGAATTTCTTGATGCTTATCCATTTTGACATGCCCTGCTTCTCCGTTTTGACATGCCCCAATTGATTCAAGGAAACCACTTCAATTCAACTCTCGTTGTTGACCTGCCAAAGAGGAGATGGCCCCCTGTTGGATGCATTTCTCTGTGCACCATGTTAGAATGGCAATCCTCAGAACTACCACACTTAACCGTCTTAGTTTGACAGTCTCACAGATTTTTTTTTGTTTTTGTTGATTTCTTTTTGAATTGATAGCTGGTCAGAGATGTGCATGACTGCTCATGTATGTTGTAGCACATATGTTTAGGGTGGATGGTGTAAATTCAGGTTGGAATTTCGAAGTTGGGCCAGTTATACATGACAGGTTCTCATGAGCTCATCCTTTTGAGTAAATCATATTAGCAAATTTCTGAAGCTTGCTTGGGTTGCGGCTGCCTAGCTACTCTTTGGGTATTTACTAACTTGCTTAGTGTTCGTTTTGAAAGGCTAACCATGAATCATGCAAGTTATACAAAATGGTGCAATAGACTTGCGGTGAACACTCTTATGTCGGCATATCCATTTTTTCCCATATAGTTCCATATCCATACATGAACAGAAGCACAAATTCAAATACAAAAATATAATCTATATATATAAAGCAAAAGGCAGAGAATGATAAAACATTCAAAATACTAGAAAATGACCTTGGTTAATTCAAATATTAAGAATTAAAATTATTAATTAAATAAGGATAATATGGTAAATTCACATTTTTATATTAAAAAATTAAAATTAAAAATGAAATCAGATAATAACTATCCATATTCTCTTTTCTTAATACCAATAATAATAATAATAATAATAATAACTAATTGGCACATGCTCACGCATGTGCCAAGGAGCTAGTATTTTTATTATAAATTTGCTATGAAGTTAATGGAATTACCCGCCAGCCAAGCAATATCCTAATCTCTACTATAAAAGCATTTCCAACAATTTGCCCCTTGCCATGGCAAGGGGAGCCCTATGACAGCTACTATTCAAGTGAATAGTGGCTGCCCTAACCCTCCTAGCAAAGTGTGTTTCCAGTAGTTGTCCTTTGTCATGGCAAATACTATTCATTTTTTTGTTTTTCTCACAACTTTTTTTACTTAAACAATTAATTTGGATAATATTTTTGGATAAGATTTTTGGGTTCCTTCATGTCAATACTATTCATATCGGATAATATTTTCGGATAAAATTTTATTTTATTAGTTGTATTGGTTGGTATTTATAGAAAAGAAAAAAAAAGTATGAGGATTTGGTGTTAAAAGGGAAGAGTATTGGTTGATATTTATAGACACTGGCGAACCCATAATTTTTTTAGCGAAGATGCAATATTGACTAAGTATGAAAAATGGTTTTTCGGAATAATCATTTTCTCGAGATAATTTTTGGCGGCTTTTATTCCTTACACATCAAATAAGAAAACTTGATTTTATGAGATTTTAATATGAAATATATATTGACTTAATGAGCCATCATTTTAGCCTAAATCGTATTTTGCACTAAAACTGATTTTTCATATTTTGATTTGGTAGGAATTTGATTTTCTAGTATTTTTATTTGAATCCAAATGGGGGGTACTTCCTTATTTACATTGCAAACTTAAGTAGATGGAGTAATATAAAAATAAATAAAAGTAAAAGGACAAAGATTGCTGGAAAAAATATTATTAGAGTCCAGAGCGCGCCATGTAGACGATTAAAAAACATTTGGACGCAAGGTTGAAGTCGACGTGACGTCAGCCTTGCCCTCGGGCTAGTGCTCGGGCCAACCTAGTTCGCTGGGTCCCACTCCTTGCCCGGGCCACTTTTTGTTGTTGTATGGCTTGCCTTCCCCCCCCCAGTCCCCTTGCTGGAAATGCTCTAACGGGTATTTAATTATAAGTATATTTTTTTACCATTTAAAAATGGAATGAATTTGAAGAAAAAAAATAACCTAAGAACATAGTAATTTAGCTTATTCATTTATCTATTAAAAGAATATTTCCCCACACTTGACAGGAAAAGTAGCAAAGCCGTAGTATTTTTATTTAGCAGGAAGTTAATTTACAAGTGAACAATAAAGCAATAGGAATCACAGCGATGACACTAATAAGCAATGAAAGTCATGAAGATGAGTGATAGAGAGCGTAATGTTGTTGGGTGTGGGTTTGGTCCCTCAGCTTTATCAAAGAATTATTTCTTCTTGAACACTGACATTGAGAGTCTTGTGAGGGAGGACAACGCTGTTAATAACCACCACTTCATCTTCAACTGTCACTGCTTCACCTGGATTGTCAACAAAAAATGGCATTCAGAGTCAGACAGTGCGTTCTTCGAATCAATATTTTTATGATCAGAACAGGAGGAATGAATGAGAAGGAAGATAATTTACCAAGGATCGTGATCCCCAGCTTTGAATTGTAATTCCCACTAGCCTGAAATCATAGTAGCAAACTTAGAACAGGCTTCAAATAAGAAAGAAGTTGTTCTGTTATTACCCATGTACTCCCAAGTAGAAATTTTTTGAACTTGCCTGGACACGAGACCATCTCCCAATAGACGATTTCCATCCAACAATTGCATGAATAACGACTGCGTTGTCCTGAAAGAAAACATTGTACATATGTCAAACATAAGGTGACCTTGAGGGATGCATTCCATAATCTTTACTTTTTGTAATATACCTTAATTTCGACATTGTCGAGGATGATACAGCTTATGAGCCTCACCCCAGCTCCTATACGAGCATTTGCAGATATTGAGACATTGGGACCAATCTGTATGACCACAAAAAGTATTAATCACTGTTTACATGACAACCTAGTTATATAATTTCTAAAATGGTGGAAAAAATCACTGCAATTAGATTTGCACATAGTAAAGCCAAAATGAGAGAAAATGTACCTTTGCACTTGGATGTATTTTTGCTGATGGATGAACATAAACATCACCAATAATACTGGCACTCTTTGTACCATCCCCACTCACTAAGATATGGGGGGTGGTGAATCGAAATTGTGAAAGATATAACCCAGAACATTTCAAGGACATTCTGCAAGTACAAACACAAAAGATTTACACTATGGTCTAGATCTATGGGGACTAGGGTACAGCAAGACAACAACTCAGAGGCAAATCTTACCCAGGAGTTTTGATCTGTTCCCAGAAGTCCAAGGTTTCATATGTGTATAACTGCTTCTTCCCCGCAAGAGGTGACAGGATGTCTTGATCCAACCTTACAAAATGTGTGGGAGCATTCCTGTTCAAGGAACTTTGTATCAGCATTTCTTTTCTATTCTTGTCTATTCAACATGTTGGAAGGCACAATAGATTTAACATTTTATTGAACAAGATCCCCCCAATCAGCAAGTGATAGACACAAACCTTGTTGCTGAATGAAGGGATTCAAAGCTGGATAGACGTCTTAAATCAGCTGAAATAACAGAAAAGATTTCAGATTTCAGCATGATGAATACCAATTCTATGAATAAGATACATCTTAATGGCAGCAATCTAAGAGTAAAAAGATTTACTAGTGATGTAAGCTAAAACAGATAATAAGTTCCTCTAAGAAAAAGAAAGAAAAACAGATACCAAGTTCTTGTTAAAAGTTAAAACTTTCATATCACCACAGCTTAAGCACACTAGAAGCACACACAGGACAGCCTATTCACAGAGAAGGTATCACTACCTCTGTCCTTCCACTGAGTGGAAACACCCTCGATGGCATTAAAAATGTCTGGTGTAAATATGTACACACCACAATTTATCCGGTCACTGACCTGAATAAAGTAACAGTATCAGAAAAAAAAAGAAAAAAAAGAAGAAGAAGAAGATAAACCGAGAATTAAAATGAGCCATCCTGGAAAGAAATCCAAATTCTCCAATGGGGCTCCACAAGCGAGAGGAAATTCTAAAAAAGAAGTTGAAATTCTGATCTCAAACTTACAAAAGTCTCAGGCTTCTCAGTGTAATGCAACAGTTCATTGGTGACTGGATCAGCTACCAGTTCCCCAAACTGATTGGCTGATTCAGCAGAAACCTTTACAAAGAAAGAAGAAAATTTAGACAAGGATAAGTTTTGTAATGGAGAACTTTACACTGCCAAAACTCAACTAGTCCATGTGTTGACCAACCTTGATCACAAGGAGCGTTCCCATACCACCATATTTTCTGTGAGCCTCTGCAGATATAAATGTAAAAAAGGCAGAGATTAAGCTTTCTGCAATCCATTATAAATCAACAATTTTTTTATATTAAAAAAGCAACATGGAAATATCAAATGACAATCACAGCAACTCACGAAACACTTACCAAGCATTTCTGGAAGTGGAAAACTGCAGCAAACATCACAATTCAACAAGAAAATGTGCGACTGCATGCAACCAAAATCAGCATTTACTTTACAATGAATTGCCATCAAGTCAAAAATAACATCCAAATATGCGCATATGAGCACACATGTATGCATTGGCTCAAAGTACCTAAGAGAGCAAGCATCCACGCACACAGCATTTTAGAGAAGGAAAAGCAAAAGGAGAACTTTGGAAAAGTAAAATAAAAGGAAGAAAAAAACTAGATCAACCAAATAGAAAATAATAGGTAAAAGACAATAACCGGACTGTCTTCCATGATCAGATCTCTGAAGTTATAAAGTCCACCAGCTGAACCATGCGGCTTGTCTTCCCTCAAATATCTAAGAGCCGCATCAACAGAATGAAAGATGATCAATAAATGAAACATCAAATTCAGTTCAAAATTCCAAGATCTAAATAGTAACTACAAACTAGAAAAAGAAAGCATGAGCTTACCTAACGGGGACCTTAAGCTCATTGGAGATTGAGGATACATACAATGCAAATTCACGTTCCTCATAGAAACCAATGAGAAAAATCTGCCCGAGGTTAGGAATCTGTAATTCAAAACAGTGATTTTAACTTGAATTACATAATGATAAGCTAGAAATGACACACTTTATCTACAAGAATATACCCTTTTACAAGCAGAAATTGGATGATGAACCATTGGCTGTCCAGCTAAAGGGAAAAGCGGCTTTGGAATATTCAGTGACAGTGGCCGAAATCTAGTACCTGTGGGATTGAAACTCTAGTATATTAAGAAATGCGTCCTCAAAACAAGAAGGAAACTTTAGCATAAGAATCTAACTGGAAGACTGTAAAAAAAAGAAGTAATAATTCCTCATTCATGATTGCAAAGCTCTCAGAATTATAGAAGTAGGAATTCGGTGCCATTGTTGCACAAAGTATTAGACTTTGCAATAAGAATTCACAGCACTATCACCAAGATTCAAAGAAATGAAGAAAAGGGTCTCATTGTTGGATCCAAAGATCACAGTAGCTTCACACCTTTTGTGGGCCCACCCACCATGATCACAGCAACCACCTTCTCGTCTGAGCTGCCCATCCTACTACAACAATACAAACCCAGATCCCCAAAGGCGAAAATTCCTTGTGCTACAAATCCAGAAACTTGAGAATATCCAATATACGCACGCTGGAGAAGGAGCCCAAATGCATAATTTATGTGTAAGTCTCAGGGCCACTGGTGGAAGGTTCACACTTGGGATGCTACAGGCAACGGACAAAAATCTGTACTTTTTAACAGCTCAGACAGATAGAGAGAGAGAGAGAGAGAGAGAGAGAGTAAAATCTGGATAAGGATCCAGTAGTTGTAAAAAAAGTCGGCAGAAGTTAGAAAGGGTTGATAATATTGCAAAGAAATAAAAGGAAAGGTAGAAACTTGAAACGTGACAGTCGCTGTTGAGGGTCATAATACATAAATACAGACAGAGCCAAAGGAAGTTTCCGCTTGTTTTTCCCTCTGCTTTTTGGGGTTGGTGGGGGACCATTGGATTGAGACAGGGTCACTGGGCAGTCTCTCCCACTCTTCTACATTTAAGCTGTGGATAATGGGATTGTCTCTGAATTCCATTTTGGGGGCCAACAAATTTATTGGTTTTTATTTTTATGAATTTTCATGGTTTTTAGTACCTTCCCCTTACCCGGTGCTGTGAAAGTAATATTGCTATTAATTAGTGAGGGATTGATAAAAGGTTTGTAGCTCAAGTGATGTCTAGCATTCTAAGTTCTATGTTTGATTCCCCTCGCCCAATATGACTTAGTATACCAAAAAAAAACGTGAGGGGGTTATGATGGTAATTTTACCTTACATCAACAACAAATTTTCGATTATCCACTTAAGAGGAAAAAAACAGAGTTTTTTTTTCTTCTTCTATACCATACCAATTATGATCGGAATGCCATTACATACATGCAACATGGTTGCTATGTTACCATTCCATGCTGATAACCAAGAAGGGAAGACGAGTTGATAATATTGAATTCTAAATTCATCAATTGCACAAACAATGATGTTTGACGCAACAGGGATGAGCATATGGAATAAAAGTAGGCTGATGGGTTGGACTGACGTGGGTATTAAGCTGATAGATCAGAAAAATGTTGGGTTGTGCTTAATTTTATCATAACGATCTTCTGTTTGATTTATTGAGATATGGTCACCAAGACTTGAGAAGGCAAAAAGGTGAAAGTAGCCAGACTTTCAGAGTTTGAGAAAGATTGAAGTTTGCCTTCAACCATGTGACATCAACTCCCAAACTTAAGGTCAATCTCTTGTATAACAAGCGACCATGAAAAAGCTATATCAATTTCGATCAACAACCCAAGACTTGAAGAAAAACTTGCCACGGATAACTGTGGGAGCAGATATTTTCGTCTCCAATCACAGCATGCCACGTGGAAAAGAAGATTATCTCTTTTAATTAATTAATTGAACCAGTTTATCTGGCCAATTAATTAATTGGGATAAATATCTTAATTAAATGATATTATCTTTATTTAATAAGATAATATCATTAATTAAGATATTATCCTAATAAAGAGAAGATAATGTCATTATCTCAGATATTATCTTCATTAAAAGAGATAATATCATTTAATTCAGATATTATCTCCATAAAAAGAGATAATATCATTAAATCAGATATTATCTCAGTCCGACTCGATCCCTACGAATTTGGGTAGAGAATAAACTCAGCATATTCTCTACGAAACCCTAGCCCCGAGGCTCCTATAAATATATGACTTCATTCATCATTCAAGGTACATCTAAACCTACTCCTTATACCCGAGAAAAATACCCGAAGCTCTTTCTCCCTCTCCACTCTCCATATTTTCTCCACACGGCTCCGACCACCACACACGGCTCCGGCCGCCCGATTCACACCCTACATAAACACTACTCCATACCATTTGCTTTGCTATTGTTTTTCTACAAACACGAACTAATTTAGGCATCGGAGGCCCTTTGGCCAACACCCCCCGGGTGTGGTCTATTTACTTCAATCTGTTTTACAGGAATCGAGGAAGGGAGAGAAGGAAGATCGAAGGTTGAAGGATCTAGAAGCGAATATTCTCCCGCGAGATTATTTGCACAAACATTTGGTGCTTTCATTGAGAGCACGAGTTATACTCAACGCGTGCTCAAGGAATTCGTTCCTCCTATTGTCCAATCCACCGAAGCCTTCCAAACAACCATGGTTGGAAGCAAGCTCACGAGGAGCAAAACCGCCGCGATGGCTAAATCCGTGACAACCCGAAGCTACTCCACCCACGATCCCGCGATCGACATGGTGGCACCACCACCTCTCACCACCGTGCCACCTACTAGACCCGCAATCGGATCTAGCAACCTCCGTGGCACCGCCACCGAGCATGGTGGAACCTCCCATCAAGGTGGGCTCGTTACCACCATTGACTTAGGCCCGATCTTGGAGCAACTTCAAGCATTCCCTCCATTGCCTCCATGCTCGACCCATGCTCCTACATACACATCCAATGAAACCCTAGCCCATGTGCAATTGGGCTCCACACACTTCTCTCCTTCTGATCCACGAAGTCAAGCAGATCTTAATATGAGAGTTGATCAGCTAGCTCAGAGGATGGACGACCAAACCAATCTGATGAGGCAGATCCTCCACCAAATAAACTTGGTTCAAAACCTTGACCTTGGACAATCGGGCGAAGAGAGAATGATGGATGAACGCACCTATCGGTAGCTCGATGGGTACCAAGCAGGTCGAGCAGGAATGGGCAGACAAGGAAAGGGACAACAACGTGATCAGCTTGCCGGCATGTCACAAGCATCTGCAAGCCACACACAAAGCAACGTGCGAGAAAGACTCGGCCCACGACTTGACGTTTGCGCTCGCCTGGGCCCGCAGGGAAATGTTCATGAAAGACTGGGTTCCCAGCAAGGTCAAACTGACAATCGCCGCAATAAGGATCATGAAGAGAAGCACTCCGCTACCCGCTCGCAGAGAAATATTCACGAAAGACTAGGCCCCCAAGGAGGTCAACTTGGTAACCCGCACAATGAAGACCATGAAGAAAGACACTCCACTGACCGCTCTTGAAGAACCAATTCTCATCGCCAAGTTACAGAAAATCCCTCGCAAGTACGGTCCACCAACACGTCGCCTAGGCAGCGCAGCCGAGAAGATCAACCCTTGCAAACCAACGAGGAAGTTACTCGATCTCGCCCAAATCGTAAACGTCATCAACGTGACCGACTAGCCATGTGTGCGGAAGATGTTGAGAAGCTTGTGAATAACCGACTTCGAGACTTAAAGATTGGTGGAAATTTCGAAGATGCACTACGTGTTGAGGTAGACCGAGCAAACTCATCACCTTTCACCATCGAAATTGAGCAGGCTGCTCCCCCGAAACGATTCTCAACGCCCTTTTTTACATGCTTCAAAGGCGATTCCGATTCCGATCCCGAAAGCCATCTGAAGCATTTTAAGAGCCTTATGATCCTCTACAAAGCCGAAGACGCGCTAATGTGCAAGGTGTTTGCAATGACTTTGCAAGGAGTAGCTCAGGACTGGTTCCACACCCTGCCATCCGGGTCGATCAACAGCTTCAAGGAGCTTGCTTATGTCTTCACTAAAGAATACACTTCTTATCGGTCAATCAAGAAGAATCCTGACCATCTGTTTAACCTGCACAAAAAATCCAATGAATCCCTGCGAGACTACATCAAGAGGTTCAAGGCGGAGAGGGCAAACATTGTAGCATGTGATGACCAAATTGCGTTCTCTGCCTTCAAAAGGGGGTTGCCAACTGAATGTGAGCTGTATCGCGAGCTGACCATCTATCCTCGCCAAACACTGGTAGAAGTCTTCGCTATAGCAGAGCGCTACGCATTATGGGACGACGACCAGATCGCCACGAAGAAGGCTGATCAAGTAGCTGAGCAGGCAAGCCAAAAGAACGGCAAGCGCAGATCACAGCCTCAGGAAGGTGCTTCAGCAGCGGAGAGCTACACCAAGTTCACTATCCCGATATACCAGATCTTGACCCAAGTAAAAGACATGCCTTGGTTGAAGAAACCATCTCCTTTAAAGGGAAACCCAACCAAGAAGGATACTAGTAGATACTGCACATTTCATGAAGGGCATGGTCATTACACAAACGATTGCTTTGCCTGGAAAAGGCACCTTGAAGATCTAGTCAGAGACGGCCATTGCACGGAATTTATCGCAATGAGGGTTATCCAGCAAATCAAGGATTGTGACGTAGCTAACGATGAACCTCCACGAAAAAAGTCATATGGATCAACACGATCCTAGCTGACTCCAAAAGCCCAGACTGACCACCAGGGGACAAAAGAGAAAGATTAAGCAGGCGACTTCCGTCTCCTAAGCCGTCACTAGCTACTAAGTTGTGAAAGACGAACCTTTCATCATCTTTTAATGGAAGGAAGTTCTAAGACAATGAAATACTCATCACCTCCAAGGGTACTATCCATGAAGCTCTTCACCTATCAGCTTGGCTCTAAGCAGGCGACCAAGCCTTCCTCACCTCCATTGAAGACAAGTTACTTTTGATGTTACTCATGCACTCATTTTTTTGTTCAATAAGGCAATGTAGTCACACAGACATCAATACAAGTTCAAGCTTTTCTTTCCAATGAAGTATTCACAAAAGCAATCGACACGTTTCCGGACGTAGGCCAAACGGGCCACTCTCAACGACACGTCCCCGGACATAGGCCAAATGGGCTACTATCATCGACACGTCTCCAGAAGTAGGCCAAACGGGTAACACACATCGACACGTCCCCGGACGTAGGCCAAACGGGCCACTATCATCGACACGTCTCCGGACGTAGGCCAAACGGGTCACACATCGACACGTCTCCGGACATAGGCCAAACGGGCCACTATCATCGACACGTCCCCAGACGTAGGCCAAACGGGCCACTATCATCGACATGTCTCCGGACGTAGACCAAACGAGTCACACACATCGACACGTCCCCGGACGTAGGCCAAACGGGCCACTATCATCGACACGTCTCCGGACGTAGGCCAAACAGGTCACACATCGACACGTCTCCGGACGTAGGCCAAATGGGCCATTATCATCGACACGTCCCCAGACGTAGGCCAAACGGGCCACTCTCAACGACACGTCCCCGGACATAAGCCAAACGGGCCACTATTATCAACACGTCTCCAGACGTAGGCCAAACGGGTCACACACATCGACACGTCCCCGGACGTAGGCCAAACGGGCCACTATCATCGACACGTCTCTGGACGTAGGCTAAACGGGTCACACATCGACACGTCTTCGGACGTAGGCCAAACGGGCCACTATCATCGACACGTCCCCAAACGTAGGCCAAACGGGCCACTATTATCGACATGTCTCTGGACGTAGACCAAACGGGTCACACACATCGACACGTCTTCGGACGTAGGCCAAACGGGTCACTATCATCGACACGTCTCTGGACGTAGGCCAAACGGGTCACTCTCATCGACACGTCTCTGGACATAGGTCAAACGGGCCACCCTCATCGACACGTCTCCGGACGTAGGCAAAACATGCCTCAACCCAGAAACACTCAAGCAGTTCACAAGACACTATGCAAATTGAAGTTGAAAAAATAACTGAAATTTCCTTAGTAAAGTGACCAACCGGCCAAAGTTCAACAAAAAGAAGACGGTCAAGCAAGACCAATTATTCTAAATGAGAAAGCAGACTACAAAAGCTGAAAAGAAATAAAGAAGTCTTCATCTACTCCGAGACGCCAGCAGGAGATCCCTGATCTGCAGCCACTTCAGCGTCCGTTTGATCAGCCACACTCTCAGCAGCTCCACCTGCCTGATCCTCCACGTCTGCCCCCACCTCCTTTTTGAAGGAGAAGAAATGTTGCTTCCTTTTGTTTTTCCAAGGAAAGACTTGGGAAAGTACCAAGATCGCCAGCCTGACGGATTTGATGAACCAGCTCAGCACAAGTGGATGGACTTGACAGAAAGTTCGTCTTGAGCAGATCAGACACACCTGCATCCTCTGCAAGGGTGGACTTGTCCACCTTGGGATCAGCTGCTGACGTTGCAGAAGAGCCCTTCGCCCAGGCAAATGACTCTCTTGCTTTCTTAGCCTCTGTCAACCTCACTTCCAAAGGAATTGGCGATGATGAATCCATTCCATGCTTGACTGCTCGTGACTCAACAATTGAAACATGATGGTTGGATGGATGAGCAGACTGCCCAGATCGACTTCCAATCTTCGACTGGTACAAACGACTCAAATTTCGAAAAGGAGCATCTGCATCTCTTTGCCTCTCAACAAGTGCGCTAGATCGCGCACGGACTACTTTACGGATCATATCACGATCTCCAAACTCATCAGGCTTGAGCTCTCGAAGACTGACACCAGCCTTCCTCTTTTAGGGAAGTTTAGCAAAACACTCCTCATGTCCAGCAGGCAAATCATCAAGGCTCGGACCATCTTGCTTCCATCTATTGACATCCTTAGCAGGGGGCAGTCCACCAACTTCCTCCTGATCGTCGCTCAGCAGCCGCCAGCGGCCACAGCCGCCAGCGGCCACAGCCGCTCCAATCGTCCTTGGCCGCCAGTCACGACGACAACCAGCCTGGTCCCACCCAACTGGTCCTCGTCTTGAAAAAGAGAAGACGAAGAAAAATTTACGTGCTCGACTTACTTTGGGATGCACAGAAACTCCTCTCTTTGACAAGCAGTACAAAATTCTCCAAGATCTTTCTCAAGCTAGAAAGTAGAGAAGTTAAGTTTGCGATTAAGAAAGAGTGAAGAGAAGCCCTGTATTTATACAAGTTGGACAGCCCGGGTCAAGAAGGAATCTTAAGCTCTTTCCTACTGGGAATCCAACTCCAACAACAGTCAGAAGCCTACACCAATTGAGAATTCGATCTGCAAAAGGAGTCCAACTCACAGAAGAAAGCCCAGACTCAGTTGGAGAGCCCGAAAAAAATAATTTCATCTCCTACATGCCACATAAGTGTCACGCAGAAGCTGGGGGGCATTTGTGGGAGCAGATATTTTCATCTCCAATCACAGCACGCGACGTGGAAAAGAAGATTATCTCTTTTAATTAATTAATTGAACCAGTTTATCTGGCCAATTAATTAATTGGGATAAATATCTTAATTAAATGATATTATCTTTATTTGATAAGATAATATCATTAATTAAGATATTATCCTAATAAAGAGAAGATAATGTCATTATCTCAGATATTATCTTCATTAAAAGAGATAATATCATTTAATTTAGATATTATCTCCATAAAAAGAAATAATATCATTAAATCAGATATTATCTCAGTCCGACTCGATCCCTACGAATTTGGGTAGATTCTCTACGAAACCCTAGCCCCGAGGCTCCTATAAATATATGACTTCATTCATCATTCAAGGTACATCTAAACCTACTCCTTATACCCGAGAAAAATAACCGAAGCTCTTTCTCCCTCTCCACTCTCCATATTTTCTCCACACGGCTCCGACCACCACACACGGCTCCGGCCACCCGGTTCACACCATACATAAACACTACTCCGTACCATTTGCTTTGCTATTGTTTTTCTACAAACACTCGAACAAACTTAGGCATCAGAGGGCCTTTGGCCAACACCCCCGGGTGTGGTCTATTTACTCCAATCTGTTTTACAGGAATCGAGGAAGAGAGAGAAGGAAGATCGAAGGTTGAAGGATCTAGAAGCGAATATTCTCCCGCGAGATTATTTGCACAAATAGGTATGAGCACATGGAATAAAAGTAGGCTGATGGGTTGGACTGACTTGGGTATTAAGTTGATAGATCATAAAAATGTTGGGTTGCGCTTAATTTTATTATAATGATCTTCTGTTTGATTTATTGAGATATGGTCACCAAGACTTGAGAAGGCAAAAAGGTGAAAGTAGGCAGATGTTCAGAGTTTGAGAAAGATTGAAGTTTGCCTTCAACCATGTGACATCAACTCTCAAACTTAAGGTCAATCTCTTGTATAACAAGCGACCATGAAAAAGCTATATCAATTTCGATCAACAACCCAAGACTTGAAGAAAAACTTGCCACGGATAACGGTGACACCGCCACAATGACATCCCGTTGTATGGAAGTTCTTCAACAACACTTTGGCTAAGTGTTCCATGCGTCACAAGGTACTGACTAGAGAAACTTAATTCGTATTATTTTTGAAAATTTTGAAAATAATTTAAACAATGGTCCCCCTCTTAATAAAATACTTGGACCCGGCCCACCAGCATGCACTCCAGTTTCAATCAATCACAAAAGCTTTCTTCATCATAGAAATATTATATTCGCTAACAAAGTGCCTCTGAATTCAAAATATGAGTCTGCAGCAAAAAGCTTTATGATTAACCGCAAGTCCAGCCTAAAGGTAAAGGGGATACATTAACATCCGGTTAATTATCCCTTCTTATTTCATGTATATTGGTACATTTTCACAACCCTATTGGTGGGTAAACTTTCACAGCTTTGAAGGTGACTTGTACCAACCCCAAGGTTCATCAGACGCATATTGAGTAACCTGTTTCACGCTCAAGTAATTATCAAGTCCCCTGTTCAAAAGACAAAATAAACTATCATCACCATCAGCAGTTCATTGATGTTAATAAGAGGAGGTAGTCTACTTAGTCTACTTTGTCCGCATTATATTTTGCGGAAGCAACTGTCTAGTAATGTTTATCAATCTTTTATATTTAACTCGGATAAGCAACATCAAACAGAACATTATAACACGTTGGCAAGAAAGCCATACCATTTTCCTAATTCACGCCCAAAACCACTTCGTTTATTGCCTCCCCATGGAGCCTGACAGAAGCATGGTTGAGAGCAATTGATCCATACAATTCCCGCCTGAAGGGCCTGCAGAACAGCAACAAGGAGACACAACTCATAATCAAATTATGTTTCTATGATGTTGGGGCAGGATGATTCGTGGACAAAAGAAGTACAAGGAGATCTCACCTTAGAAACGCGCTCACACCTTTCTAAATCTTTTGATATGACAGCAGCACCTAAGCCATACCTGTCAAAGTTCAATAAACTTCAGCCAAAAGCGAAAAAGAAACCAGCCGAACAAATATGCCATTATTAACTGGGAGAAAATAAGAGTCAACTTACTGTGTGTCATTTGCTAGTTCAAGAGCTTCATCTTCTGAACTAAATGTTTTGACACAAAGAACAGGTCCGAAAACTTCTTCTCTCCAAATTTGCATGGAGGTTGTTACATCAGTTATGATTGTTGGTTCGATGAAGAATCCTTTCTTTAGATGCTGCCATTTATTAATAAAATAACTCACATGTTGTGACAGATAAAGAAGCAGAATGGTCTTGATAAAACATAAAATTTATACCTCAGGACGAGCCCCACCACTCAAAACTGTTGCACCTTCACTCTTGGCTGTTGATATGAACTTAAGTATTTTCTCATACTGAAGCAGATGCAGCGAAGATTAGGTAATACTTCAAACACGAATGCATTACAATTATCACCCACAATTTGAGACATTATATACACTAATGCATATCAAACTGTAGGGACTCTTAACCTTTATAACAAACATCAACACAATTTATCAGCCTCATAATTTGGAAATTCAAAAAGTTTGACCCGAAAAAGAAAACTTTTCAACAAACTGTTCTGAAACATAAACAGCTCTGTTCAGCATAAATATGGCAAATTTGGATAAGAAATTTTTTTCCAGATTATAAAAAAATGGTTCAAGATTTGAACTTTAGTGCCCTACCCACACCCAACCCAAGACCAAAAATAATATATTATCGATGTACATAAAACTATCTAGACATGTTCACAAGATTGGAAGGATAAACAGCTCAACTCACTGAGACAACCCCTGTTTTACAGAGTGACAACCTAAGTATCCTAAGTCCAATTCTTACATTTATAGACTTAAAAAGAGGGGGAAAAAAAAAGATGAAGAAAAAAGTATGAATTTTAGTGCTTCCCAATTGTGTAATCTGTGTTGATGGCTGTGTCACTTGAACACCCCTATCCTCCACTCCAAAATAGAGAATTAAATAAATATTATTAAAACCAGATATTAAAAACAGTACACTCACCTGCCCTCCACTAACAAACAGGCCCAAGCCTACAACCTTCTTCAAGAGGATCTGAAATCTTGATGTTTTTGATCCATTTCACAAGCCTGTCCAAAAACTCTGCTGCAATGTTTTCCTGAAACAAGGTGTAAGGAATTAATAGTGTAGTATAAAGCTTGTCTAAGCTTTAGGGAAACCGCATTTCAACTACAAGTGGGAAAGTGGCACAACTGATGTTGTAGCACCAAAAAGTACCATGCATGAACCCCATGATCTAAAATTGTTTGAATATACATTTAAGGATGCACCGTCATCCATGCAATGCAACTGAGAAGGAACTGACAGAAAGTGATGTAACATCTTGCTATTATACTTACATGTATTATAAGACGAGATGTTGCACTGCAGATCTGACCATTTGTCCAAAAGACACCAAAGGCAGTCCATTCAGCAGCTGTTTGAATCATAGAGTAAAAAATTATCATTACATCAGCAGTATTATACGCTTATATTTTTCTAATTTGATTTAGTTTAGATTCATAGGTTCCTAGTTCCTAATGGAAGTAATTTATTTATCTACGATACATGTGTAGAGAGTTTTAAAATTAAGCTTCAAGAATCACTTACCCTTGTCAATATCAACATCGTCAAAAACAACAATCGGGCTTTTCCCACCAAGCTCCAGTGAAACAGGCTGCCAAACCACATCAGAGAAAGTACATGAAGATCAAATGAAGAGAGAGAATATCCCAAATATAATTTACCACTTATCAGATTACCAAGCCTTTAACTTACCTTCACCAGTTGAGCTGCAGCGGTCATAATCTTGCTCCCAGTAATAGTACTTCCAGTAAATGCAATCTGTTAAATATAAGTTTATTCCTATTACAGCCCCACAGCTAAAACAACCCAAAGATGTCACAAGACCCAACTAACAAATTTGCAGGATAATAACAAGATGACTTTGTAGAATTTCCAACAATAAAACAGGTACGGAAAAAAATGAACCTTGTCAACATGGGGATGAGATGCCAAAGGAGCGCCAGCTTCATGGCCCAGTCCAGTCAGAATATTGAGGACACCGGGAGGAAGACCAACCTCTATACACACAGCAGCTAGCTCCAAACAAGTTCTGGAATTGATTGATAACATGATGATAGGCATACAATATGAAAAATCAACATATTAATTGAAGAAAGTACATATAAACCAAAGAGGACTTACACAGAGGCCAACTCAGACGGCTTCAATATTGCAGCACACCCAGCAGCTAAGGCAGGAGCTACTTTCCATGTAGCCATTAACAGAGGGTAGTTCCTGAACATAATTGATGTAGAACAACATAAGCACTTCATCACCATATAAATCATTAAGATGATTCTTAGAAACATGGAATAGCTATTTACAAGATAAAAATCACAAACCTGCTAGGACCATTCAAATCCAAAATTTAAGGTTTACATATGATTATTTACTTTACAAACAGGAGCAAGCAAATCTTACTAAGATTAAAAGAAAATTCGTTTAACATAAAGAAGCAGCAAATACCATGGTGTAATTAACCCAACAACCCCGATGGGCTCCTTAAGAACATGACTTTTAAATTGCTCCATAGGAAGAGAAATAGAGGCCTTTTGCTGTGCATCTAAACCTTCAGCGAGGTCTGCATAGTACTCAAAGCACCCAGCAACATCATCCTACATTGCATGAGCTAGCACATAAGGCCTTATGCGTGATAAATAACAATTCAAATTATTAGAGAATCACAAGCATACCACGTCCCATGCTGCTTCATCCAGTGGTTTTCCACAATCAATTGCTTCGAGTTTTGCTAGCTCAGATTTTCTCTCAGTTATCTGCAGGCAAACAAAAACACTAAAAGCTTTAGACATCTAAAATGGGGCCAAACAGCTTTGAGCTCCATTCTGTTTTGGCATCCAATTCAAGACCTTTATTTTGTTGTTGTCAAGATTCAAGACCAGATTAATTTCAATAACAACCAGATAGTCAGAGACAATACCTTAGCAGCAATAGCTCGCAAATACTTGGCACGAACTGCTCCGGATGCCGAGGCCCAATCTCTTCCCTTGTTCCTGGCAAGGGCTCTACGAGCAGCCTCCACCGCAAGCTCCACATCTTCAGCAGTAGCTGCAGGAACACTCCCTACAGCACATCCCACAACCCGTTCATATATCAGAATTAATTTAATTAAGTCAGATTACAAAAGCCACAAGTTCATTTCCATTATTTTCTGTGTGAATACAGATAGCATAGGAAGTTGGGGGGAAAAAAGAAAAAAGAAATCTTGGATCTCTCCATTAGAAGATCAAGCAAGAGTCGAATACCCTACATTCCATGTTTACCAATCCCCCAAATTGGTTGCTGTGAAAGTCGATAAATGGAACAATAAGATGAAAAAGGTCTGAAAAAATCTAAAACGCCCAACACAATAAAATGTTTTATGCAAAACCAGTTATGGGTTAGTCAACAGAGCCAAGCTTCCAACTTTACAAAAAAGAGTAAGTTGACAACTCAGATTAGTTCTGTTTTTTTATCTTCTTTTTGCACAATTTCTTCAGCTACCAAATACATCAAATTATCAAATGCGATGTTTAAACAGTAAATCGAATTAGAACACAAAACCCAGAAGTTGTTTTAATTAATCAAAATGCATATATATATATATAGAGAGAGAGAGAGAGAGAGACCAATGATTTCTTCACTAGCAGGGTTGATGATGGGTATGCGTTTCTTGAGGACTGGTTCTCTCCACTCGCCATCGATGAATAGCAGCCGAGTCGGTATTTGGATCGCCATTTTCAGCTCTCTCTCTCTCTCCAACTATAAGCTCTGACTGTGAAGCTTTTTGGCCAACAAACGGGTAGTGATCAACTCAGCAGATTGAGCTGAGCACCTACGTGATATGACGTGATGGGCTTTTTTGAGAATTTAGTTTATGAAAGGAAACGAGCCCAAATTATGCATAAATCTTCTTTCTTTTTTGGTTTTTCAGAAAAAACTCTTCTTTTTTGGTCAATAAATTAAATTATGCTTAAATCTATACCTAACGCTCAAAGCCACTGCCACCGGCACACCGGGTAGCCTGCGTGAGCCTCTTGGGATAGTTTTGTTTGTATGTGTTGGAAAGTCTTTACCTTTTCACATTTTTACGTAAATTGTAAAACTTGCTTCATGAAAAGGAAAAACAATCAATACCACAGAACAGAACAACTTAATATAGTGAAAGCAACACTATTATATAGTAATTTTTCTAAGGTTCAGTTCAGTACATATATTTAACCCTTCTTATTTTCTGTATAACAGTTCGCTACATTTGTGGATTTTTTTTCTTCCCAATTTGATTCGATTTCGGGGTACTTTTCATGGCTTTGAAGGCGACTTGAACCAACCCCAAGGTTGATCAGATACATACTGAGTCACCTGTTTCACGCTCAAGTAGAGATGAAGTCCCCTGTTGATCAAAAGAGAAATATATCATTATCACCATCAGCAGAGCAGCTCATTGATTTTTATAGCACACACAATGCAGCATGTGATGAAACAGAAGATTATAATTGACACAATGCAATGCTGAGGAAGGCATGTACCATTCTCCTAATTCGCGGCCGAAACCACTTCGTTTAATGCCTCCCCATGGAGCCTGAATGAAGGATGGTTGTGAGCAATTGATCCAGACAATTCCTGCCTGTAGGGCCTGCAGAGTACAGCAACAGAAGAAACACAACTCATGATAATAAAAATGCTGCCTTTTATTTCATGAAGACTTTTGGTGCGAAGAAAAGAAAGTCTCATTCTCACCTTAGAAAAGCGCTCACACCTTTCTGAATCTTTTGACATCACAGCAGCGCCTAAGCCATAACTGTCAAAGATCAACAAAATGTCATGTCAGTGAAATAAAAAAAAGGGCTCTTGATCAAACCATATATATTAAGAGTCAACTCACTAGGTGTCATTTGCTAATTCAAGAGCTTCCTCTTCTGAACCAAATGTTTTGACACAAAGAACAGGTCCAAAAACTTCTTCTCTCCAAATTTGCATCGAGGCTGTTACGTCGGTTATGATGGTTGGTTCAATGAAGAACCCTTTCTTTAGATGCTGCCATCATCCATTTAAAAAATGACTCAGCAAACATGTTCATGTTGTGACAAATCAAGAAACAAAATGGTTTTGACAGTAAAGACACAGGTTTATATTTATACCTCAGGACGACCCCCACCAAACGCAACTTTTGCTCCTTCACTTTTAGCTGTTGAGATGAACTTCAATATTTTCTCATACTGTAGCAGATGCAGTCAAGATTAGATAGTATTTGGATCATAACTTTATCAGAAAATGAGTGGATGCTACCAAACGTGGAACTTTAAAAAAATTTGGATCATAAACGTGCTCATTTACCTGCCCTCTACTAACAACAGGACCAAGCCTGCAACCTTCATCCATAGGATCTGAAACCTTGATGTTTTTGCACCATTTCGAAAGCCTGTCCATAAACTCTGCTGCAATTCTTTCCTAAAAGAAGGTGCAAGAAATTGACACAAAAAATAGCATGCATGAACCCCATAGTCAAGAGTAGTTTGAATTCACGTGCAATAAATTAACTGCTTAGTTCTAAAAGATGCACAATCATTCATCCATGTATCTCAGAAGGGACTAACAGAAAGTGATGTAGCAGCTCGCTATAGTACTTACATGCACTATAAGACGGGAGGTTGCGCTGCAAATCTGACCATTTGTCAAAAAGATGCCAAAGCAGGTCCATTCCACAGCTGTTTCATTGAATCATAGAGCAGAACGTTATGGTTACAGTACCAGCAGTTATATCTATATGCTTATTGTTTCTCTAACATGATTTGATTTAGATGCACAGATTCCATTCGGATGTACACAACTAATTTCTAATGGAAGTAATTTATATTCGAGAAACATGTGTGGAGAGTGGAGAGACTTAAAATGAGGCTTCAGGAGGCACTAACCCTTCTCAATATCAACATCCTCAAAAACAACAATTGGGCTTTTTCCTCCAAGCTCCAGTGAAACAGGCTACACAAAAACCACGTAGGAGAAAGTTTATAAAGATCAAATGAAGAGAATGAATTTCACAAACATGATTGACTAATTTCAGCATCAGATAGCTTTCAACATATACCTTGACCAATTGAGCTGCAGCTGCCATAATCTTGCTCCCAGTGATAGTACTTCCGGTAAATGCAACCTGTCGGATATGAATCAATTTTGCGATTACAGCCTATATAACAACTCAAAGATATCTTACAATTACCAAATTTTCAGCATATATAACAAGACTCAAATTTGAAGAAATTCCAAGAACAGAATTAGCAGTAAAGAAAAAGCTGAACCTTATCAACATGGGGATGAGATGCCAAAGGAGCGCCAGCTTCCTGGCCGAGTCCAGTCAGAATATTGAGGACACCGGGAGGAAGACCGACCTTTATACACACCTCAGCTAGCTCCAAACAAGTTCTGGAATCGATTGATAACATGATGATAGGCATACAATGTGCAAAATCAAAATAAGAACTGAACAAAGTTTAGTACTTGTAAACTGAACATGACATACATAGATGCCAACTCAGATGGTTTCAGTATAGCAGCACACCCAGCAGCCAAGGCAGGAGCTACTTTCCATGCAGCCATCAATAAAGGGTAGTTCCTTAACATGAAAATAAAAAATAAGCACTTGGTTACCATATAAATCATTAAGATGCTTCTCAGTTGCACTGAAAGGCCACCTACAAGATAAAACTCCAAATTATCCAAAGATCATCTTACCAACTTTTAGGGCCATTCAAAATCCAAAAGGTTTACCAATAGATGATTAGAACTTAATTTGCTACAAGTTATTGCAACCACCAAGCAAGCAATGTTACTAAAATAAAGTGCTTAATTGTTTAACATAAAGAAGCAGAAAATACCCTCTTTAAATATAAAAAATAAAAAATAAAAAATAAAAAGCAGCAGAAAATACCATGCTGTAATCAACCCAACAACCCCAATCGGTTCCTGAAGAACATGAGATTTAAAATTCTCCGCAGGAAGAGAAATAGGAGCCTTTTGCTTTGCATCCAAACCTTCAGCAAGGCCTGCATAGTATTCGAAACACCCAGCAACCTCATCCTGCATTCCATTCCATTATGTGGCAACAAATAAGGGCCTTGTGCATGATGAAATAACAATTCAAAATTGTCACAAAATCACAAGCATACTATGTCAGAGGCCGTTTCATCCAGTGGTTTTCCACTATCAATTGCTTCAAGTTTGGATAGCTCAGATTTTCTTTCTTTTATCTGCATGAAATTTAAAAAATAAATAGAACACTCCAAAACAGGACCAAAGACATAAGAATGAATCAAAATCCATGCTCTTTAATACCTTAGAAGCAATAGCACGCAAATATTTGGCACGAACCACCCCAGACGCGGAGGACCAATCTCTACCCTTGTTCCTGGCCAGGGCTTTTCGAGCAGCCTCCACTGCAATCTCCACATCTTCAGCAGTTGCTGCAGGAATATCCCCTGCATCGTCACACATTCCACACACAACCCCTTTTCTTCACATTCCGAATTTCAGCCAAGTTGATATTTAGTTAAGAAAAAGTAAACTAACTTGGAAAACAAACCCACAATCAATATTTCAATTAATCAATAAAAATGCACATGCATATAGAGACCAATGGTTTCTTCAGTGGCAGGGTTGATGATGGGGATGCGTTTCTTGAGTGCTGGTTCTCTCCACTCGCCGTCGATGAATAACTGCCGATTCGGTATTTGGATCGCCATTTCGAGCTCTCTCTCTTCCAAAAGCTATAAATTGTTGTTGCCCTGCCTTTACTTGTTCTTGTTGTTGTAGTTTGTATTGGCTCTCACTTGGATCAGAGTTGACGGTGCCTATTATTAGTACTAGCCTAGCCATTCAGTCTTCTCTTAACGTCTCAATCTCTCAATGTGCGGATCGCGTGAAGAGATCTGAAAACTCGAACAAGAAGACGACATTTCAGGCTTTTACAATGTTTCACTAAAAGAGAGCCGCCTTGAGTTTTCGCGGGAGGAGGATCTTTCGTTTCTTAATCAGTTGTCTACTAATTAATTATTTATTTAATTACGGATTTACCATAAAGAGCAACATTGGGCTTGTCAATCAGCAGCTTGGCCCACAATGACTTACTTCAAATTTGCAAGAAAATTAAAGCCCAAAATAGCAAATTTGGTAAATATAGAGGGATCCATTTTATTTTACGTCCAAAATAGAAAACGAACAAAATTTGATGATTTTCTATATATACATTTATATCTTTACGGCCAATACACAATGACGCGTGAAAAATCATTTACTTATCTCACATGTCATTTCATTATTGGTTGTGAAAAATCATTTACTTATCTCACATGTCATTTCATTATTGGTTGTGAATAGCAAATGACACATGAAAAATCATTAACTTATCTCACATGTTATTGTATCATTTACAGTGAATAGCAAAACATGATATACCTGGGAGTTTTTCTCAAACAAATAGGCTTATATATTTTTATTTTATTTTATTTTCCGTGTTTGGTGGTAATTATCAATTAATCCACGGAACGGAACAAATCAAACCCTAGAAACGAAACGAAAAGAAAAGAAAATGTCAAACAGATTCATCCATCGTCAAAACAGAGATGACTTGCTTGACTGCAAGAACACAACAACAAAAAGAAGAACAAAATATATATTATATGATTAATTACATGTAAAATCATGCAATGATGTTTATTTTGTACAAACAAACGAATAGAATGAAGAAAGAAAAAAAATAAACCTAAAAAAAAATTAAAAACGAAGATTAAAACTCTGTATCTGCAGAGGTCTCTGCCTCAATGAACGATCTGCTATTTCTTCTGGCACTTTTGTTTGATCCATTGAAACCCAGCGGAGGCCCCTTCCTTGACCTTTTTAGCGCCGGTGGAAGCCACCGCCTTTGTTTTGACGAGGCCTTCGCCGACCTTTTGCTTGTACTTGGCGGTGGTTCCGCCGCCTTTGACCACGACGGGGTAGGAGGAGTTGCTGTTGTAATCCCACTGATCGGCCCAGGAGGCCTCGTAATTGTTAGCTTTGTCTCCGTTCATTGTCTCAATGTGAAGAAATTAATGAAGCCCTAATTGCGTAGCCGATTGAAGATCCGAGATTCTGAGAAGAAGAGAAAAGAACAAGGTTGAGTTTTGCGAGGATAGATTAGAATTCTCTGGAGACGAAGGGGTTTAAGATGAGGAGGTTATTATCATAAAAACGCAAGCGAAAGCTCTTTATAGGAGTTGGTCCAACTTTAGGAAATATAGAACTGTAGGGGAGATTGGACCAATCTTAAATTGGGACGCGTGCTGGAGAGGACCCAAAATGGGAAATCAATTTATATAAAGGGTTTGAAACACGCGGGCCTGATTTATATGAGAAGTCAGCAATTTCCACGTTTTCCTTTTTCGTGTGACAATAATACCCTTATTAGCTCATCAACATGAAAAGACAAAAATGCCCTTATCTCTTCGATTATAAATAAAATCAAGAGACACCTCAAACCAAACATAAAAACTCACATATGGCTTATAGAAGTATTTGACCGTTTTCTTTCTCTTGATGTATAATGGAATATTCATAATGAGTAGTCTGAGTAATAATAAGTATACGATGTTTGTTGATTACATTGCTTATCATATCTTTGATGGATGAGATTTTTTCTTTATAAGTGAGTGACATATTGATATGAAAATGGTTGTAATTTTATCTTTTATTTTAGATGATTTTCTTTCAAGTACTTTTTTATTGGCAAAATTGTATTGAAGATAATTTGTTTTTGATGTTTAACCATATGTGTTTTCAATATAATTTGATTCCTTTTGGATGGATGGCTACATACTCATGGGACCACACTAATCATTATTATCTTCTTCTACTATTTACTAGTACGTAACCATTAAAACTAAATCAAACAATGTCACGGGGTATTATCAAATTTTTAATATGACACTACTATCACTGTCACCTAATATCATCAATTCATTCATATTATAACATGTAAATTTATAATGTCATGTGATGATATGATGGTCACAAGCCCTAACTCCTTTCTTTAGGTTTATGAGTTCGCAACTCACAAGGGTAATATTGCAAATTCGCTTGACTTAACTGTAGATTTCCACATGCCTTCTGGAATCATCCAGAACAAGAACTTTTGACCAAAAACTCTCACCACCGTGAGGCCCACAAAGTCCCAAAAAAAAAGAATAAGAAAAGGCCCAAAAAGTCCAAATTCTTGGCGGCCTCCTTTAACTACTCCGTTATGCCCATGACCTCGAAGCTTCATGGTCCATTTTTTCAATACGAACGAACATGAACCCTGGCCGGTGGTGGTATTATATTTCCTAGTCAAATATACAGCCTTTCACTCAAACAATTTTTATAACAATAACGCTACGGGCACCAACTTGTTTACCAAATTTTGGATACCAACACATGTGGCACATGACATGGCAACACATGTCATCTGCCACCTCATCTATTTTAATTACATAATTTATTATATAAATAAAAGAATTTAATTATTTTTTATATTTAACTATTTTTGTTTTCGGTGAGAAATTCTTTTATTTATATAATAAATTATGTAATTAAAATAGATGAGATGGCAAATGATATGGGTTGCCATGTCATGTGTCACATGTGTTGGTATCCAAAAGTTGGTAAACAAGTTGGTGCTCGTAGCGTTATTGTTTTTATAAAGGTAGCTCAGCTCCTCCTCCTCCATTTGATTATTCATATATAAGTATAACTTGTAACTGTGGCTTTCGTAGCTTCAACCAATCGTAACCTATTAAGTAAAGACTTCATTTTTTTCCTTGATAAAATGTTTTAAAATCAATTATATATATTTTATGACAAATCTATATGTGAATTAGGCCAGTTGTTCAATATAACGCGTACGTCATCTTACACACAAGTTCAACTGCATTTAATAATTAGACACAGTGACAGAAAGTTCAAAAATTCGTCGTTGGAAGTTAAAAATTGAAAATTTAAAACAAATAAACAAGAAGAAGTTTTCCCCAACTAAGTTAGGGATAAAAGTCAAACATTTAGACAAATGGTGTGGACTATATATGTGACCATACGTACAAACATTGAAACATGTCCTTGTCTTGAGCCTTCACCAAAGACGAAGAGGTACACAACTGCAAATCCAAATCTGCCATGCCCTGCCTCGTGTAATCCTCATGTACCACGTACGTAAAGAAAACAAAAACAAAATATATCAGCAGCAATTACGTTCAAGTTGTAGAAAAGTAGAAAAGAATAAAATATAATTAACGGATAAAAACAAGATCTCTAGCTAACAACACTCATAAAACTCGACTTACTTGTTGCTGGAGCTTTTGCTTTCTTCGTTTATGCTGTTTTGCTTTTCTTTGACCTCTGTTAGTCTTTGTTCTAGGATGCAGAAAATGCAGTGGGAGGAAGGAAGGATGCAGGAAGAAGAAGGTGGTAAATTTAAAGGATGCAGAAAATGCAGTGAGGGATGAAAATGGAGCACCCTAACTTCAATATAACCGTTCAGAAATGATTAAAAAAAACTTCGACGATACAAGATAAATGTATTGAAAACTCAAATACAATGCGTTGGGGAGGGGGCAGTAGAATCTAACCCCGAAGCTTCATGGTCCATTTTAATCTTTCAAAGGGTCTTATTATAACATACAAGCTTTGAAAAACTTTAGGGACTAAAAAAAAAAGGCTTGGAAAACTTGTTGGTAGTCCGTCCAGACCTCATTTTCATTGTGTTAGAGGCTCCAAGTAGAACAATTATCTTATCCTATTGTCGAATCTGGAATCGATGGTTACGTGCCGAAGCATATACAGATATTTGCTATGGGTCACATTCTTTCCATGTCAATCACTTACTTCAAGGGCATGGCTCAATTCTCATCTTCAGCTTCTTGTGAGAGAAACCATGAGAATAAGCCCTTCCTCCTCTGCTTCCCCTCTACCCATTGATTTCTCGCGTTCTCTCTCAACTCTCACCCGCCAAAATCAGCAACAGCCCATGCTTGGTTTGGTTTGCCTTCTGAGATGTCTGCTTCGCGGCTAGGGCTTTCGTTTTCTTGAAGAAAAACTATTTACCACTCCTCATTTTGCCACGTCCACTCTAAAATCAGTGAACCCACCTTGGACGACCCAGATCCTGCCACGTAATCCATGGCCCACCACCTGACAAGTCAGTCCGGTGCGTATCATTCAACATCAGCAACAATCAACAACCCAAATTTTTTTAAAAAAATCAACCGTTACGAATATAAAACGAACCGTTTAGCCGCAGCGAATAAAGACTTTAAAAACTCAGGTTTTCTTTAAAGTTAGGAAGAAAAAACAAAAACAAAAACCGCCTAGGCGGCCGCCTAGCGCCGATTTTTCAAATTAGTTAAGTTGGTTGATACTTGATACAACTTACATGCATAAAATGACTCTCTGGCCTTACGTTTTACTGCCAAAGCTTTTCGTGCTTTCCCCAAGGGCGCTTACGACGCCATTCCCAGTTCGTTCCACCCAGCAAGCTTTTCACAAAGTTCTCGCTTGTCGTCCTGTATCAGTCTCAGCCTCCGATGATGTCTTCACTTGGGACGACGTCGTTAGGATATCCAAACCGGAAACCCTTCCCGACGACCCTTCAGATCTTAAGGGCTACTCGGAAAAGATCAAAATCTGCAATCGCGCTTTCCTTGATAAGTTATACAATACATTTTCTCCGCTGCCAAAACAGAAACAGACCAATTGTTCGTTTATCTGAGTTCCTTTGCTTCTTGGTTACATTCACAAAGGGTAAGCTCAAATTCCGTGAATTCAAATACCCATTTCATGCTCAGATATAGCACTGAATAATTTTCCCAAACCTGTAGTTTTACTGAGAATTTACCACCAGAAAATTCAAACTCTAATGGCGGTTTAATAACCTTGCATTCATCGTTGAGGACAGGACGAGAGCGGTGGGAGATGTAATCAAAAGCTTAAAGCTCAGAGGAAGAACATATTCCAGGTATAAGGAATGAGCTACTCTTTGTGCTAACTGAATCAAATCCTATATGCAAACAATGGTAAAATTCAACACCACTGGTACTTTTATAAGTTGTACGTACAAGTAAATTACTCACAAAGTCTTCCAATCCAAACATATTATATTACAATCTCAGAAGCAGCTTCATTCAGGGATTGTATGTTGTCAGCACTTGATCCTAAATACTTATCAAAAAGCCATCTGGATGTGTTGAGAGCATTTCCAGTACTTTTCACAGGGAATGCCTTCCTGCTGTTTTGCCAATCATTTGTAAGCTTTATCCACTCCCTCCTCCAATCCTTCAACCGAAACTCACTGCCCTCCTCTAAGCTTTGTGTTAAATACTTGAAATATATAGCTGCTCGAGGGCCATAATAATCTCGCAGAAGCCCACTCTAATACTTGTTTCCTACAAGAAAAAAGAAAAACAGAAGTTTTACAGCAATATTTGCATGCAGACAGACGGTTCAATGTTTCTACAATAAAAGATTGCAGGATATGAATTCTTATAAGGCATCACCATTTGCCATACCATAGTCGCGAAGCAGACTTGCTTCCTCCTTTGTGTTGTCAAACCACATAGTTATCTGAGTTCCAGCATTCCATTCAAACTGCATTTGATATCAAATCAATTCTTAAAGTTTTGTCTTTTTTGATGACATGAGTTTTGTTAGATGATAGTTCAACTAGGATTCAAACCTGCTTTTCCTGTTCTTCATCTTAGGCGAGTTTCTTTGCGCTTTCTAACCAAGGTCCTAGGAGAAATCCATCATGGCAGGCTAAAAGTGTGTCCATGTCTTCAACTAGACCCAAAAACTTCTGGCTGCGGGGAGCCACTCCGATGGCATCATTAAACTGATAAGCTTCTATGACCTTTAGAAATAGCTGGTTTGCATACTTAGCTAAAGCTTGTCTAGTCAGGTCCACAAGGTCATACCCGAGACCAGTTAAAATGGCAAATAAAATTAATTAAAATGAAAAATTTAAGTACAACCGACACTGTAAAGAGTTGTGTATGTGGTACCAGTTGAGAGTAAAAAAGGCTAACCTGTAAGCATTACTTTCTAAGAGTTCATCTGCACTTGCAATAAAAATCTCTAATGCACGTACCACTTTAGATGTTGAATACCATAAATGAGGTTGATCAAATGAATCGGTTATTTCCTTTAGAACTGCTCTCCCTGCTACTGGGTTCTCATTTGGTTGACACTCTTCAGGAAATGCCACAATTATTACATCCCTATTTTTGTCCTGTTTTCATAGGAAAAGTTGTGTGGGAACAAGATCATGACAATGCAATCTTACAGACGAAGATATGCAAAAGAATATAGGGAACTTTACATAGGCACCGTCGGTGCAGTTATAGAGGGTGTGATATAACATATTCTGACCAAACAAATAATCCAACAATGAGAAGAAATTAGAACGGAAGTAGTGTTTAGCACAAATCTTACATGCACAAATGTAAAAGGGGAGGAACAGGACGCAGGTGACCAAACCTTTTAGTTGTTCCTCGATGAATGTTCTCCCAATCTCTGTTACGATATGGATTTTGGATTATCAAGGGAGCTCAAAATCTAGAGAGTGAGAGAGGTAGCTAGGAGAAAACAGAATTTGGAAATGTTCTCTGTTGCAATATGCAAAACCGTTGCAGAGAACACACCTTTTGTATTCTTTCTCATTCTCTCATTACATCAGCCAATCAGTACCATTCTATTACAAGGGCCAATGTGAATGTGACACATGGCAGTACAAGGCCTAAGAGCCGTTGAAAACTAGCTGACTGCTTTACACTTCACACTTGGCATATGAGCTCAAGTCACTTAACTAACATAATGCTTAACGAAGCTAAGAGTAAAAACAGACTAAGTAAATTTGTTTTTGATGCTTAACAATATTTGTTTTCAATATAATTTGATTCCTTTTGGATGAATGGCTATATACTCATGGGACCACACTAATCATTATTATATTCTTCTACTATTTACTAGTATGTAACCATTAAAACTAAATCAAACAATGTCATGGGGTATTATCAAATTTTTAATATAACACTATTGTCACGTAATATCATCAATTCACCCATATTATAACATGTAATTAATAAGGCCACGTGATGATATGACGGTCACAAGCCTTAAGTCCTTTCTTTAGTTTTATGAATTTGCAACTCACAAGGGTAATATTGCAAATTCGCTTGACTTAACTGTAGATTTCCACATGCCTTCTGGAATCATCCAGAACAAGAACTTTTGACCACAAACTCCACCACAGTGAGGCCCACAAAGTCCCAAAAAAAAAGGATAAGAAAAGGACCAAAAAAGTCCAAATTCTTGGCGACCTCCTTTAACTACTCCTCCGTAAGAGCACTTCCACCAGTTAGCCCCTTGCCATGGCAAGGGGAGTCCTAGAGCAGCTACTATTCACATGAATAGTGGCTGCCCTACCCTCCCTTAGCAAAGTATGTTTCCAGTAGTTTAGGCTTACCATGGCAAATACTATTCATTTTTTTTGTTTTTTTCACAACTTTGTTTAATTAAACAATTAATTTGGATAATATTTTTGGATAAGATTTTTGGGTTCCTACGTATGTAAAATCATTTTCTCAAGATTTTTAGCGGAGGTGCAATATTGACTAAGTATGAAAAATGGTTTTTCGAAATAATCATTTTCTCAAGAAAATTTTTGGCGGCTTTTATTCCTTACACATCAAATAAGAAAACTTGATTTTATGGGATTTTAATATAAAGTATATATTGACTTAATGAGCAATCATTTTTAGCCTAAATCGTATTTTGCACTAAAACCGATTTTTCATATTTTGATTTGGTGGGAATTTGATTTTCTAGTATTTTTATTTGAATCCAAATGGGGGGTACTTCCTTATTTACATTGTAAACTTAAGTAAATGGAGTAATATAAAAATAAATAAAGTAAAAGGACAAAGAAATTTACTTAAATGTTGAAAATGGAAATAAGGTATAGAGAAAAAAAAAAAAAAAATAATTTTTTGTATTTTTTTCAATTTTTTATTACAAAATATTGGTTGTTGGTGTTAAAAGTGAAGAGTATTTGTTGGTATTTATAGAAGAAAAAAAAATCAGTATTTTTTTCTTATTTTTTTCCAATTTTTTTATTGGGCAAAAAATTGCATGCCGTTGGATTGCTAGAAAAAAATGATCAGAGAGCCCATGAGCTTCCACGTGGCATAGAGCCGTTGGGGGTTGCTTTTTTCGATTTTTTTATTCGCGAAAAAATGGCTACTGTTGGATATGTTTAAAAAGTTGATCGGATGGCCCAGCAGAAGACACGTGGAAGAGAGCCATTGGGCGGTCACTGTAGCGGCGTGTCAAATTTTTTTTAAAGTTGGCGCATGCATTGCACGCGCCAGCTTTAAAAAAATTTAAACCCCAGCGCAATGACGTCAGCACAGCATGCGGGCTGGCGCTCAGGCCAGCCCAGGTATGTGGGCCCCACTGCTTGCCCTGACAGCTTCTTGTTGCTGGAAACCACATTTTGCCCCCCTCCCTGCCCCCTGGCCCCTTGCTGCCAATGCTCTAATGCTCATGACCTCGAAGCTTCATGGTCCATTTTTTCAATACGAACGAAAATGAACCCTGGCCGGTGGTGGTATTATATTTCCTAGTCAAATATACAGCCTTTCACTCAAACAATTTTTATAGAGGTAGCTCAGCTCCTCCTCCTCCATCTGATTATTCATATATAAGTATAACTTGAAACTGTGGCTTTCGTAGCTTCAACCAATCGTAACCTGTTAAGTAAAGACTTCATTTTTTTCCTTGATAAAATGTTTTAAAATCAATTATGTATATTTTATGACAAATCTATATGTGAATTAGGCTAGTTGTTCAATATAACGCATACGTCATCTTACACACGAGTTCGACTACATTTAATAATTAGACACAGTGACATAAAGTTTAAAAATTCATCGTTGGAAGTTAAAAATTTAAATTTTAAAAAAATAAACAAAAAGAAGTTTTCCCCAACTAAGTTAGGGATAAAAGTTAAACATTTAGACAAATGGTGTGGACTATATATGTGACCACACATACAAACATTGAAACATGTCCTTGTCTTGAGCCTTCACCAAAGACGAAGAGGTACACAACTGCAAATCCAAATCTGCCATGCCCTGCCTGGTGTAATCCTCATGTACCACGTACGTAAAGAAAACAAAAACAAAATATATCAGCAGCAATTACGTTCAAGTTGTAGAAAAGTAGAAAAGAATAAAATATAAGTAACGGATAAAAACAAGATCTGTAGCTAACAACACTCATAAAACTCGACTTACTTGTTGCTGGAGCTTTTGCTTTCTTCGTTTATGCTGTTTTGCTTTTCTTTGACTTCTGTTAGTCTTTGTTCTAGGATGCAGAAAATGCAGTGGGAGGAAGGAAGGATGCAGGAAGAAGAAGGTGGAATTTAAAGGATGCAGAAAATGCAGTGACGGATGAAAATGGAGCACCCTAACTTCAATATAACCGTTCAGAAATGATTACAAAAAGCTTCGACGATACAAGATAAATGTATTGAAAACTCAAATACAATGCGTTGGGGAGGGGGGAGAGGGAGGGGGGCAGTAGAATCTAACCCAGAAGCTTCATGGTCCATTTTAATCTTTCAAAGGGTCTTATTATAACATACAAGCATTGAAAAACTTTAGGGACTAAAAAAAAAGGCTTGAAAAACTTTTTGGTAGTCCGTCCAGACCTCATTTTCATTGTGTTAGAGGCTCCAAGTAGAACAATTATCTTATCCTATGGTCGAATCTGGAATCGATGGTTACGTGCCGAAGCATATACAGATATTTGTTATGTGTCACATTCTTTCCATGTCAATCACTTACTTCAAGGGCATGGCTCAATTCTCCTCTTCAGCTTCTTGTGAGAGCAACCATGAGAGGTGCTTATATCCCTGAAAATAAGCCCTTCCTCCTCCTCTGCTTCCCCTCTACCCATTGATTTCTCGCGTTCTCTCTCAACTCTCACCCGCCAAAATCAGCAACAGCCCATGCTTGGTTTGGTTTGCCTTCTGAGATGTCTGCTTCGCGGCTAGGGCTTTCGTTTTCTTGAGGAAAAACTATTTACCACTCTTCATTTTTCGTCCACTCTAAAATCAGTGGACCCACCTTGGACGACCCAGATCCTGCCACGTAATCCATGGCCCACCACCTGACAAGTCAGTCCGGTGCGTATCATTCAACATCAGCAACAATCAACAACCCCAAATTTTTTTTAAAAAAAATCAACCATTACGAATATAAAACGAACCGTTTGGCCGCAGCGAATAAAGACTTTAAAAACTCAGGTTTTCTTTAAAGTTAGGAAGAAAAAACAAAAACAAAAACCGCCTAGGCGGCCGCCTAGCGCCGATTTTTCAAATTAGTTAAGTTGGTTGATACTTGATACAACTTACATGCATAAAATGACTCTCTGGCCTTATGTTTTACTGCCAAAGCTTTTCGTGCTTTCCCCAAGGGCGTTTACGACGCCATTCCCAGTTCGTTCCACCCAGCAAGCTTTTCACAAAGTTCTCGCTTGTCGTCCTGTATCAGTCTCAGCCTCCGATGATGTCTTCACTTGGGACGACGTCGTTAGGATAACCAAACCGAAAACCCTTCCCGACGACCCTTCAGATCTTAAGGCTACTCGGGAAAGATCAAAATCTGCAATTGCGCTTTCCTTGATAAGTTATACAATACATTTTCTCCGCTGCCAAACAGAAATAGACCAATTGTTCATTTACCTGAGTTCCTTTGCTTTGTAGTTACATTCACAAAGGGTAAGCTCAAATTCCGTGAATTCAAATACCCATTTCATGCTCAGATATAGCACTGAATAATTTTCCCAAACCTGTAGTTTTACTGAGAAATTCGAACTCTAATGGCGGTTCAATAAACTTTCATTCATCATTGAGGACAGGACGAGAGCGGTGGGAGATGTAATCAAAAGCTTAAAGCTTAGAGGAAGAACATATATTCCAGGTATAAGGAATGAGCTACTGTTTGTGCTAACTGAATCAAATCCTATATGCAAGCAATGGTAAAATTCAACACCACTGGTACTTTTATAAGTTGTACAAGTTTTCTAAAACTTTAGTTAAAATTAAAATGAGTAGTACATTACTCACAAAGTCTTCCAATCCAAACATATTATATTACAATCTCAGTACCAGCTTCATTCAGGGATTGTATGTTGTCAGCACTTGATCCTAAATACTTATCAAAAAGCAATCTGGATGTGTTGAGAGCATTTCCACTACTTTTCACAGGGAATGCCTTCCTGCTGTTTTGCCAATCATTTGTAAGCTTTATCCACTCCCTCCTCCAATCATTCAACCGAAACTCACTGCCCTCCTCTAAGCTTTGTGTTAAATACTTAAAATATATAGCTGCTCGAGGGCCATAATAATCTTGCAGAAGCCCACTCCAATACTTGTTTCCTACAAGAAAAAAGAAAAACAGAAGTTTTACAGCAATATTTGCATGCAGACAGACAGTTCAATGTTTCTACAGTAAAAGATTGCAGGATATATATGAATTCTTATAAGGCATCACCATTTGTCATACCATAGTCGCGAAGCAGACTTGCTTCCTCCTTTGTGTTGTCAAACCACATAGTTATCTGAGTTCTAGCATTCCATTCAAACTGCATTTGATGTCAAATCAATTCTTAAAGTTTTGTCTTTTTTGATGACATGAGTTTTGTTAGATGATAGTTCAACTAGGATTCAAACCTGCTTTTCCTGTTCTTCATCTTGGGCGAGTTTCTTTGCGCTTTCTAACCAAGGTCCTAGGAGAAATCCATCATGGCAGGCTAAGAGTGTGTCCATGTCTTCAACTAGACCCAAAAACTTCTGGCTGCGGCGAGCCACTCCGATGGCATCATTAAACTGATAAGCTTCTATGACCTTTAGAAATAACTGGTTTGCATACTTAGCCAAAGCTTGTCTAGTCAGGTCCACAAGGTCATACCTGAGACCAGTTAAAATGGCAAATAAAATTAATTAAAATGAAAAATTTAAGTACAACCGACACTGTAAAGAGTTGTGTATGTGGTACCAGTTGAGAGTAAAAAGGGCTAACCTGTAAGCATTACTTTCTGAGAGTTCATCTCCACTTGCAATAAAAATCTCTAATGCACGTATCACTTCAGATGTTGAATACCATAAATGAGGTTGATCAAATGAATCAGTTATTTCCTTCAGAACTGCTCTCCCTGCTACTGGGTTCTCATTTGGTTGACACTCTTCAGGCGGTATTGATATAAAGGATGGATCAACATCGGGAAATGCCACAATTACATCCCTATTTTTGTCCTGTTTTCATAGGAAAAGTTGTGTGGGAACAAGATCATGACAATGCAATCTTACAGACGAAGAAATGCAAAAGAATATAGGGAACTTTACATAGGCACCATCGGTGCAGTTATAGAGGGTGTGATATAATATATTCCACGCATCTTGTATTGAAGGAACTGAATGGCCATAACGTCTTGCAGAATACTGATCAATCCAGGCCTGAAGTAGGAAGGAATGAATAATTTTTTAATTTTATTTCCAAATCATCCCCCCTACTCATCAGTAACAATACAGGTCACAACTATAGGGTGATGGTAGAGGGAAATGAAAACAGTAGGTGTCCTAAATTTCAACAGGATTAGGAAATAACTTGACATTACCTTTGCATCAACTTTGTTGTGTTGAAAAGCCATCTCAGACATGAGATCATACACAATCGGGTTTTGTTCTATACCTTCCATTGACATTCCAACACCAACCTTCAGAAAAGTAATAGATACAGTATGAAATATATCATTTTTTTTAATCTATTAAGTATCAGAGGAGACGAGAATAAGACCAATAAGTTAATTATCAAATTCAAATGCAGCAACTATATAGTTAAACAAAGGAATTTAACATTGTGCGGCTGAAGAGCCTAATGGAAGATTAACAAACAATTTATAATATCTTCATTATAAGCAAAAATTTTATGGATGGATAAAAACGTGCCATTGTTGAGTTTTCACTTGTACGAGCATCAATTGGTCCAGATGCTATTGCATCCAAAACTCCGTACATTTCAACGTTTCCTGCAAAATTGTGCAGCATACACCTGTAATGCAGAAGTCAAACAAATCAAATAAGAATCTAGATGGGAAGAACAAAAGAGCATGGATGAACTTAAAATGTCCCTCTTTAGTATACACAAAAGGACTTTATAGAATTTGACCAATAAAAAAAAGACTTTATAGCAACTTAATCTTCAAAATGGACATATGACTTTCCATATGTAAGGAACGCCATAAAACTGTTCTGTAGTAATCCATATGGGTTTCACTTCAGCAAACAGATCGAGGACTACCAGCCTCCCCGCAGGAACAGACTGCAAAAGTGCCTGAAAACAAGCACATTTCACTGTCAACCAGAGCAGAGAAAGATGGTAATAGCAAAGATATAAAAGTAGAATGGGTTGTGTATCAAATTATCAATATCAGACTGAAACGAGTTGTGCATTTTACATTCAGTTTTCGAATCTGAATTTTAACCGTGAGTAAATTGCATGAAGTCATGCTCAACTTCTATTTTGATTTTCGTTCATAATGCCTAGGCTACTAAGACTTTGGTTGTTCCTATCAAGAGCTTATTTACATAATATGAATTGTTATGATTTAGAGTTTCACAAAGTTTAGAACCATTTGTGTGATCAAATGCGTAGTGTTGCTGAATTGAATCATGGATAACAAGAAAGCGACACAGTGAAAGCAAATAAATTATAAATATAACCTTCATTTGTGGAGGCCTCCAAAACGGATCGTATGAAAATAACCACCCCTGAAGAGTTAAAAGTATACTCAGTAGCATACCAATACAAAGTGAAAATCTAGTGCATAACTGCATTGAATTGGAATGGATGTACTCAGCAAGACTTAAAGATATCATTTCTTTTACCTGCATTAGCCACACACCATCATTATCTCCACTTTGCATTCCCCTAAAGATTGCTACACCTAATGAAGAGATGTACTCTGGATCATCATCAGGTGGAGTATTTTCATCAAAAGTATCACTGCAATAGGTTCAGTAAAACATGAAGGGAACATAGTTTTGGATTTAACTCGATGCAATTATTTGAGAAACAGAAATAAAGAAACAGCTGAGATTTTCTATATATGTATTCGACAGATTTTAGATAATAAAGCACATTTACTATTCTACATCTCACTCTGGAAATTGTAAATTACTAATATTATACCTACTTATCCTATTGAAAAATTGGTTTTATTGGAAAGGGATCATTTCAAGGCAGTCTGTTAGAGCATCCACAGTGGGGGGGTGTATTTTCGGGGGTGTAAAGCCACTTTTACATCCCCTTTACACCTCCGGGGGGTGTAAATACGTTTTTTGCTCCAATGGGAAACGATGTAAATCTAAAGGTCTATAATTGATTTGATTGTCTTAATTCGTTTTTGTGCTAAATTTGTATTTTGTGTTTACTTTATCAAATTAATTTTTTTTGTATTAAGTTAATTTTATTTTTTCAAACAAATAGACCTAAAAATATTTAAATTCGGAGAAGATATGATTTCATCCAAAAATTCCCAAAATTGCTCCGCATGTGAATTTTTTTCCAGCGATTACTGTAGCAACGGGTCCCACTCTTTTATGATGACTTTTCCTCCTCTTTTCTCGGGTGGGTCCCACTTGCAAGAGATGTAAAAATAGATGTAAATATACATTTTATTTTACATCCCCATGGTGGTGATGTATATTTACATCCATTTACATCCTCCCCATTGGAGATGATTCCAGTGACTCGGGGTGTATATTTAACATACACCCACATACCCCACCCCCCCCCCCCCCCCCCCCCCGATGGCTCTTATGAGCTAGAATGACCAGTTGAACAAATATTATCTAGCAGATGTCAAGGATTATCAGAGAATAGAAGAATGAGCTTTTAAAGAAGGTCAGTGAAGGAAGCCTCATACCAGTTGTATATGTGACTGGTCCTTCCATATTCTAACCAAACAAATGATCCAACAATGAGAAGAAATTAGAATGGAAGTAGTCTTTAGCACAAATCTTACATGCACAAACGTAAAGGGGGAGCAACAGGACGCAGGTGACCAACCTTTTAGTTGTTCCTCGATGAATGCTCTCCCAATCTCAACAAATAAGGGATCAGTTGCATCAAGCAGGTAAGTGCAGGTCCATCTGGGGTCACTCTTAACCGAAAACCTGAAGCAGAACTGGAAAATCTTAAATAAATGAAGTATTCAAGAAACCTACATTGTTAAATTGGTATAAAGGAATTGAATGAACATTTCCAGAAAACCTGAATGAAATGCGTCATTTAGAACACTAACCAATTAAAGCACTTGAAAGCTACAAGTCATGAACTTATGAGGTTGATTACATCATTAGAACATATTAGTACTTACCAATTTCCTAAGCGTGTTATCTTTGCTGATGGATATATAGTTTTGAGTGCTGCAGGAACATTTCCAGAAAAGGCTGGAAGGACTGAGAAACAGAAATCAAGAAATCAAGAGTGTTACTGTCCTCTTTCTTCCCCGTTGAAAGAGTAGCTTAAAATTACGAAGTATTTAAGGGTAGATGACTTGTGATTATTAGTACCTGGAGTCATTCCAAGTTCATACATTCTGACAAGAATTTTCTTCTGCAGAATCAGCTGTTGATCAAACCAACTTTGTGGTAGAGGTCCACCCCATCTGCGAAAAGTATTTTATATATCAAGGAAGATTATTTCCATAAACTATTCTTTAGAGCAAGATCAGAAAACTGACCCATGTAAATTTCCCATACGAGACCATGCAAGGAAAGCGGGGCCTCCAAAAAAATCATCCAAATCTGATGTACTTATGTTAAATTTCTGCTAGAGGATAAACAACACGTTATTGAAACGAAAAAAAAACTATAGATTGATTTATTACTGCTAAGTTAACAAGGGGAAAATAAAGGCAACACAGAAAATCACCTGGAAAACTTTCTGCCAAATAGCCTCTTGCCCTGTAAACGCTAGAGGCAAATTGATCCCCTGGAGGGCCATCCAATCAATCTCCTTTTCCCATCTTTCCCAGTCCCCAACAAACAAAAACCAAAAAAAAAAAAAAAAAAAAAAAAAAAAAAAAAAAAAAAAAAAATAGATTTATTAGTTACGAAGCTCCTGCACGCCAAGATTGGGGAAAAGCCAACCAGCCCCCACCCACAAATATTTCACACAACCCTGTGGGAAGTAAACACAAGAAGCTTACAGCTAGAAGTAACGGCATTCTGATAGTAGTTCCAAGGAACAGGTCTCTGGACCAAAATGCCAGCATCTTGTACCCGGGAGAGTAACCCTGCTTTCGGCACTGAAAATAGTTGCGCGCCACCAGTTTTATCCCATGATATATGTGATCCACACCAATACTTCAAGTACCAGTGCAGACCAGCCAAAATCTCCACTCCAGTGACCCCAGAAATTCTAGTAAAAAGTTTTGAAATTTGTAAGTCACATGAAATTGTGTCAATCATCCAACTTCAGCTATTAGATTATTGTAGTACATGGGTTTTTTTCATTTGATCCGAATCTCCAAGTGTTCACAAAAGAGAGAAATGCCAACATACAGAATTTGAGGATCTCCTCGTCTACGGAAAGAAGGATGGTTCTTGATCATGAAGCAAGAAGCACCCCCACATTGCTCCTGCAAATTAAATAAACCACATATAAAAAACGATTGTGCAAACCCATAGAAAAAAATAATCTTTAATTGAATTTTTTAAAAAATAAAAATTTGTGCCTTTGCTGGATTCGGAAATTTTTTTAAAAAGACGAAACATTTCAAAGTTTGAACTTAGTACCTTGGAGACGATTTGGAAGTCGAAGCTGGAAGAGTGGGAAGGAAGGAGGCGGCGAAGGACTCCACGAGCGGCTGCGACTTGGACATACGGTGGAGCCCTCTCGCGGTCCTGAATTTCTAGAAGGCGCGAAATGTAGCCGATTCCGATGGCGGAGGAGTGAGCTGAGTTGAGCAAGAGGGCACAACAGAGGGAGAAGAAGATTATTGTGACCGTTGGAGAAAAGGAGGGAAATTTGGAGGCCATTGGAGGCTTAGAGAGGCAGAGTGAGGAACAGAGGAAGCTAACTGCAATGGTGGTTGGTTAGGCTGGTTACTGGTCAATTAATGAAGAGAATCTTGAAGGAAGATGAGGACTATGAGACAACATTGAAGGCCGGCTGGTGAGAGAAAGCGCGCGACGCAGAGTCGTTGCTTGCTTCGATTTTTATTTATTTATTTTTGTTTTCTTCTGTTTTGTATGATTTTATTTTGTTTTTGTTTATATGATTCTCCCCTTCGGTGAGACCAAGAAAAAACGAAAATTATATATCCTTCGGTTCTTTCGTAATAAAATTAAAAAAGTAAAAACCTGCAATATTAATGTGAAACTCACACAAACGAATACAATGAGGGGTTGAACTCATAACCACTTAAGAGCATCGAACTAACACCCTATTGTTTTATAATATTGGAGATGATTGAACACTTAGAATTTTAGAAATTAGATATGAGAAAATAAATTACATTCATCTTATGTGATAAATAAAAAATAGAAACAAAATCAGCAATATGATTTCCTTTTACATTCCCACAAGAAGTTAATGGAAATACTTTTGCTCATCACTTTAACTAAATGTGTATATTTAATATCATTCTTAATACTTGACACATGTTCATAACCATAACCATAACCAACTTTTTACTTTGATTTATATAACAATGGTTATGAGAATGGTGATTAACATACACCTTTGGTTAAAATGGTGAGCAAATATGCTCCCGAAGTTAATGAGTCAGTTGGATGGGGTCTGGAATTGGACAAGTAACTCATATCAGAATTCAATCGAACTTAACAAGCTAGATAAAGCAGCAAATGTCCTCAGAATGAGTTTGCAGTAACAAAATATCCTCAGAATTGAACTACATATCATGGGCTTCTCTAAATTGTTCAGCGAAAAAAAAAAAGGATGTTATGAGCTGCACGTTGTTCAAAATCAGCAAACCACGGTTTTTCCTGCTCATATTTTACTGCTCAACATATGGGTAAAAGGAAGAGCTTTCTTAAGCAATATTTTCATTAGATTCGCCATCTTCTTGGTTTTTCCTGCTGTTTGGCTTTCTCGCTTTTAGCATATTTTTTGCTTTTATATTTCCCATTGGACGGCCGGTCTCTGCGAAACCAATTGTAATTGCGAAACTAATTATATTACAAGAAACTAGATTCAAAGTCTAGTAAAAACACTTACATACATGCAAACAATTGAGTCTCTTCATTAAATAAATTAAAAGATTTCATATACACACATTTCTTTCACCTGTGACGGTTTCTGTGCCCTTGTTGGCCGATGTACACAAAACTCCCTAGGTATCACTTGTTCATGTTCAATCAAATCTCATAGCAAATCATGCATACTGTACCAACAAATTTTACAAGATCTAATAAAGGAAAATCGTTTTTCCAATGTAAACAAAAAAAATTAACATTTAGGTATATCACAGCTGCAGGTATGCATCGAGAAATGCTTCTTCCTCCCAAATATTTTTCTTTTTCTCTTTTTCAAATATCTAGAAGTAATTTAATTACGAGTAACGTGAGGGTGGTAACTTACCTTGTTTCTACACTCTCCTCTTCTTCGGGTTCAAAATCCTCGCACTCACTTAGACAAAATAATCATAAACCATGTTACATACAAAATGTGAGAGAATCCCAAATGTTATAGATGAAAACACAAAAACGTGAAGGAAACTTACGGTGCGAAGCTGAATTTAATATAGAAAGTACCGGAGTGACTAACATCCACATGAAAAACAGTTGAATCTAAGGTCTTGATACAACTTCCTCCTTCTCCAACAACAATTTGAAACGTGGTTATACAAAGATATTGACGACAATAAATTTCATCGTTTTGGGCAGTTCGGATATGACAAAAATCATTGTTCCCCAAATGAACCAAATACTCTGTTTGCTTAGCACCACATGTAAATGGCCCACCCCGAACCTCCAGGCCCTGCAATCTTAATGGTGCGTTTAGTGAACAAGCAAAATCACCTTCATCCATCTTTAAGAAGAAGGAGAATGCTAGAATGTTCATTCCATATTGAGATAAGGCATAGATAGTCTTGCCTACAACCACAGCCCTCCCTCGGAAAGGAACAAATGCATAAGTGTCAATTTTCACTTCACGCCATACACTTGTACTCACATGAAAAGCTGCGGCTTTGGACCGCTGCTCATTGCAGTCACACATTGAAAACAAAATAAAGCCATAGCAAACGGCATGACCAACTATACGCATATTGGCAGGATACGTAGAATAAAATGGAAAATTAGGCAGAGGCGTCCACAGATTTGTAGCAGGATCGTAGCTGTCAAAGGATAGTTTTTCGGGGTGTACTGGAGCTGCAAGATGATAAAGTTTCCCATATGCAGAAACAATGACCCCAGCCCGCTTAGAAGCTCCCGGGGGCACGAATGAAGCCACTGACAAAGTCTTCGTGTTAATAGCATATCCATGCAGTGTCTTGTGCGTAATATCGTTCTCTAGGAGTAGAAATAACTGGGAGCGGCTGAAAATCCTCGCAGTCTGAATCGCATAACAACCAAATAACTTGACTATAGGTTCAAGTAGTTGGGGTTCATGAGTGACTGCTCTTCCGGCACCACCGCCCATATGGTCTTCTCCTCCTCGTTTTAATTTTATTTCAAATACTGCACCACTGTATGGGGGTTCAATATACTTGACCACTACAAACACAGAACTGGCTTTCCCCTGATTTGCCATCCTCGGTGTATGGTCCCCCACCATGGGCAAGCTGGACACAGAAATATATACAGAACATGTCATGTTAACATTTTCAAACACCTAGCTACCTAGAGAGAATAATTAATTAAGCAAGGTCAAAGCCACAACGAGAAAAAACTTAAGCAATATTCCCCGAAAAACAGTGGGGGAGAGAGAGAGAGAGAGAGGATTTATGTAAAACAAACATTAATCCAGTAAGCCATGCCACTGACCGACCTTCGGTAAGGATTAACAATGTTGTTGACGTTGTTTGTACTGTCGTAGACAATCAGCGGGATATTTGGAGTGGTCGTTTCTTCTATTAGGCGAATCACCTCCCTTTTCAGTTTATATTTCTCGAGATCAACGGCGTTTATGGCTTCCCTGATCTCCCCAAACCAGGCGTAGAGCTCATCTCGCCGTACAGTCATCTTTATTAGCTGGTCCTGAAGATCTTCAGCCGAAGTGAGCTCAGCGACGAGACCCTCCATGGTAGTACTAGGATGGGAGGCTCTGTTCTGCTCCGGTACAAGTTAGAACGTGGAAAGGAAGCGTAAAGGAAAATTTCCAAGGGTTGTTCATACCCTAACCCTAACCCTAACCCTAAATTTATTAGGCCATAATCAATAGCCCATTAGCGTTGCAACCGCCCAAGGCACTATATATATGTTCATTGGGGAGTGGGGGAGTTGAGTCTCACTACAAATTTCGGGCACAATCCCAAAGAAAAGTCATGTTATCTTAGCTATCTTCTCGTCCCATGGCTCAAGTCATGCGGCTCAACCACAAACTGACATGTATTCTTTTTCTTTTCTTTTTTCTAATTCTCAAGAGTGGCATTTTTGTTTCTTCCACTTTTATTATGGCCCTTTCCAACTCCAACGATTGATAGGCATAGTTTCTTATGGAGGTTTCCTCTTCTTTCTTTTTTTTCTTTTTCTTTGCTTAATGGGATATAGGCAATTTTTTAATCTAGCAAACTTTGAGTTGTAAAGACTTCCATACACGGAATGAAAATACCATTAAGACCACAAGTGTCAATCATAATCATAAACAACAAAGAATGCATTTCTTCATCACCAATTTTTCTATGCTAAACAAAATGTACAATAAGTATGCGTGTTTAAATATATATATATATATATATAAGAGTTTTGCTCTTATGCAGACGTCCGCATTTTGTTAAACTACGGTTGTGCCAGTTACCACTTGTTTTTTTCGCAGAATAGGTGGATTTGATTCGTGCAATTCCAATTAGCACTAGAAAGCTGTTGGATTCATTGATTAAAAATGGCAGTTTAGTACAAAGTGCTTAACACGTTGAAAGAGCCTTGAGAACAACCAATGGTACTGCTTCTTCTTTTGCATCTCCATATTCCCACATTTTGGATACTTTTTGGAGGGCTCACACCTCTGCCAAGGTGAAAGTAATCTAGCAGCATGTAAGCTTTTACTTGTATGTACACATATATTGGCAAATATGAGGACAACCGTAGTTTAACAAAATGAGGACGTCCGCATGAGAGCAAAACTCTATATATATATATATATATATTTATTTATTTTATAAAGTGACACATGCTTATTGGGGAATGAGGAGTTTCTCTTTCTTTATGGGCAAGGAAGCATTAGCCTCAATTTATTAGAGAGGAGTGTGGACGTATAATTGTGACAATATATCCACCGAGGTTTTGTTAGGATTAGAGTTGGTGTCCTTAAATTTCATGTCCCTCTTTATCCTTTATGTCTAACCGTAAAGTCCCTTCCACCGCAACCCTAAATTTCATACCCAACCCTAAAGTCCCTTCTACCGCAAGCATCCCCAACTCTGAATTCTCTTGTGCTTCAATTGGGCAAAAGGTATCAGAGAGCCTCCTATGATGGAGGGTGGGAATAAATCCCAAGCCTCCGCCTCCGCCTCTGCTGAGCTCACCTCGGGTCAAGATGTTGAGGACCTTCAGGGCAAGTTATCAGAGATCGAGAAAGCTCTAGCCGAGGCTGTTGGCCGGCGAGCCCAACTGGAACGTTTGTGGACATCAGTTTTGGAGAAGCTTCGCCCACTACGTGACAGAGTTGCTAGCGCCAAAATTGCTAGCGCGATTGTTGCTAGCGCCAGAGGAGCTTGCCGAAGGTCAGTGACTTAGTGGTTTTAAATCGTATTCTTAATTCTTGTTTTGTCTGAGGTTTTCTCGCGTTGCTGCTTCTTTATTCAAAGATTCTCGCTTAAAAATAACCAGCTTCTTCTAGTACATAAATAAATATTCTTAAATTTGAATTGGTATATGAATCTATGCACGATTGTCTGGAACGTTGTTTCGAGTATTAACTTGATTTGTTCTCTCTCTCTCTCTCTCTCTCTCTCTCTCTCTCTCTCTATCCCTCTCTCTCCAGCTTTCCCAATGAGGGTGAAGCTAGATCTGTGTTTTTAGTGGTGTCTTTTACTGGCGGCAAATATAGTGGAGCATTATATGAAGTAAAATTTAATAAAAAAGGAGAATATGTTGGTGGAGGAGGAGTTAGTAATGAACCCCAACCTCTTGAACCCCCACTTCTTGAACCTGTAGCCAATTTAACCGGTGGTTATATTATTCGGGGTGCGAGGATTTTCAACCGTGCCAAGTTATACCTACTTCCAGAGGAAACTATCGATGAAATTTTTGAACTTGAGAATCCCAAGTCACTGGATGGGTTTATGTTTGACACAAGTGCTGGGTCATTGCTACCTTTGAAGCCCCCTAAAGGTCCTAGGCCATTTGGAGCTCTTGTTTCTGCGTATGGGAAACTCTATTATCTTGCATCTCCAAAATGCGACAGTTCACTTCCGGAGCCGTTCTTTGAGATGTATGATCCTTCTATTGATCGATGGGACGAAGTGCCCTGTTCTTATCCATTTATATGTGAGTGTTGGGCCGAGTATTGGGACGATTTAGATATAGTTGGTTATGTTGTTTGCTATGGATTTATTTTGTTTTCAATGTGTGACCTCAATCAATCCCGTGCCCAAGTCATGGCTTTTGATGTAAGTACAAATAAATGGCATCAAGTGGAAGTTGACGGCATTCCTTTTCAGGGGAGGGGTGTGGTTGTAGGCAAAACTATCTATGCCTTATCTAGTATGGGGATTATGGCATTCACTGTTAAGATGGATGAGGGTGATGAAGGTTGTACTGCCTGTTCACTAAGCAAACCTTTAATATTACCTGGACTGGAGATTATTGATTGGCCATTTAAATATGGTTTGACAGAATATTTGGTTCATTTGGGGAACCATGATTTTTGTCATGTTCAGACTGGCGAGCAGAAAAATTGTACTGATCGTCAGTATATTTGTATCACCATGTTTCAAATTGTTGTTGGAGAAGGAGGAAGCCATATCAAGACCTTAAATTCAACTATTTGTGCTGTGGATGTGAAGGACTCTATTTCTTTCTCACTCAATTTCAGCTTCTCACCGTAAGTTTCCTTCACGTTTCTTGTGTTTTCATCTAGGATATTAATTGTTATGTTTCAATTATGTTACATTTGTATGTCACATGACTTTTATATGGTTTATGATATTATGACTCAGTGAGAACGATGATTTTGAACCAGAAGACGAAAGAATGATTGCCATGAAGCAAGAAAAAAGCCAAGTAGAAAAAAGCCAAGAAAGCCACGAAGGGAAAAGCCAAGCATAGAAAATCCAAAGAGCCAAGCTGTGTGACCACTAAGCAGCCATTTAGTAAGTTTAGCATCCTCGCGTCACTAGTAAATAAATTACTTTTAGGTATTTCAAAAAAAGGGAAACATGTGGGAGGAAGAAGCGTTTCTTGATGCCTAAGCTAGCTCATGCTGTGATACCACCCTCTTGACCTGAATGTTTCTTTGGTTTACGTAGGAAAAACGATTTGATATGGCTCCTTTATTAGTCAGGTCAAATCAATATGCATGATTTGCTATGTGGTTTTTTGTGCCCTTGCCGGCCAACGAGGGCACACAAACCGTCATGTGAAAGAAATGTCTATGAAATCTTTTCATTTACTTAAGGATTTTCAGCTATTTTATTCTCTGAATTATGACTCTAATCGAACTTAACACCCTAAAGAAAATTCAACAATATGATTCTTTTTTCTTTTAAATTCCGCAGTTAATGGGTTGGGTGGATTGGGTTTGAAATATTCATTGCTATTGGATTGTTGTGATGCTAAAATGATTTGGTGGGACTTGGACCTTATTGTGTTTGTTGGGCCTTATTGTAATGAAACCCAATAAGAGGAAAGCTTTTATTTATTGGGCTTTATGTATACAATGTTATGGAGAATGTTGGGATCGATAGAGTATAAACGAACAAATGCGTGTGCGACTGAGCTTAACACTGCTCAAGCGGTCAGATCAGTTAATGTATTCATGCACGACTGACCTTAACATTGCTCCGACATGAATGGTGAATGGCGAAGAACAGAAAGATGCATAAAATGATGAATGGTTGATGATCCGATAGCCATTGTCGTCATATAGAATGCATGGGACCGACCAACACACAAATATGGATACAGGGTGTGTAGAGTAGTAAGTTGGATTGTATCAGTGATATGTTTCTGGTCATAGCATTTAGTGCTGGGAAGACCCCATTATTTAGGCATCATATGATGTATGCAATTGAAAGTTAAAGAAAACTAAACCAAAGCAGGTGGGTAAGGCTTTTGCTGAATATGAAAATATATTCCACTTCCACATGAAGCTTTCATCACACTCATAATTAATAAGATTTCATTCCTTCAAAGGAAATTGGTCCCTTCCTTCAGCCCCACCAAAAGCTGTTTAATTAGTATAAACATAAATGGAAGGGTTTACTATAATCTCACAATTGAAATGAAAAGAAAAAAAGCTTCATAATGCATACTTTTTCCCCTTCTTTTGATGAAAGCTCTGTTGTACATTGAACATGACTGCAAAGAGGCAGTGAGCGACTTTTCTTATCGTTCATGAGCAATAAGAAAAAGGCAATTTGGACTCAAAAACATGCCAACCACTCTCGCAATGATTTTCAAACCATTCATAAAATTTTCTAATACATTGTAGAAAATTGATTTAAGACACAAATCAACTACTCGTACTTCATACGATCGTGAAAGTTTGACTCCCGTTTTCATTCTTTTCTCGAGTTTTACAATTTTAGAAAGAAAAGAAAAAGAATTAACATAAATTATATACATCTTTGCCATTAGACGTGCATAAACGATAAGCCAATGGTCTTTGCATACAAATTACAATTAGCATCCAAAAACATCATTCTCATTCTCTTCTTATTTGTTCTTTCATTACAACCTACCTTCTACATCTACACTCTCCCTAAAGCTACGTTGAGGTGAGGGGGCAAGTCAATGTCATAGGGTGTACAATTTAAATGCGCCAAAAGGACTATATGATTTGGTAGCCAAAAAGATGAAAATAAAATAAAATTGTACCTACAAAGATGATAGTGACCAATATAAGAAAGCACAAAACGCTTATCATTCTTTGACAGGTCCAAAGGTTCCCATTTCTTCAGGGGCCCTCCTTGCCCATCTGATTGCATCTTCAGGGAAAAAAACAGAGGTTGAATAGCAACAAAAAAAACCATATTGCTAGCAAGAATGAACGAGTCAATTGAAATAGACCATCAAGCAAGCAATTATGCCAAAGCCGAAGTCACATGGGGCTTCACAAACCTGGTTAACCAATCGATCAACTTTCTGTCTTATTTTCTCTTCTGCAGGTGGTTTGATAATTTTTTCAGGCAAAAAAACCCCATCAAATGAAATCAGCATATAGTTGCATTTGCATGTGAAGTGGAAGGCTCTGTTCATCTCCACATGTCTTCAGCAGAAAGATTAATTCATCAAATCATATTTAATTAGGTGGCAATCAGACCATAATTAAACATGGGTTAATCACAAACCAATATTGTTGTGGGTGGAGGGAATTGATTGGATGAATCTAGCTTAATTTCTCCACCAAAAAAGGGATTTATTTTTATATAAATTTAGTGGAGTGCGTGGCTCAATTATATGGACAAAACTCATCAATCAAATGGTGGCCAAAAACTTTGGTACAGAACCATCTGATTCTGTCCCAGGCTGCCTCTGCTTTAAAGTTTAGAGCGAGAGAGGAAATGCAGCATTTGATAAAAATCATGGATGCCAAACCACAGTGCAGAAAACTAATTCCTGTGCTTCTCCACCCACCTAATAAACAGGCCCAACAATATATTGCTTCTTCACCTTTTGCCAACATAGAATCTATTATTTTATATATATCTTTAAATAGGCCTCCTAAAATGCTCCCATATTCTCTCTACCCTCTATATAATAATTCACTTTCTTCTCACACTCCTTCTCCAACATGAGCCATGGAATGCCACCAATCCTATCAGTATTATTCAAGCAGTGATCTTCATGACCAACAAGATTTGTCATACATTTCTTCTCAGCCAAGCCTCCAGTCAGTTCCTTCCCTTGCCTCACAGTCCCACAATCAATCAAACACCTGCCACCACTGCCTCACCACTTTGCAAGGCCAAAACTCCTACACATCCTCCCTCACCCTAGCTGGGAACTTCATCTACACCGGCTCTTCCGACGGAGAAATCAGGTCATGGAGGTGCAACTCTTTACACGAATTCGACAGCGAAAACCCAACTCTTGATCACAACATGGTGGCTGCTGGAAAGGGTGCCGTGAAGTCCTTAGCAATTTCAGGTGACAAGCTCTTCAGTGCTCATCAAGACCACAAAATCCGAGTGTGGAAAATCAGCACCCACCACGAGCACGATCGCCAAAAGTGCTCGCGGCTAGCCACACTTCCAACGCTTGGCGACCGCGCTGCGAAGCTCCTGATGCCCAATAACCATGTCCAAATAAGAAGGCACAAGAAGTGCACATGGGTTCATCATGTGGACACTGTGTCTGCCCTGGCCTTGTCAAGTGATGAGCAGCTTCTGTACTCCGTTTCGTGGGATCGAACGCTCAAGGTGTGGAGCACAACAGACTTCAGATGCCTGGAGTCAGTAAGGAACGCGCACGATGATGCGATAAACGCAGTCACATCATCAAACGATGGACATGTCTACACTGGATCAGCAGACAAAAGAATCAAGGTGTGGAGAAAAGACTTGGGAGAAAAGAAACATTATTTAGTTGCCACATTAGAGAAGCACAATTCTGGGGTGAATGCGCTTGCTCTGAGCAGAGATGGCTGTGTGTTGTTTTCGGGGGCATGCGACAGGTCCATTGTGGTGTGGGAAAATAAGGAAGGTGAGGCTCACATGGAGGTTGTGGGTGCGCTTAGAGGGCACACAAAGTCAATTTTGTGCTTGGCTGTGGTTTCTGACTTGGTCTGCAGTGGCTCTGCAGACAAAAGCATAAGAATTTGGAGAGGGGTTGATAGAAGCTACACGTGCTTAGCAGTTTTGGAAGGGCATAATGGTCCTGTCAAGTGTTTAACTGCTGCAGTTGATGATGACCATTGCAGCTCATCTAACATGTCTTGTATTATTTACAGTGGTAGTTTGGACTGTGACATCAAAGTCTGGCAGGTCTTTGTTCCTAGTAATTAGGGTTTTAATTTCTTTCTTAATTACTTGTTAATCTTCCTCTAATTGAGTCTGTGGGCAATTTAGTGTTTTGGCGTAGGCAACGAGAGGAGAGATTGTGTTTGTGCCATCTCTTCTTAATTTCTCTCAGCTCATAATTAATATAATAAAAGAGATGAAATAATTTATGAGCTTTCTATTTGTGTGCGCTAAATTATTGTATGGGATTTCTCTATCTACATGCATGTGGGAGTCCACTGTTGTGGATGCTCTGGCTAAAATATATTAGAAATATCCAAATGTTTATGTTGTTTATCACAAGGTGACAATAGCAATAAGAATAGAAAAACCTTGTTTTTTTTTAATTGATGAACAAATATGCGTCCCAGATAGGAACCCCACCTCACAAATAATAAAAATAAAAATAAAAAGTGGGAAAATATGGGGAAACCTAAAATATATTAGGGCCAATAATTGACTTCTGACCAAATTTGAAATGAATTCGAACTCAAAAGGCTAACGGGTATAGAAATCCCCCTCCTCTCTAGTTTAGACTATTGCTTATACTTTTATATATATATATATATATATATATATAAAAAGACTAAATCTGAAATTCAAGAAAAATAAAATATATGAAACATGGAAAAAATTTCTTAATAGTGGCTAAGAGATAACTACAATGTGTATTGCAGTTGGCAAGCTACCTAGTGCCTCAATGGCAAGGGTTCGAAACCTGTTGGAAGCACTTTGTTGCAATGAGCAAACTGAACCCTAAGCAGGGATTAATCTCACCATTCGGGTGTGGGAACACCTCATGGTATCTACCCAAAATACAAAAAAGTGGCTAAGAGATAAACTTCTCTGCTTAAAGCAGGATTGGTTGGCAATTAGCATGCATTGTGGTGACGATTAGTTGCTAATTGTTCTTTTTGGCTCATTCTTTTGTTAATCTCACCTTCCATTGTCCACATTCTCAATATATATCTTCCTTTGTCGGCTCCAAGTTGGGTTCATTTCAGGCAATTAAAGCAAGATATTTTCTGCATCAACCTTTTTTTCACAAAAGAAGAAAGCTTCTTCCATAGGAGCAGATAGCAGGACTTATCCCAAGCTGATTAATTAGTAGTTAATCATCAAGTGTGCAATAATCAAGGCTTGTTAACTTACTTAGTTACATCATATCCTTTATTTACTGTAATAAACAAATGATTTCGTAATTAATGATTTCGTACTATGTTTACGTGGCAATTTAACATGTTACTGTCAATCGATGGGATGGGATTAAACTTTGACCTAAACAAATGTATTATTACAAGTGGAGGTGAAGTTAGGTGACACAGTCATTTTAATATTCTCACACCATTATTTCTAACCTAATTCAAATTTTTTTCTTTTTGTCTCAAATCAAATCCCACTCCTTGACAATTGCTATCATGCAAATAACATTGTTGACCCAAATCAGGAATAATAGGTATGAGATTTACTTTTATCTTTGGGGCCATTGACACTTTCTCAAAGATAATTATCATCATTAATAATAAAAAATTAACACTTGGATAATCTTGTATAAGAAGTTAAAACCTAAGTTTAATTTTGATTACGTGCATGCTTAGCCAAGGTTTCCAATGCTCAACTTTTTCTCTCTCTTAATTTTATATAGTACAAAAAGTGACTTTAAAGTTTGAGATCAAAAGGGGTGGATGGATGGTGTTGGCCAAAGGTAGACATACACTAAAGTATGTACGTCTGTGATTGTGTAGGGAAAAAAAGCAGAGAGGCCCCCATGAAGTACATATTGACTAAAAAAGAGGAGGGGTTACAATTCAACAAATATAGGTAAGTTTGGCACCAAATGAGGTGCCTTAATGACTCAGTTAGCAGTAGTTTAATGGTGGAAAAGCAGTTCATGCTCAGTTCTCATCTTCCTGTTTTTATCAGATATATTTGTTTTCTTCCTGAATCTGGAATCTTGCTGCAGATTCAATCTTGCTAATTTCATTCTTTAAGCAGGGCACCAGTCAATCTTGCTGTTATTGATTTCCAGGCTTCTACACAACATCAAACTAATTGTCGATTTCCCCAGTTTTACTGCTCTAATTGAGTATTTAGAGTTTTACTTGTATATTGCAACAGATAGCACTTGCTAGCTCTTCATGAGTAGATGGGCTCATCCCCTTAGTATTTTCCTAGAAAATTTTCACTTATTTAAATACCTGTTTTAAGTCTTAGCTCTGCAAAAGCTAGAACGAAAATCATGAAAGTTCTCTTGATTTATCCAACACTAACTTATTCGGAGAAACGCCTACACCAATCTACACCACACACAATGACAGCAACTTGTAAACTGTAGCATTTCATTCCCAAAGTAGAAGTTGTTACACAAATAACTGATGAATGGGAAAGGAATGCCTACTAAATAGAACATTTGAAATGGGCATCTTAATTATTTACAGTGGTGTTTTCTCTGGGGTACCTGGATCGCGAGGATACTTCCTCGGGGTAGGACTCGTTTTCAAACATACAATGGCAGTTCTCTGTCCGTACGGGCTGTGCGATTCCACTGGATACAAATAGAGGTTACATTAGCAAACATGTTGTCGTTGTATCTGTAGATCATAACCATATACATGATGGGTTGGTTAAATTTTCAAATAGAGAATATGACATGCCTGGGCACAGTTGCAATACGGAAGCACCCAATATCTGAATTGCTTTTTCTGCATTCCTAACTTCCACCTGTTCAAATGTACGAAATCTGCAGAGTGCTTAATTGTTCATTTCTAAAAGCATTCATTGCACTAAAGAAAAGATGGACAGTCCATCATGTTGCCAAAAGAAATCATAAGTCCCTAGAAAGAATATACACACCCCAAGATTGTTAATAGTTTATATATAGCATAGTGGTATTAGTATCAAGGATGGATTAGGTTTAGTTTATAGTTTTATAGTTTTTTGTGTGTTTTTTGTGAACTTTATTTTTTTCTCAAAAACAACCGGAAGAATGTTGTTACCTTCCGGATCATGGCTCCTTTGCAGCTACAAACAAACCGCCAACGCAAACCAAGAGGTAGACAGTATTCAGCTGACCATCAAAGTAACAAGACTCAGCAACTAAGACAGTAATGAACCAATTTGATGTCTTGAAAATACACAGATGAAACCAAGACAGGAGATTTTCATTCCTACCTAGAACTCTCATCTCTGCAACAGCTCTGGCTACTGCCACATCAAATTTCTCCCTGAAACAAAGAGCCTGCCCCAAATTCTGTCCTATAACAAAATTTCAAATACTCAATTTGATACATCCAGTAGAAACCAATTTCTATCTCAATATCTGTAGTGTTTATTGAAGAACAAAAAACAATACCTCTGCTCTTCCTCTTACAATTTGAACATTTGACAAACCAATATGACTGACAACATGCTCCAGAAAAAGGCATCGCTTTTTCATAGACTCCATGAGGGTCACTTCCCAACCTACCCATCAAAACAGCAACAAGGTATATGCTTTATTTATATACATGTTATGAAAATATAAAAATCTGAACTTTAGCAAAAATATTTGCTTACCTGGGCAAGCAATGGCTAAAACCAATCCAGGAAGACCCGCACCGCTGCCCACATCGACAAGGCTGAGGTTGTTTGACGAAGAAGGGCTACAATGAGAAAGATAAGAATTTCTTATAGGTGGTATGATTGCAAGGGAGTCCTCAATGTGCCTCTCCATTACCTCATTCACCTCTTTAACAGCGGTCAAATTCATTCGCTGCAATTTCAAAATTTTCATCAATTGCAATCTTATTTCAAGTCCTTTTAATTTTCCCACCATATTCTCGGCAGCCAAACAGAGGATAAGTGGAGCGAGAGAGAGAGATACCTGATTCCATTCGAGAAGAGTGTCGACGTAGAGATGGATTTGCTCTTTCTGGTGCGAATCTAACGTTTCAAAGTAAGAGGAGCAGAGAATTCTGGTGGTGGTTATGGTTTTGGGTCTGATTCTGTACGGACAGAAAGTCGTTCGCTTTGATATGGGAAGGTGTTTGATGAAAGTCCCCAGAGATAATGGAACTACGCAACGGCTAACTAACATCTTCGCGCGCTCTCTGCCGCTGCCGACGGACCAAATTTCATCTCTTATTCGAATAAAATAGAACGTGGGCTCTTCTTTCTACAAAAACAGAATCTGGGCTTTATTTATTTTAAGTTTCTGAAGCCCGTAAATCAAAATTTAGGGCTGAGGAAGCAAGATGTTTGGGCTTACTTTGGTATGGTTAGGCCTTGACTCTGCTCAATTCTTTTCACCTGCACCCAAAGCTACTATGAACACTAAATTAGTGTGAAATAGAAAATGTATGTGCATGCTCTGTTTTGTCAGTTTGATGTTTGCTTGTTTATAATACTTTTGCAAGAAGGGAGGTGTCAACCCACTTTCTCAATGTAATGATGATATCCAGATCAGAGGTAAACAGGTCATAGTAGTTAAAGATTGAAAGATAGAATAAAAAGTACTTTTTTTTTCCTGTCGAGTCATAGGAGCTCTTGCCTCACTCATCACCTACCTTTTCTTTTTGTCAAATATTTTTTTGCCTTCTTGTTGGTAAACAGTTAACCTAATTGCCTACTTGTGATGAAATCATAGAGATTAGCCGGTAGACGCGAAAAACTTCCCTATCCTATGTCATTGCCCCTCTCTTTATATCTCTCTCTTCTTTTGATAGGCGAGATAGAGAGAGAGGGCAATGGCACATGGCACATGGCACATGGCACATGGGTAAGAAAACTTTTGTCCTAGTAAACCCGTGATTTTAAATGTCAACCAGATCTGTTATAAATTACTAAGCCAAAAAGATCATCGAAATTAAGCTATGTTTTGTATGTTAATGGAATACAACAGAAAGTGGTGTGACAACTTCTTTTTGGATACATGGATGGATGGCTTGGTGTGAAGTATCAAACAAGCACTGATAAAGACTTGTGAGACATGAAATACTGTGAACTTTTGATATTTGGTTTTGGACTTTGTTTGGTGCTAAAAAGATTATTTGAGTCTCCTAAAATGTTTGCTTTTCTTTTCTTTTGCTAGGGTTCTCTTTTCCATCGGACTACAGTGATTGCAACACCCTACAAAGTGGAACAAAAGGCTGGTTCAAGTGCACCACTTTCTCAGGGTCAAACATAAAGTCATTGTTTTCCACTATAGGCCCCCCCCATTTGTGACCTTCACTATAATCTAAAAGATCTGTTTGGTTGGATTATAAGTTGATTTTGCAAATGTGAATTTAAGATCAGTTTTACTCAGGTTCACAGTACTTTAACTATTTGGAGATCAAATGCCTCTTATCAACTGTTTAAGCTATTTAGGGTTTGTTTAGTATCTTACTTGGATCCAATTTTATAAATTCAAAAACATATATTAAATCCAAAGCTACAAAAACTCGTTTGGTAGGCCCATTTTAAAAAACTAAAAAACACCCCCATTATTAAAAGGGTAAAGTACAGCCGAAAACCTCCTAACGCTTGTTGAAATGTCCACCCTGAATTATTTTTTCAGCCAATTTAACCATCAAACTTTTTAAATGGCCAATTTAGCCCCTGTCGTTAGTTTCCATGTAATTTCATCCAATTTTCCGTTAAAAACAATTAAATCTTTAAAAACTAAAAAGGCAAAAAAAACAAAAAACAAAAAACAAAAAACAAAAACAAAAAAACCCTAGCAATCAACGTCTTCCCCACCCCATCCCCAAACCCTCTCTCTACAATCCCATATCTGCAAGGTTTTTTCAGTGAAAGAGATGCGGATGTTTTTCCAGTGAAAGAGCAATAGCGAAGGTGGAGAAGGAGGAGGACTTGAAGATATACCCACCTCTACAACACTGCCATGGAGATTGCTATGTTTTTCTGAGCAAACCAATTTGTAATGTTCTCAAGCAAACCAATTTGGGTTTAGGGATTTCTTCTCCTTCCTCTTTCTGGGTTTTGAGTTTAGAAATTTGGTGGACATTTTGAAAAGTGTTATAGTTCAAGGGGGTTTTTGGTCGTTTACCCTTATTAAAAACAAAAAGAATGAGGTTTTATACTCTCTCTCTCTCTCTCTCTCTCCCCTTTTCTTTTGTTAATTTCAATTTGGGAATCTAGGATTTTTTATTTTAATTTCAATTTTTTAGATCTTAAAAATAGTTTAAAGTTCAATACCAAACAAGTTTTTAGATCTTAAAATCACTATATGAAAACTCATGTTTTTAAAAAGAATCATAGTTTCTGAATTTACTTTTTTGAGTAGGATACTAAACATGGCCTTAGCTTTTTACAATTTTCCCAAATACTATCTGGGAAGGGAAGAGGAAGAAAGGAAGATAGCAGCACTATCACTAAGGCCAAAATCACTTTTACAACCATGGCACCAATTCTTGCATTTTCAAGATAAATTAATATAGCTAGGTGGGTTAGATTAGACCAAGATGGTGGGATTTAATTATTGTTTAGAAGTAACACTCTGAGTTGTTATAAATATTGCAGAAGTGAGAGCTATGTGCAAATTAGACAAACTAAGAGAATGATGTTAAGCATAAATTTTGAAAGTAGAGAGTATCACTGATATCTATAGTAATGTTTAGGATTGATTGAATATTCCTGCATGCCTAGTTCAGGGTTCAGGATTTGGGATTTTTCACCTTTCACCTACACAGCAAACTACACACACCAGAAAATATTAAATTTAAAAAAAGAAGATTAACTGAGTACTTTGAGTATCAATATGATCAGAGCAGAGGCATAGATAGAGGGCTGAGGTGACACCTTCAAAATATGCTTCTTTGGGAATCTTATCCCTTTTCTGGAAGCACTATTGAACTGTTTTTTACCCAGCTTCAAGCTCCAAGCTTCCAATAAAAATTAAAAGTTTGAAAGAAAAAAAATGATCACTTTTGTTTTTTATAGGAAGAAGATCGACTACTGTTGCTAGCATACCAAAATGCTTTTGCAGGACAGCCATTATATCCTAGCTCACAAGGCCACAAGTTCTCCCTCTATATCAAATCTCTCATCTCTCTCTCTCTCTTTCTCTCTCTAAGTACTCTCTCATATTATTTGATTCTCTACCTCTGTCATTCTTGATCAGTTAGATTCCTCTGCCATTCTTAATTCATTTCTTATTATATATATATATATATATATATATATATATATAATGGTTATATATGTTGGCCTGCCAATTGCATCTTTAACTAAACCCGATAAAGCTTTGAGGGTTTCATCAAACTCTACATACAGAAAACAGTCACAAACAGCCTTTTACTGTAGTCAATTAAAAAATAAAGCATGTATAAAGAAAAGAACTTGAAAATTTTAAGCTAAATGTAAACCCTCCACATAAGCTTTCTAAGTTTTGGTTTGGAGTCTCAATATACTCTTAAAAGAATACAAGGGAAAATAACACAACTACTTTTTAACGTTCTTTCTTCGAAGTCACCCATTTAATTTTCTATTCAGATTGTGACTCTGTGATTAATTTAACATGTGGAGTATTTAATCGTAGTTAAATATATGTGGTACAAAGAAACATGTTGAGTGAAGTCGTGGTAATGGTTTAATGGTGAGTCTCGTGATACCCGCATGTGTGAGTTCCGTCCTCCCCTTTCTAACTTAGCCACACACAAAAAAAAGTCATGGTAATGGTTTTGTGGAGCCAAAAAATATAAAGGAATCATTAGTGGGATATTTAGAAAAGGTACTGTTTGGAGGAAGTTGATTTAGTAACCAAGGGGTCCAACAATTGATGCAGCAGATTCCTTTTTCCCATATAGAAAATGTAGAAATCTTTTCTTTGAGAAGAGGAGCTGGGGGGCATGGAAAAAAGCTACCACAAACCAAGGACTTCATGATAACACACAATAGCTTGGATTTTTGTTCAAAGTTTCAACAGACGAACCAAACAGCAATCATGATGCCTTCCTCCTTGGCCTTCCCTCTGACTCTCCACCTCCATCATTACCCCCTCACCCCCTCCTCCTTTATCATCATCATCATCACTATCATCATCATCCACCAACCCCACCATCATCATCTTCTTCTTCTTCTTCTTCAACTCTCATCACCAAGAGTACTTCTACTTCCAAAGCAAGAAGCAGCTCAAGATCAACCACAACCAGAAGCACAAGAAGAAGCAGAAGCACAAGCACAAGAAGAAGAAAAGGAGGGAGCTGGCATAGGCTTCATAACTTTTACTTCTTATGAGATCATGGAAACCCTAGTTATACTTGTATGAGTGAGCACTAGAGAAGGGTCTTTTCCTCCAGCAAAAGGCTCCAACTCTCTCCGGCTCCAGGGGAATCAAGCATCTCGGTCCGATCATTTGCTACCTCAAACCTAGCAAATCCACATACCTACTTTCTGAATTTTTTTGGCTACTTAGGTTCTTTCTCTTTTTTTTTCATTTTGATTATCTTTATCTGCTTTCAAGTAAAGTTCTTTTCTTTTTAAGCAACATGTGTTCCATTTCAACTCATATCTAATTAGTGTTTCTGTGCAAACATATGAGAGCATGATGATCATGACACTTGGGCTGAATATTTTGTTGTAAGAATTTGTTTGCATACTGCTGTTGTAAGTAATGATGCAATATTATTATATTTAGGCAAATTCTAGTGTTGCATCCTCATGTCTTGCAATAAATGGTTTTTTCTTTCTTTCTGTTTTCTTGAAAACATGCGCAATCATGCATGTTCTGAAAGAGCTGCTTCCATTCTCTCTCTCAGTCTCTAACTTCAATGCCTTGCTGCTGTAAGCTCTGCAAAACAGTACATCTGTATCCGCCAGCTAGGGTTTGGTTAATTTGGTTTGGCTCATTCATGGAATCTTAATCTGCTAGGTTTGATTGGATTAACATGGATCTTCATCAGACTAATCCACTTCTTAACATAAATATTATAAGGAACCTGATTGAAAATATATATGCATTTTCATATTTGTAAAATAAAAGATAGCTAATGCATGCACTCACACACATTCAAATTTCTTATGATGTTGGCTAACTTGTTCCAGCTGTTCTCTAGTTTGAACTTTGAAATTAAGGGGGGGATCAATTTTCTAAGT